TGCTCCCGACTTTGTCTACCCTTCCGCTTCGGCAGACCGAGACCCTTCTTGTCTAGAAACCACCCAACCCAAAAGATTGGAAATGGGAGAAGGACAGATGGCCCAACTTGTAATGCCATTGCAGCCAGATTTGTCAAAAATAGAAAGATTCCGGTTGTTGGTATGTAGAACTGAAGACATTGCTTGTAGAGAAGAGAGGTCCTTTCCTTTTGGGAACAGAGTAGTCGTGGTAGAAAACTGGAATCAAACTTCATTTGTAGCATTTTCTTTCCCCCCGTATGCCATTCAGCATGGTCGTGGTAGACTCTAAAGTGATCGCTGAGTTTGCATGTTTTTGGCTCAGTCCTTGATGGGACAAAGAAGCTGAGGGCTTAGGAGTTCTTATTGTTTGGGGAAGAAAACAGGATGAATAAGAAACTCTCCCGAAATGACAAACTTTTTCTTGCTCATCCAAAGTCTTCCAGTCAGTAGTGCAGATGCTACTCGAATGCTCAGCCTCAGCGATACCTCTAGGATAATTGTTCGGAAAGCTTTCTGATAGCAATTTGGGTCACATCCTTGAAAGTATTGTTGCAGAAGTAGGAACATCCGCATATCAACAATAGCACTGAAAACATAGTGGGCAATAAGAAGTAACTATGGGCAAAGGATTCTTAGAAGATTGGATGACGTTGTTGGAGAGGCAGCATGTGTGGTGGCGTGAGACTGTGTTTCTTTCAGTTCTCCCTGCATTGGATCGATAGTTCGACAGCATGTTTTTTGTAAAGACGAAGATCACTGGATAGAGCTGTGAATGATGGTGCCCCGTCGACTGTGAGTTCACTCAATTGACTCAAGGAGGGCCTCCATCAGCTGTTATTCGGGTTGTTCTCGATTCAGGCGGTTCGTTGGCCCGCACATTTGCGAGGAAGCCTGTTGGAGTTGGGGTTGAGAAGAGACGACATAGTTGTCCTTAAGAGTAATTTATGTTTAAGAAGAGCAATCGGTGTACACAGGTCCGAAGAAATCAATTTGGGAATTGACAAGATATGAGTCTGGGTCTGGATCGGATCAAAATGTTTTGGGCGATTGAAGCGTGGAAGAACAAGTTTGGTGATGCAAGTGAGCCACTGATAGAATGGTATAAACCTTTGGACTTTAGAAGCAAGTTATAAAACCAAAGTAAGACAAACACACATCCGCAACCAGGAGAAATAGTCCAATAGGAAAATGGTGGGGAAAGATATGGAGCAGAGAACAACATCAGCCATTTTAGCGTGTGAGACTGAAGAAAGGTTGGCTCCCTCCAAGAATCAGGGCTGGAATTCGAAGTGTAATTTGATAAAATGTATGTCATAGCAGATAATCTTCTACCTCAATACAAGAGAAGGAATAGACCGCGAGATAGAAAGGTAAAAATGGACAAAAGAATAGGAATGAGTAAACACTGTTGCAAGTGTGTTATTCTGCCGGAAGCATCACATGCAAAGCCCCATTGAGAGTAGCATGAAGAGAGCGGAGGTCTCATCAGAAACTGAGATCTACGGCTGCCATGTTGAACTGCACTGGAATCAAATCATACCCCACATTGGTGACTGGCGTGTATAAACTCATCAGTGGTAGAACAGGGACATCAGCAGCGGACATAGGTAATCCATGGGGAAGAAGAAAGGTGCCACCAGCAGTGATTGACCGAAGCTGGAGCAGCTGGAGAGTGGTGGTGGAGTAGCATTGCCACCAGAAGAGGGTGCTTTGTAAGGAAACTTGCGGAACCACGATGTTCACTGGTGAAATGAGCACTGGCCTTTGGAGAACCTCCCACAGTTGCGACAGTATTTGCAACCACCTTCCCATCAACAGAAATGGTGTGTTGGGCATCATCGGGAATGTTCTCCTTGGAGGCATGGAAGCAAGCTTGTCTTTAATAAGAGTTGTGAGTTTGAGTTGGTTTCAGCATCAGACCGTTGTCCTTGGAGCACCTCGCTTGGACATGTGGATCGTTTCTATGATGATCAGTAGCTCCACAATCAAAGCAGGCGCCTCCACGAGACGGGTACCGCCACTGGCTGATCCACTGTTTCGATCCTGAGTGAGACTCCCAACTTTTGCCTCAACTCTTTGTCAATTGCTGCCTGGAAGGCTTTGGCCTGGGATCCCTTGGATCCAAGATGTTGGGCAGCTCATAAGTTTTCTGGTTAATGAGGACCCGATAGAGGGCATCCAGTCATTCAAAGTGTCGAGTCTTCCAATTGTTTGTTCCAATAGTTGCTATCAAATCCGTTGATGTACTCTTGACAACAAGCTCATGCATTTGGATCGAAAGTATGGACAACCACATCCAAGGAGACCTCTCAGGATGTGCTGGTTAGTTCAGGCATGGATACTGACATAAAGTTTAATCGAATCTCTTTGATGATCTTGCTTGCATCGACAACATACATGGAAACATTCTCCCCAGGGAACTTGGTGATGTCCAAGTGAAGTAGCTTGGCTTTGAGGGTTCAATCTTACTGAGAGAAAGGTCTGTATATTTTCTGCAGAAGAGCCAAGAAAGTTGGGGCCCATTGTGTTTGGCTCGAGGACATATGATTTCAATTCTTCTGGAGTGCATCAGTGCAAAAGTTCAAGACAGCCTTTCACGACCAGGCAAGGTTGGTTGATCATATGGCAAACAGGGATGTCCTTCATCCCCATGCATCAATGAGTCTGACTCCATTGACTGTGAGGTCTGAGCCATTTTCCATCATAGACTCTGAGACCTGTCCAGGAGCAGTGAACATGTTGATTTTATTAATAGTGTTAGTATTAAGGTCTCCAACAACAAGCTGGAAGACCCCTTCCATTCCATGCTCTGTCATCATGCTCTCAAAGGCGATAAGAGAGGCTAGCAATGAGACCGAAGCATTGACTCAGTCAGAGTGGAGAATAGTAGACTGGTGGAATCCTTCAGTCCTTTCTTGCATGCCAATTCGATAGGCTGGAGTGTGGTGTGATGTTTCAGATGGTCGTCACCATGGAACCCCTGAGGCATAGGGTGCTTTGGGTTCCTTTCCCAGTCCATCTGAGCCAGATCCTGTCCAGGCTCCAGTGTGGTTGATACCTCCAAGCCGAGGGGCTTCTGTAAGCTTGGTCTTTTCTTTGGTTTTACCAATGTGCTGGAGGAGCTCCTGGAATTGAACTGCGGTCAATGTGCTGCAGTCATGGTTGGAGGATCAGATGGTGGTATGATTGGATCAGATTCAAAGAAGGCTTGTCTGAAGCCTTGTGGACTGAACAAGGATGCTGATGCTGGCGCTGCTGTTGAAGATGAGGATGCTGAGGCAGAGGAAGCGTCGTCAAGGTCCATCAATAGGAGGCAGTAAAAATCAACAGAGCGGTAATGGCAACAATGGTGGAAACAGTAGTGGCAACAGTAGCGCGGTAGATGTCAGCAGTCAATCGAGTCAATCGAAGTTGGAATTTATGAGCTTTACAACTCTTCGAGTTGCTGTTGGTTGTTTGAATGACAAGAGCTTATTCGAATCGCTCGTTTGAATGACACGAGAGGTCGGGAGATCGATCGCGATCGATCGCTCCGTACAATCAGTACCGTGGTCGTTAACAAACGACAAACTGCAAGCCAGTTTGCTGCAGGCCACAAACGACCAATGCCAGTTCTAGGTAAGAAGAGTGGATCGCCGAGTAACAGTCCCAGCAACACCAACGATACGAGCGATCGCGATGGATCTTCGTTCCGTGTTGGTGGTCGTCTCCGTGTTGTTGTTTGAGTTAATGAAAAAGTGAGGAGAAATTTGCGAAGATATAAGGAAAGCATGACTCAGCCAATTCGAATCCATAATAAAGGGTGGATTAACTGCCGAAGCACGATTCCAGGCATGACACACAAGCCGAGCTTTACATATGCAGTCGGAGCCCATTTTTCGATGAATTCTGTTAACCTGTTAACTCGGATCGATCGATCGATGCGACGGAGATGAGATGCAGGTCTAACGCGGTGATAGAGTATAGTAGAACAGTTGCAGTCGAACGTGCAGTACCAGTAGTGGCTACTGTGAAAGAGATAATAGGATCCTCATTGAGATTACGATCGTCAATAGGATTAAGAAAGGTGGACTCCCATAGGAGTCCATGGTCCTCATCGCGATTTCGATCGACGACAGGAGTAAGACAAGGGGATTGCTTTCGAGCGAATCCAAGGGAAGTGAGTTGCAATAAAGGGGAGGACTATCGATGAAGAATGCAAGAGAAACTCATCAGGAGCAGTCTGCATCAAGGAGTAGCACATTCCATTGACAACCATAGGGATAGACATATAAGAAATAGAATGAGTAACATCTCATAACCTCGCATGCTACCATGCGACAATACCATTGTGCATGATTAATCTAACGATCTAAGAGATGTAAAGTTGTATTTCCAAATAAGTGAGCAGTTATTGATTATTTCTAGAATAAGCCTGCTAATTGTAAAGCTGTAAAGCTGAATTGTAAGCTGTATCCCGTCGCATACATGCGCGGTACTAGTAGATATGGAATGGCGGGAGTGCTTCACAGTGTTTGTACCTCAGTCGTGGATAATGGTAGTTTACGTACGGTACCAGTACCAGTACCACTACGTTACCAAAACGATTGGGTCTAAAATTTCCTGTCGGCCCAAACAAGAACCACTTTTGCTTCATGCTAGCCTGCTAGACTATTTGCATTGTTTGAATCTTTCCCAACAACACAATGGAACCTCGCGATAGATGAGCGCCGATAATATTTTTTTTAGTAGCACGCCTTCCCCCACGGCTGCAGCGACCTTCAATGCGGATGCTTGTCCCGACTTTGAACATTGCTACGCACCAGAGGATTGTTGGGACGCTGAGGCCAACCTCGTAAACAATTCACCTGAGAATGGAGGCACTTGCACCTCATGTTGTTGGAAGCTACTGTGGGGGGTGCTAGGTTCTGGGATTTTTCTGGTACTGTACGGAGATTTCTCCGTCAACCGCAAATCACTATCCCGGTGGTCACTGGAGCATGCCATAGAATACTGGTACAATCGGCAAGAAACAATACTCTATGAAGCTGTGCATCCTGATTGGACTACAGAAGAAAGGGAGGACGAGTTGCGTGAACTGAAAGATCGAAAAAAGGACATCTTTACAACTACGAATGTGCAGGCAAGAAGCCTCCAGAACTTCGGGCTTGACAATCGAGATCCCAATCTCCAGGTACCGGAACTACCAGAAGCAAAGGTGTACACGCCGAATCAATACTCTTACGCATCATATTCGTTTTCAGCTGTTGGCATGACAAGAAACCTCGGATACATATTCACCACTTCTTATGTCTATGCAATCATGATATCATCGCTGGGGTGGGGACTTGTTTCTTCCGGTTTGAGCACCTTCATTTGGCTTGTGCGGAGCCATGGAGAATTTTGCACGGAACAAGGATACTACGAGAAAGACTACATGGGATTGAGATGGGAGATATCTTGGAACGTCTATTCTAGGCTGAGGCGAGACTACATTCTGTTTACAAGCTTCTTGTTTGTATCTTACATCGGGTACGTTGCTACCAGATGGCGCAATATTCTCCAAAACTGCTTCGACTTGAGAAATGCCCTGAATACGACAGCCATGTTTTGCGGCGGTGCCATCAAAAATCCAAAGCACTTTGAGGGGCAGACGAAAGCGGATGTTGCTATGATCAGATGCAAGCTACACAAAATCTACAGGTATATGAACAGCGTTCACGCTCTGACGTATCGCACCGTATCGCCGACACTACAAGGATTCACCATGAGGGAGAGTCTCTGTGATCAGCTTGGATTGCTGTCAAAGGAGGAAATCGATGAACTTGAGGAATCAATCCGAATAGAAGAGGAAGACTCTGCACGAGCTGTGATATTGAGCTGGCTGGTGTCGGCTGTGATGGATTTGCTGGAGAGCCGAAGCTTGGCGACTGAAAACGGGGGACCCGATATCAGTCTGGTTTACGTGGACACTCCTGCTGTTGGTGCCCTGGCAACTCTGAGACAAGCCTGTGAAGGTCATGACAATGCGTCCATTCTGAACCAACCAAACTTGTACCGAGACACTATGCTTGTCGCGTGCGTAGGCCAGCTACATGAATATCCGTGAAGGTGTTTACAGGTTACAGGTGTGGACTCACCCTTTTGTTGTTCATATTATCTGCGATTGACACACTTTTTCAGGATGACACTTTTTATGATCATGGTTATACTAGGAGAGTCATTCAACAGTATGGTTTATGTTGGGAGAGATGGCGACAATGGTGGCGCCAATCTTTTGCCTTGTTTTCAACCCATGGTGATATTTGCAGTTTTCCTGTTGACTTCCACGATAAGGGTTTTATTCCTGGCACTCTTGATTCTCAATGATCCATTTGAGTATGACTTTGAATACATTAGTGTTGACAACCTGCTGGCCAAAACAGAGCGAGAAATCTTCATGCATTTGAGAGCTAACTTTGGATGCACCGAGGATCTCAATTTCAGAAATCCTGGTGAAGAATTGGGAGTTGTGTCACCGAACAAAACCAAGGTCAATTCATAATAATGGATGTAATCCTGGTGCCGGTAGAACTGGAGTACATCAATGAGTGTGGATTTAGATGCTTGACCAACAGCAGTACGGTACAGTCGCAAGCTACTCTGTAGCGGGATAGTGCAAACTATGAGCTGGTCACCTGCCTTCACGCAGTCTGGAACACCTGGGCTTGCACTTAGCGAAAGGCATCAGGAAAGCACCCACGTCAGTGCAAACTAGCAACACAAAATCAAAGTGGCACAGTAGATCTGCAGTTTGGTCGAGAACATCACAGCTGTCTTGGTAGTGCAACAGGGAAGTCTACACAATGGATGGACTGCAAAATCCTGCTATGTAGCTAGACTAGGACACGACAAAGCCGTGGCTTGAAGAAGCTGTTGCAACTGGCTAGTGCCGATCTACTACTTTCGGGCATTGCCCCATCCCCACAGGACCATCTCAGGGGGGTATATTGTCTTTTTGAAACTGGGTCGGGCAAACACAGCATCCATGTATGCCCGGACCTTTGGAAATTGTTGTCCCAAATCAATGGATTTGTTTTTGAATCCTTCCAAGCCGGTCTGCATATGATAGAGTTTGGGTGCCAAGGAGCAATCCACCAGTGTCATTTTCTCTCCACTGCCAACCAAGAAGGGGCCAGTCCTTCCGGTGCTGCCCAAATGTGTTTCTAAACTTGTCAATTTTTCTTCCAATCCAGCTTTCAATGCCAAATCATCGTCATCTCCATCGGGCGTATGCTTGAGATATTTGGCAATGGCAGGGAAAATTCCAGCAACGGCAGCTTCCGCTGTTTCCATGTCGGCTGCGGCAGCTTTGAGTGGTGGTTCTGGAAAGAAGACATCCACATATAGGGCAATGTCCATGGACTCGACATAGCATTCTTTCTTATGGCGCAATGCGGGCATTTTGCCACCAAAATGGTCCACCAACCATTTTGGTTTGGTTTCCTGGACGCTGGGAATCAACTCGTATTCCAATCCCTTTTCTTCCAAGACTAGTCGGACCAAGTGAGTAAAGGGACAATCACCAACCGCTCCATCGGGACCAGCTTTCAGATACAGGGACATGCCGCCCTCTGGTTTTGTGTGTGAAAAAGAGAGAGAGAGAGAGAGAGACAGGGACGGGAAAGAGGAAATGACAGCAAAGTGAGATATGTGTTCCAATAAATGCACCAGAATTGACAAACTGCCAACCACAAAAGCATCTCCTTTTCTTTGGTGGGCGCGACTCCTTCTCGTCTCACTTCCAGACCCCGTTTGGATTCTGAACCTTAAAAGGGCGGAGGTTGACGATATCAGCCACTGGCGGATAGGAAGTCGGGAAACAATCAATCCCAAAAGGGCCTATTGCCGTCCTGTGCAGCAGAGACTTTCATGGTGGCCTTTTTGCGGTTCCACAAGCAACGCTCGATGGATCTTTTGATCTCTTTTGTAACTGAGCTCTCCAAACATAAAAAATCCCAGCAACGGCTGATCGAAGAACATGCCATCAAAGTCAACCATGGAAACCAACACTCCTCTCTGCGCTTGTATTGTCTTACCTGGCAGTCCCCATTTTTCCCAGTCTGGAATTTCCTTTGTTGCTGGCGCCGCCATGGTGTTGTGCGGTGCCGTTGTTGTTTTTTTTGTGTCGTTTCGTGGTCTTCTCTGGGTCCGAAACTGCTCCTGCAGTCTGAGTCACAGACTGATTCGATTCGAATCAAATCATTCGATTCGATTCATGATCATCAATCCAACCTTCAATCGTCTGCGAAGCAGATGTGTCTTGAGCTCTACCAGTACCGTAGCTACTACTAGCTAGCTAGTAGCTAGAGCTTAGCCAAAGATATCGTGTACATGAATGCTAGCTATGACACATGTAGCTATTCCAGAGTCGAGTCAGACCAGGCAGCATCAACATTTCATTTACAACTGTCTGCCCAGTTAGCAGAGCTTGCAGCGGCCGTGGGACCAATATGTTTGCTTTTTTGGAACTTGCCACCTTGCAGCTGGAGTTGTGAAAGGCAAGTCTTGCGCGTTTGAGGTGATGACGACGACGTCTACCAGAATAATGGTTCATTCTTCGGGCTTTCATTCCAAAAGCTACTGCTCATGTCACACATGGTCTTGGCAACAGTTCAATCAATCCCCGATGATTGATTCCAACGCCAGACATACATCTCTGTATGGTCAGTACTTCTAGCCATGGCTTGCTCCTTTTCTTTTCCTTTTTTGATTCAACATGACTGACTGACTGATTGTCAACTCTTTTGAAAGGATGTAAAGGATGTATACAATATCATGTTTCGGCCCATAAAGGGCAAGTAGTCTGTTTGAATGACACTCTCTGTAGATCTAGTATCATCATCATCATCATCCTGAATGGGTGGTCGCAGATCCTGGAGATATAGACAAAAGAGGCGATATGATCTAACATGTTTCCCTTGGTAGACTCGATGGGGAAAGAGGGACGGCATGACACAGCAGGGAAGGAGTGCGAATGGAACCTTGAGATGCTGTGAAAACCAAATGATTGGTTCCGTGGCTTGATCTGGGTGCATTCCAACAATCATGCTGGCAGACTTCAAGACGCGTCGTTCTTGCTCCGTGGTTGTTGTCATTAGAAGATGTGTGCCATTTCCTTCCAGAGCATGTTTCAATACTGGTATTTTTGGTTGTGGATCATGATCGATTGATAACCTGGGTTGGGGGTCCAAAACAACCGAAGGGATTCCCAATTGCTGCAAGGAACGGCTTAGTTCTCCATTTCCTCCAGCAACGTCCAGGACTCCAGATCCAGTGGAGAGAAAGTCTTTGCCATAGGTATCCAGAAGCCACTGTGCAAACAGGACGTGCCTTTGAGACTTGTCGTGCATTGTGAATACTTGCGAGGAGGAAGGAGAAGAAGAAGAAGATTGTCGTGGCGCGACAGTGAACTCGCTTGAGCCGTTGTCGATACTGACGACTTCACTGCATTCAATGAGCTTGACACCCCTTCGATTTCTTTCAATGGCTGTGGTCAGTACTGTCTTTATTCGTAGGCAGACTTCATCCGTTCCATCATCATTGCTGAATTGGTGCCAACCGGTGGTTTTGCCATTCGATTTGAAGGGTGGCGCAGGAGTGTTACTATTTTTTGTTGTGGAATGCTGCAAGTACTCTTGTATCCGGTTCACGTCGGAGCAGCTTCGTACAAAGACATGGCACGGTTCTTTGTTTCGAAAACCAAGACAACATGTTTCTACAGCATCACTGTCGTCTTGTCCAGCCGACGAGGCAGAGACGATGACAACAAAACCATGCGCCACTGCGAGTTTACGTCCTACAATCTTTACTTGCTTCACACAAACAGACAACTCAGCCAGTGCCATGACAACGACAACGACAATGGCAGAGGCTCTGGGGATTCGATTGATTCAACGACGTTTTGTTGCTGATGATTTAAGTCAGCGGGAGCTGCGATACCTCGGCAGAAAAACAGATAGAAGAAGGAGGATTATGTTCGGATTGCACCCATCTTTCAAGCTAGCCCTGGCGACAACACCCGACTACGTCGTGTGTTGCCGCCCGGTATCATTCATTCCCTCATTGCAACCTTCTTTTTATGAAGCTAGCCCTGGCGACAACACCGGACTACGTCGTGTGTTGCCGCCCGCTACTCTATAATTTACCAGCTGCCATTCCCTTATTGTAACTCTAACCTTTACAGCTCCTGCTGGCTTATTGTGCTGTTGTGATGATTGCACTAACCTTAAATATTAATGATTTATTCCTACCCCTAACTTGTATTGAACCATCAATGTTCAGTTTTGTTGGCTTATGACTATCTCTATCCTAATACTTTGGCTTCGCCGGAATAGGAAATAGGAAATAGCATTAAGTCAGCGGGAGCTGCGATACCTCGGCAGAAAGACAGATAGAAGAAGGAGGATCATGTTCGAGATTGCACCCATCTTTCAAGCCAGCACTGGCGACAACACCCGACTACGTCGTGTGTTGCCGCCCGGTATCATTCATTCCCTCATTGCAACCTTCTTTATTAAGCTAGCCCTGGCGACAACACCCGACTACGTCGTGTGTTGCCGCCCGCTACTCTATAATTTACCAGCTGCCATTCCCTTATTGTAACTCTAACCTTTACAGCTCCTGCTGGCTTATTGTGCTGCTGTGCTGATTGCACTAACCTTAAATATTAATGATTTATTCCTACCCCTAACTTGTATTGAACCATCAATGTTCAGTTTTGTTGGCTGATGACTATCTCTATCCTTATACTTTGGCTTCACCGGAATAGGAAATAGGAAATAGGAAATAGATAAGTTAGCAGGAGCTGCGATACCTCGGCAGAAAGACAGATAGAAGGAGGATCATGTTCGAGATTGCACCCATCTTTCAAGCCAGCCCTGGCGACAACACCCGACTACGTCGTGTGTTGCCGCCCGGTATCATTCATTCCCTCATTGCAACCTTCAAATTATTAAGCTAGCCCTGGCGACAACACTCGACTACGTCGTGTGTTGCCGCCCGCTACTCTATAATTTACCAGCTGCCATTCCCTTATTGCAACTCTAACCTTTACAGCTCCTGCTGGCTTATTGTGCTGTTGTGCTGATTGCACTAACCTTTTAAAAATATTAATGATTTATTCCTACCCCTAACTTGTATTGAACCATCAATGTTCAGTTTTTGTTGGCTTATGACTATCTCTATCCTTATACTTTGGCTTCACCGGAATAGGAAATAGGAAATAGGAAATAGCATTAAAGGGGTTGAGAACTCAGGCAGTTTACCTGCCGAGGTAAATAGGAAATAGGAAATAGGAAATAGCATTAAAGGGGTTGAGAACTCAGGCAGTTTACCTGCCGAGGTTAAAGGGGTTGAGAACTCAGGCAGTTAACCTGCCGAGGTATTCTTCCTCTACGCTGTTCAATAAATGGAAGGCATTGGCAGAAGGACAGAACAGTGTTGACAGCTTTGCAGGCCATATCAATGACGTCAGTCAAGGAGAAAGCATTCTCATCTCGCCACTGCTGCATGTCAACCGCTCACCGCTCACAAAACGCCAACAAACATCACTTTTACTTCTCAACGCAAAGATATTGTACCATCTTTCTTTGCCATCACGCTAGAACCATGGTGGCCCTATTTGTGCTTTTGTCTTTTGGGTTGATATGCTGTCGACTATCGGAAGTGGACGGTTTCTCGTTGTCGTGTCCTCGTACCGGTAGATGCGCTCGTTCTCAAGACCAGAATCTTTTTGCAACAAAGGAGCCACACTTGGAAGATGGCAACAAGAATGGTGGATCTACCAATACGAGGCGAGCCTTTTTGATGGAACAAGCAGTGACTTCTATGGCCGGGACGGTGGCAGGAATTTCTCTCCCACAACTAGGTTTTGCAATGGTGGTGGAAGATAACAACAGCGATAATGATTTCATCAAGGAGCTCAAAGCTCGGTCAGAGAGAAACCGTGAAAAATACAATCGGGAGGCTCGCACAGCTGGAAAGTTGGACAAATCAAGTCTGGACCATAGACCATCATTTGTGGGCATCCGAAGGGTCGATGGAACCTTCAAAATCGTCAGTCCAGAGGCACTGGAGGATCTAAAGGCCCAAGGACTCGTCATTGAAGAATATGATACTGTCACAAACCGGGTTGGAGAAGTCAAGGTCAACACAAAAAAAGGAAAGATATTGCAGTTCCCAAATGCCCAAGCACAAGCCGAAGCGGAGAAGCAACTGGCGTCATCCAAGTCACTCTCAACGGAAGCACCAGAAGCACCTCCAATGACGACAACAACAACATCAACTCATGAACCTATGCAAGCCAGTGCTCCTGAGCCACAACAAACGGTGCCTGCCACTGAGAGTAGTACCGCGCCAAATGCAGCCCCTCTTTCTCAATCAGAACCTACGCCAATACCAGAACAGCAACAAGCCCCAGAACCCACGCCATCAGTGGAGCCTGAGCCACCATTGAGAACAGTGGAGCCTCCAAGACCAGCTCCACAACAGCTGGCCGAGACAGCTTCACAGCAACAACCTGATTCTGTGGCAGAATCAACACCACAACAACAACTGCCTGACTCGACTCCAAAGGAAGTGCCTGAATCAACCCCACAACAACAACAACCAGCTCCAGAACCGATAGTAGAAGAAAAGGCAGCACCAGTTCCAGAGTCTGTTCCACCGGAAACAGTGGCTGTAGCACCACAGGAAAACTTGAAACAAGAACCAGCAATTCCTGCACCAGTCCCTGTACCTAAACCTGCACCTGCACCTGCACCAGAACCTGCACCAGCCCCTGCCCCTGTACCTGCACCTACACCAGAACCTGCACCTACACCAGAACCTGTAAGAGCCCCGGAACCATCACCTGCACTAGAGCCAGAATCTATTCCAGCCCCTTCACCTGCGCCACCGCCACCACCGCCGTCCGAAGTAGCAGCACTTCCTGCTGCAGAGTGAAAGGAGCAGTATAAGAGATAACCCCAGTGAAAGATAGCTATATGTTACAGTATGATACGTTTCCATGTGTTCGCCCTCGTCGTTTACAATTCTTGGAGGACGTTTCACTCTGACAGTGTACTTCTCGTTTTGTGATCCGTGTCGTCACCATCATCATCGTCATCACTAAAAAGGCTCGACGACGACCCGCTATCATCCTCATCGTCGTCGTCAAACGTGGAATCGTCGCTCATATTGGAACTGCTGCTATCCAAGTCATCCAAATTGAAGATCCCGACACGTTCCAGCGGATCGGTTGACTTTTTGTGCCTGCCTTTGCTCTTCTCGTCGTCCCCGTCATTGCCTCCATCATCACCGGCCTTTGGGACCGCACGGCGGGTGCTTTTCTCTTTTGCATCCACTTTGCATGTAGGATTCGCATCACGTTCCTGAGAACTCTCTTCTCCGAACATGGCCCCTGTTTTCATCTGTCCGTCCTCCTTCGCCTTGTTGTGAAAAGAGGTTAGGAAGTCTCTTTCAATCTCCTCAAAGGCAACCATTGTCCAGCCCAATAACTGATCCAGCGGTTGCTTTTTCCTCTCTGACAGGGGCATTACAAAGTGATCTGGGTTGCCAGCATTGTACCGAGTGTGATAGTGATAATACCGTTCCACAATTTCGATGATCTGGGCGGCCTCCTGCTCCGTGTTCTCAAACTGCTCGAATTGTTGGACATCGTCCATCAAGATCAAGCCAATGCTCACGCTGCTATTGGGGGGACTGCTGTTGACATCTGATACACCAGAAGAAGGATCCTTTTGTTCCGGCACTGGGCTGATGACGTGCTTCTTCGGTTTCTTCTTGTTTACCTTCTTCCCTTTCTTTGCGGACTTCTGCTTTCTGTGCTGCTGAGGTCGCCCCCCCTTCTTTTCTGTCCTAGCTTGGAATCGTTCGAGGAAAGAGGTTTTGGTTGATTTTGTTTCGTAAGAGCGTCCTCGTCGGAGATTCGAAGTAGCCGTGTTGCTCTCCAGACTCGAGCTCGCACCAGATACAGAACTAGCCGCAGGGGACGTAGGATTATCAAACAAGGCAGCCTTTCCCATGTGAACTAATTCAATGTACCTTTCGCCGCTGTCCGTTAGAATGGTTGTCGTCGGGCCCGGACTTAAGGACCTGATCACATTTGCAGGTGTGAAGGTGATCTGCTTCGGTCGTGGACCAGTTGGGATATATATCTCCATATCTTTCTTCAAGTCGGCCAAACCACTGAGTTCCTCATCGTCATCCGAGTCATCGTCGTCGTCGTTGTTAGTGGTGTCCTGATCAAACGTATAGTGACCTATCGCTTTCTTACGCTTTGCAGCGTTTTCCCGAGCTAACTCGGCTTTGAGGGCAGCTTCCGCCTCGGCAATCTTTTGAGCAATGATGGCAAAGGCTGGATTATTCTGAGGGAATGTGTCGAGGGTAGGAAGAAGCAGCCTCTCATCTGGTTGTTTGGCAACTAGATGCGATACTGGCTTGTGGCCGGGGTTTGACCAAACAACAGAGCCCCTTGATGGGTCGCCTTGCTTCTTCAACGATGCCTTTCTTGGGATTTGAATAAAGTGGTTACCAGCTGTGAGCAGTTTCAGTGTACTGGATGGGCTGCAGCAGTCCATGTCTCCTTGTGAGTTTGATGTAGAAGGCACCAACTGGTGTCTTGTGGTCAAAGCCGTCTCGTGATCAGTGCGAGTAGTTGACACCGAATAAGACACCGTGGAGACCCCACTGGGGGACAGATAATCGTCTTCCTCGACGACCAAGATTTCGGAAGGATGCTCGCGAGGAGGAGAGGTTCGCTCTCTTCTGGCGCCGTCTTTGAGGTGTACAGGGGGCGATCTCCGGGCCTTCTCTTCTTTCGGTGATTCACGTTTTTGCTCTTCGGGAGCGCCTTCAGTAGTTTTCGTCTGCGATGATGGTTGTGGGTAACACGACAAGGCTTTCCCGCCGTCGTCGTTGCCCGTATCCAGAATGCTGTTTGCGGGAGAGGCGTACTCCTTTGAGTCTCCTGAATCTCTTGCTTTGTTGGTCGTCTCTTCCGTTTCGCTCTCCTCGGACGATGGCAACACTTTCAACAAGCTCATCATATTCTCGTCTACTTTCGGGCACGGAACTGGGAATGTGTAAGAGCGGTTCTGGAGAGATCTCTGTGGGCCGAGGTACTCCGGCAAGGACTGTACTGTCTGATATATGCCCGAGATGTCGGACACGGTTGTCTCGCTGTTCGTCCCTGTCAGTTTTAAGCCGTGTTCTCTCTTCAAGTTTTCGAGTCTCGTCCGTGACATCCTTGCTTCTTCTTCTGCAAGAGATTTGATCAAATTTGACAGACTTATTGGAGTTTCATCAGTTGGACTTGCGTCTACTTCGGGCCATTCGTCGGTCAAATATGACTTTGAAGAAGCCACGGAGGTTTTGTGGTAACTGTCCTGGCCAATAGACTCTAGGTCGGGCTCCGACGTCTTTGCATCCTTTATCTTCCGCACACGGGGGAGCTTTTTGATTAAACGAACAACGTGACTTGGTGACTCAATCGCCATGAGTTCGTCTTCCTCATCGCTTGGATGGGATGACGACTGAGATGAAGCATCTTTATTTTGTGGCGACGTACATGCCTCCTGCGCTTCTCTGGCGGGGACACGCTTGTTGCCCGCCATCGGACTTGACCAGGTCTGAATGGTCCATGCAGTTGCACCAAGCAACCGTCCATTGTTGCGCGACGGGGAGCAGTCAATGAGTGGGGTTTGATGGAAAGTCTCATCGATTTCTTGATGTCCAAGGGTTGAAGGAGTTGCTGGTGCCAGCATACCAGGCAATGGTGACGAATTAAGCGTAGTTAATCCACCTCCCAACAAAGAAATAGATGTAGGTATATCCTTCAACGAGGAGGATTTGCTATGCTTGCTGTTCTTGAGGCAACCTTTCGCTTGTGATGACTGAGTGTGTATTTTCTTCTCTGTAGGATGAACATTCTTTGTATCTTCGAGTTCAGTCTTTTCGTGTTTATCGTGCTTGGCCCCATTCTGTTCTTTTGTCTCGGGAGGTTTGCTAGCATCCAAGCCATTTCGTTCCCGATTCCTCTTGCTGCGCATCGGAGCCTCACTTGATGGGGACTCACCAAATCGAGGAATATGGGCACGCCTTCGGACTGCCGGCTCCTTTATTCGAGGAATCGATGTTGGAGTTGATGTGTCCCGAAAGGGATACTCATTTTCATTGAGCATAATCGAAGGCTTCTTGCGTGGCCCTCGTGGATTCTCGTCAAAAAGGGGAGGAGGGATGTGCGTAGGAGGGGCAGGAGAAATCGTAACTGTCTTGCGTTTGTGGTTACCACGGTGGTCTGCCGAAGAAGGCGGTGAATCAGCCGAAGAAAGTGCATGATGCTGTCTTTCTGGGCGCCGAGGCACATCATCTGAAGTCGTTGGACGTAAAGGTGCAGAGAATTTTGACAAATTATCCTTCTGCTCTTCGGTCGATAGATTAAGATTAGGTGTTAGTGTGCATGGTGGGCTCTTCGATCGATTGTGAAATGATGTCTCGCCCCTTCACTCTTACCTTCGGTGCTCGTACGAAGGTTGGATGCATTAGTCGCGTCATCCCAGCTCTGACTCTTGTGGAATGGTGTACCGGCGGGCCGGTACTGCAATCTCCTAGGTCGCAATGGAGAATCTGCATCGTCAGCACTATCACGTTCTAGGTCGAGTGGCTGGACAGGGGCAACTCTCTGCCAATGGGCAGCAGAACTACCGTTGTGTCTAACGATATCGCTTTGTGCGCAAGGAGTAGTCGGTGTTTTTGTTTCTGTATCATCCTTCAGCTTCGGTAAACCATGCACCCGCCGATGACGCAAGGGGCTGCCGCCAGAGTCATCAAAGTTCCATTCGAGGTGGTCCTGTTTCAGATTAAGGGGCTGCTGGGGTTGATCGTCATTGCCTTCCTTTGGCTGCGATTTTGCTGTGAGCGCTCGTGTAGGATACGCTTCGGATTCTTCGTCGGTCTTTTTCGATGTCAATCCCTCTGTTTCGTTCAAGCCGTGTTTAACGACGCTGTGTGTATCCTTGGAATTGGTGCGTTTCCGGTCCTTGATGGGTGTGTTGGACCGTCTCATCGACCGTCTCTTGATGAATGAAAAAGTATCTGAAGTGTCTTTCGGAGATGGTGTCTTGGTTGTCCTTGACATGATGAGCTTGGCTCTGGAAATAATGTTGGGTGTTGCCTTCAACTCTTTTGGGTAACGACGAGGCATTTCCACTTGAGATTTCGGGGTTGTTGGAATCTCGTCCTCCTCGTGACGCACATCAATGTCATCGGCAGCCCTAGGTGATAACACCATGGGTATGTCACTATTAGGCGTTTCATCCTTCATCGTGTCAAATGCAAACTTGCTGCTTCGTTTGTTCCCAGTCCCTCTTTCTGGCGCTGATGGTTTCTCCGTGCTGTCATTGTCTCCGCTTCGAATCCTTGTCCGCTCTTTGCGTTTCTCTTTGCTGTTGTGTGGTTTCAGTTCCAGTGCTGTTACCGCGTCCTCTGATGGCGCACGTTTTTTCGTTCGCTGGGGTTCGACCGAGTCGTAGGGTCTCCCTGCTGTTCGTTCTTTTTCATCTGCTATCAGCTCATCAAATGCCGCCTCTTCCCTGTGGACAGTCGCTGACAAAGTCTTTGATTGGCGTCCCAGCGCTCGGTCAGGTGGAACCGATGAATGCTGCTCATTGCTACGTATCAGCTTTGAATTCATGGGAGTACGGAGCTGGCTAAACCAACCATCTCCCGAGGACTCACCCGTTCTTGGTCCTTTCGGTGTATTGGGAGCAGCAGGCGAACCATGCTGAGAGTTTTGTTGCATGAATGGATTCGTGGGTGGCGGAAAGGACGGCTTCGTGGGTTGCTGATTTGGAGTCCGAATATGTTGCTGACTTGACGTTCGAGTATGTTGCTGAAACTGCGGCTGCTGAAACTGATGCTGAAACGTCGGCTGACGAGGTTGTTGCGCCTGAATCATGTTGTTGGCCAAGAGAGCCAGTGTCTGCTGGATGCTGGAGAGCGACCCTTCTATGGCATCAAATCTTGGGGCAAAATGGGACTCCATGGCTTCCGTAATAGCTTTCAGCTTTCTCGGCGACACGCGTCCATCGTCCTCGTTCGTTTGTTGAACGTCAACGTTGGGCGGCCTGCCGTTTCCAGTTGGCAGACCGTCAATACTCTGTTGCAGGGCATCAAACCTGGAAGCAAAGCTTTCTTCTACCGTCGCTACGACCGATTCCAGGGGAACATGGTCAGCTGCGTCGCTGGCATCGCTAGCTGCTGCAGCTTTGTTGCCCTTGTTTTCGCTAGTAGTGCGTGTATCTTCCTTTTGCGTCGGGGTATTAGACGACGACACAATACCTCCACGAAAGGAGACGGGAGGGGAAGCAGCCTGTCGAGTTTCCTCTGTTTCACTGATTGCGGTCGACTTTATTCCCTTGTTTGGTGGAGGAGAGGATTGTTCTTCCTGACGACCTTCCCTAATTCCCTCGACTTGTTGATTGCGCTTGCCTGCTACTTGAGATGATTTGGCACTGCCGGCAGTTGTCATCGACGCCGTTGCTGCCGTGGCCGCCCCCTGGATTACCAGCTGATTCTTCCCCATCCGGTGACTTTTGTTGAATCTGGCCGATGGCCCCAACCGATATTTGACTCTATCCCGCCTAGAGGTGATTGTACTTGCGACCGTAGAAGGTGTAAGAGGCTGACGCTCCTGCGACCCTGGTTGGAGCGACTTCCACAGATACTGCTTCATGTGCCCCATGAACAAGCGATCGATTTCTTCCGGGTCGCTCTTTCGTATCATTTCATCGAGAGGTAACGAATGAAAGAGCTTATCGTTCATCAACAGCTCTCGACTATCCATTTGTGCCAAGATGGACAAGTCGTCTGCTGCCTTCGAATCGTTCCCGCTGCTGCTCTTGGTGGCGGCAGTTGCGCCATTAGGAGGAGCTCGATCGCTCATGGCTTGGTCTGCCTACAGCTAGCTAGCCAATCAACAAAACCACAGAATCCCCCGTTTCAGTCTCTACCGAGAGAGCAAGCCTAAATGTATTGAGTAGTCTCCTGACGGTCGGACTGGTCCTGATTGTAGACCACTCCGATGTCGACGACAGTCTCCACTCGAAGAACCTTCGTCTCTTTTGAGTTGGAACCGTTGCCTTTTGCAGTGTGGCACGCTAGCTCAGAGAGAGAGAGAGAGAGAGAGTCTCAATTCCGTGTGAGTAGGGCAAAGCCTCCCATGTGCAATCTACTTGACGCTTGAGCATCTTAGCTGAGGGAGCTCTTGATTTTGGCTCTGGCATCTTCGCCGTTGCTTTGGAATGGGAGTTGGAGGCAGCTCCCAGAGAGCCGAAACGTCCATTACTTAGATGAGCTGTAATTTGGCGAATCATTACTTAGGGCGCCTTTCCGAGATTTAGAGATCGAAACGCATTTGGCAGCGACAGCGCTCCCAGAAGCGGGAGGAACAAAGGCTTGCATGCGCACACTTAGCCGTCTTCTACTGTACCGTACACCGTACTGGTACTGGAGTACATTACAGTACTCACGTACACGCTACCAGTACAGTCGTACGGTTTGATACGAGGGAGCAGGGAGTGGTTGTTGTCGAGTCGGCCAATCACAGATAGATGTGGATGATGAGTGCACGTAAAAGAAGGACAGTCCCACCGGTTGCACACACAGGCTGGGCCCTTTTTACGATTATGGGCTCAAAGCCGCCGGTGACAGCCGTGACAGTCCAGCGCCAGTATCAACGAGGTGGCTGACCGGTACCGGGACCACTCACCAGAACCGAGAGTCCGACTACGGTGTGTTTGTGCTGCCTTTTGCAATAGCTGTGCTGAGCAGCTACCAGTACGCTGGTACCGCAAGCTAGGGGTTGCATGCATGCTACACTGCGGTAGTTCATTCGGTTAGCTAGAGCTTCGACGACTACTTTTTCAATACAATGGATCTTGTATTGTTGTTGCATTGCATTGATGATGATAACCATTGGCATCGGTTCTTTTTTGCCAAGAGAGCGAACTAGCCCTTCTCTTTGATCCGGCTGCCCTTCTCACGGCTGATCTTGGCTTCGCTTTTCACCTTTTGGTTGGGAGTCATTTTGATGTACTGTAGCATGTAGCAATGTCATGATGCCAATCTTATTATGGTTCCAGTAGTAACTACAGTACCGTTACATGGTGTACTTACCGTGAAGATCCTTGGTTGGTACCGATACCTTTTGACTGGTCGCGGGCGGAAGATGACCATTCAGCCATGTTTGCCTGGAATCCAATCAATCAATCAATCAATCAATCTAGCTACGGTAGCAAATACATCAGCTATGGTAGCCAGTTGCTTGACTCGAATACAGGCTCCGCTGTCTAGCTGTGGCTGTTGTAGGTTCTTGCTTTGTCAAACGGTACGAGATTCGATTGAAGATCCTATCCTAGCCGAAACCCATGGATTGGGTTTGCATCGTTGTTGGAGCGTGGACTTGTACATGTATAGTATGATGGATAGTTAGAGATCTTCTTGGCAAAGTGGTGTTACAGTAGTATCTATCTATTTATTTACAGTAGTATACTTGCTAGTTCAGTCAGCGTAGCAACCAACAGCAAGAGACAGCAGCGCAGATATAGCAGGCTGATTTGGAAGTGATGGGGCAGGAAGGAATATGGGGAGGAAAGAGGATCTCATCCATCAGCTGCAGGCTTGTCGTTTTGTTTTGCTTTCTTGTTGGTGCTCTTCCCTTCTATTCATTGATCGATCGATTGATCTCTATGATATGGATGTCATGCCCATGTTGTACGTGATCTGATCGGTTGTGATCTAGTCAGTCCCGTGGCATGACAAACCAGTGTTATGAAAGTCTCGTCAGTAAAGGGGCGTGTGGTTTGGATTGGCAGGGCGCTCATCATGTAGGATGATGGCGCAGGTTTTTGTTTTGCGTTTGTCTTGTTTTGCTGTTGCTTATACAATCTGGAGGTAAGGAGTGTCGGAGGAGGAAGTGGGTTGTATTAGCGATGTACATGTAGTTGTGGAAGTAGAAGAAGGAGCTTGGAGAAGTACATCGGCAGTGATGAGTGGCAGTTGCTTGCTGTGTGTGGATGGCTGTTGCAGCAGCACTTGCAGCACGATCACGACACACAGCACCATAAGTGCCAGCAAGGAGAGAGCCGCTGTGAGAAGGCTGGAAGCGGGTGGAGCAGAGTCGTTGGTGGAAGGAGGAGAGAGAACAGGAGGTTCTTGTTGTTCTTCTTGTTCTTCTTCACCACACTCCGACTGAATGGCTTGAACAATGTGACGACAAATGGCTCGATCGTAGTCGCTGTTGTCGAATGTTCCAGGAAGAGCAAAGGCAGTATGGTCCGAGTCGCATCGACACCGACTGTCGCCTTCTTGAGAGTAGGCGGTGCACAGACACGACATTTCTTCCAATGCCGTTTGAAAGACTCGTTTCGATTGCCATGTGTGTGCTACATTGCAACTGCTAGAGGCGGGCATACCGGTAGCTAGTTCTTCTAGTAATTGAATGAACTCGACTTGTCCAATGAAACCGTCCATCGTGAAGTCAAAGTCTTCTATCAGTTCCGAACATTCTACTTCTAGTGATGATACTGATACTGATACTGATGCTTGTTGTTGTTGTGCTTCTGCGTGTGGTAGTGGGGCCCAAAGGGCGACCAGAAGGAGTACTACTAGTATTTGCAAAGGAGACATGGTAGTTGCGATTAGAATGATTGAAATTTGTGGGCGTTTCGACCGATGAAGTTGGTGAATTGGAGCTGCTCGTAAATCGTGCAGGGACCGCAATGCAAATACTGGTGGACTCGTCGGTGTGGCAATACAAAATTGTATGTGGCCACGGAAGCCAAACGCTGCACAGCCCATCAAACCTTGCACGACGGACCAAGGAAGGCAGGCATTGGTCAAAATGTGAGCTGCCTCCAATGCAGTTTGGCGGGTTAGATTTACTGAAATGACCCGAAGGATCCGAATTGAACAGAGAACTACTCTGGACTGTGGAGACGACTAAGTAAGTCTTTCTCCTGATTATGACTGCCTGTTGCCTGGAACCCAAAAGTTCGTACAACCCGTAACAATTGCGGTCAACAATATTGCATTGATCGTGAAACCTTATATGTGAGCAAACTGGAAGCAGTCTTTTTCCTCGGAGTTCTTCTTTATGGTTCGACAGGTCCAACTACCACACCAGTGCTGGTGTGCTGGTCCCACGTCCTCGCTCTGCTGCTACTGGTACGACTAGCATGTGCCATGGTGCCACGTGCCACGCACTTCAACAAAATTTACTTTTGCATAAGACACAATGAATGCGTTGAATGGTTTGATGACTTAAGTGCAGGACTGCTTTTAGTTTCCTCCCAGTATCAGATTCTGTTATCTTACGGTGGTAGACTGTACAGCAACTGTTGAGAGTTGGGAGAGGGCACCACCAGTTAGCACCAATGCAAGCACCAAGCTCAGCTCAGCAGCTCAGCAGCTCAGCACAGCAGCACAGCTCTCAGCACTCAGCACCCAAAGTCAGCACAGTCCTTTGTAAGTCTTCCAGACACACCACACACTACATAGCAGCTACACAGTACTATTAATAGTACATGTAGCTACACAGTGAAGAAAAAGGAGAACTCCAGAGAAAAGAAAGCAGTACCGGTAGACTACTGAGTGTACGTGAAACGCTAAGGTTTCATGCAGCAGATTACAGCAAAATTTCCTTAACAAAGTTGGAACTTTGACCGTAAAATAAATAAATAAATGTCGGAGATCTAGATGGGGAGGTTGAAATAAGTCCACAAAGAAAGTGTCTTGCTGTTCTTGTAAATGACCTCAACCGAGCATCCGTACTTGTTGATGTTGCGTTCAAGCTTTCAGATTTACTTCCGGGCTCCTGGCTGTGCTGGTACTGTACGGTTTCTTTGTTGCCAGTACTAGCTAGCTAGTAGCTCTGAGTAGGTTACATGTAGCACCTCCTTCGATTGTTGTGTCCGTTGCTGCAACCTGTGAGGTACTGTATCGTCGCTCGCATCGAGAAAACGTTTGGTGTGTTTGCGGTACCAAAACGAAGCCTTTATTTACGAGCAAAACCAAGACTCTCTGGCTAGCTGGCTGGATTCGATTCTACAAGCTATTCTACTGGACTCCACAAGAGTCAGCCACCGAGAAACCAATGAGGATCAATGCTGCTACTTACGGTATGGTACTGTAGTGACAATGGAGCAGGCAGAGAGCGAAGATACAGAGCTACTAGCTAGTATGGGTACACAACTTAGCCCCCCTTCCCATCAACCCCAAAGATTCCATTGAATCTTTCGTGGGACCTCCATGGATCAACTGCCACCGAGCGATGCTGGGAAAGCAGAAAACCTGGGGTGAGTGACGAGTCCAGTCAGCGAATGTTTTTGTACTTGCATCGTTTGACACGAACGGTAACCTGAATGGATGATGAGAATGATGGTTGTCCTATGATATTATGATATTGCTGGTGCAATGGCGCAGCCAAAGCAAGGAATGTGTGTTGCCAGACTACTATTAATACAATTACTAGGGGATTGCATGTGGGGTGGAAGCAAAATCGACCTTGTAGCGGAAATGGCTACATACATGTACATGTGATAACTTTCAACACAGATAGCAGCGGTCGAAACTCGTGTTGGTCTTCCAATAAACATCCACCGTGCCCATCTTCTTCTGAAAGCATCCCACATTTCAGTCGAGAAAGGTTTAGCGGTACAGTACAAAAGTGAAAACCCCAAGAAAACAATTCTCTCGCCAAGATTCGAACTTGGGATGCTTGATTCAAAGTCAAGAGTGATAACCACTTCACTACGAGAGAACTGACAGATTACGCAATATTTTAGCAATAAATACCTTTGGTTTTGGCAACCCAACTCCCAATAAAGTAACCACACTAACAACCGTCACCAGTAGGGCCAGATGGCCCAATCATGGGCACTGGTTTGTGAATGGATTATTAAAGTAAGCTATCAACTGTTTGTAACCCAGTGCAAGTTTCAAAGAAAGGTGCCACTAACGTAGCCTGTAGGCTAGGGGTCAGCTGAAGCCAGGGATCATCATGGAGACGGGAGACCAGACGACGAACAGCAGGAGTGAAGAGCCGCCCACCATAGCAGTACCTCACTTTCACAGCAGAAGAGATGTTCCTACCAGCCAGTCTCAACGAACTTGCTTGTCTGAAAACAAGAGAGTAGGTACCGTTACCGGTAACTTAGCTACTCCATAAGGAAATTCAATGGTAGCATAACCAAAGAATCAGTCACTTCGAACTGGCTGTTTGCTTGGCTTGACGAAAACGTCCAATGATGAACAACTTGCATGCATGCTACCGGTACGACAGTTTTTGTTGAGTCTGCTTTTGGTTTCCTTGCTTGGGCTGCTTCTTTGCCAACCAATGGCAGCCAGGGGAGGGGAGCGAGAGTCGAGTCCAGTCATAGCTACAGAACACCTTCCCTCTCCATGGCTAGCTAGTTGTAAAATAGCTCATCTGTTGGGAAATATGAATGTGATCGCAGCGTCATAAAAAGGCCACAGCTGAGCCCACTTTGTGAAAGGAACTACCGGCAGGTTTATTGTGAAGCCAATACAAATAGGAAAGGAGCAGCTACCATGATAGCGGCAACTTTGTTGCCAAAACCAATGTCGTGCCAAACGATCGAGCCTGCGTGCCAAATTTCGGACTGGCCGAAAGATCACATCCGAACTGCGGCCGGCAATGGGAAGTCTGGTCAATTTTTCACCTCGCTGTGCTTCTTGTTGTGGACGCTCTCTGCAAGATTCTCGCAGCGCGGTCAAAACAAAAAGTTTCTCATTTCTTCTAACTAAGCTAGCTTTTAGCCAGCACAAGAGAAACAGAAGATGCGCTTGCCTTCATTGGTTCTTGCCCTGCAGTGGGCACTATATCTGTTGCCATTGATGGCACAGGGAGAGACTACTACCGAGACTACTCTTCAAGTTCAAGAGGCTCCTTCTTGTGGGGCAGAGGATCCTCAGTGCTTGGCGGAACGACCTCGAGCTGCTGACGAAGAAGTCTCCAATGCTGTGAATGCCAGTACTGCGGCTGGTGCTACCGGCAGTGGTGACAGTCAGTCTGACTTTGGAACTTGCGGTTTGTATCTTGCTCGTTCTACCATTCCGAATGCGGGCCTCGGTTTGTTTGTTGGCAATGACATCCCTGCTGGGTCCACTATTGGGGAAGAAGAGCTCTTTATCACGATCGTTGACAAGTTCAAGACGTTGCCGTATCGTGGCAATCAGCGCTTCCTTTCATGGCTTGGTTATGTTTACCCTGAAGAACCAGAAGCTTTTTGGCACTCTTCCGATGAAGCATTTCCTTCCATTCATCCCTCGCATTACGACATTGAGGAAGGCCTCAATTCTGCAACGGAATATCCTTTTATCGATGCTCAAGGAGACCAAGTCAGTGCATTTGTTCCTGGGATTGCTTCCATGGCAAACAGTCAACAGGAATTGGCCAACATTGATAGAGACCCCACCGGTAATCAAGCCGACTGGCCCTATCCCGTCGCACCACCATACTCACAAAACTACGGGGTCACCTATCAGGCCACCAGGGATATTCCCAAGGGTTCAGAGCTCTTCTTGGACTATGGCGACGCCTGGCATTATCGCCACCAGTTCAAGCACAAACATGGTTTTGTTGAATTTGCGCAGACACCAGAAGACTTTCACGATGGCCAGGATGTTTATATTCCCACCGAAGAAGAAAAACGAAATAGACTCGCAGGCATGGAAGAGGCGCTGCATCACAGCCTTTACCGAAAATTTCAAAAGGAGCTTGTTGAGGAGGCCAAAAGGAGAAGTAGAAATGATCAGGCCACCGTTGAAAATTCCAAAACAGCCGAGGCATCTCAGGAAGAAGAAACAACCAGCACCACCGCTACTACTACAACTACGGAACCAACCAAGGAACACCAAATGTTCCCTATTGGCACTTTTGTCGTGGATCAACTCGAAGAAGAGCACTGGGCCAGGGGAACCGTCACACACTACGACGAAGCAGCAGAAACGTACGAAGTTACTTTCTTCAATGGTCATAAGGAATACTATTGGGACCTGGAGGAAATGAAGGAGATTGTCGATAACGGCGTTGAAAAGAAAGAGTTCGTGCTACAACAGGAATATGAGAAACGCATGCTGGAGAGGGCGCTCTATCAAACGGAAACGGGAAACAAGAAAGCCGGAAGCAGGCCCCCGGCATGGCTCCAGAGAAATGGTCTTTGCATGGATAATCTGCGCGCAGGTGAATCCACCATTCCAGACGCTGGTCGTGGTGCCTTTGCAACTCGAGCTATTGCCAAGGGGGGAGTCATTGCGTCGGCTCCGTTGTTGGTACTCAAGCGCGACGATTTGATCATTTACGAAGCCGACGAATCGACCCCTATACTGAGAAATGTCCTGAACTTTGACAAGGTTGTTGGGCAGGAGCTCTTGTTGAACTATGCCTACGGAAAAGATGGGTCTCCAATTTTGTTGGTGCCAATTGCTCCTGGTGTGAGCTTCATCAACCACAATGGGAAAGAGCCTAATGCCATGATTCGATGGCCCGAACACAAGTCGCAGCTCTTTCGGGATGCCAAAGAGTGGCTTGATTTGCACCCCCTGGACGTTTTGAATGAGAGCGGCAAACTCATGATGGAGTTTGTGGCGCTTCGTGAGATCCAACCGGGAGAGGAAATATACATTAATTACGGCAAGGCTTGGGAACAGGCATGGGAGGCATTCAAGAATTCTGACCAGAAGTCAGAGTTTCGCCATGAGATTGAGGTGCCTCCGTCATTCTACCCTGTTAAATGGGATCAAGAGGCTGTGTACAAGCTGGCAAACACAGATGCGCCATTGAAGCCTGGCGAAATTGACGAGCTAAGATGGGCGCACAACGGTGAGAGAGTGGCCGATGGGGTAATGCGCGTTGGTTTGCCCACGGGATTCTCCGCGAAGATGCGAGAATACGCGGAAGAGAGAGGCATCACAGGTCTATATGAAAGGTTGGTTTCTGATACGTACCTTGATAATGACGGGTGGCACGTCCTTCGAATGACAGATGAAGAGGAGTGGTTTGCTCATCGGTACAAGAACACGGCGTGGAAGTTCAACATGCATTATGTTGCAGCCTGGAATGAGGCTGCTCGGGCAAGTGTTTATCGTACAATGTTGGATCTTGGGTTCGACGAGGCGTTGGGTTCCCTCGGAGAATTTTTTGGTTTGAACCACACCACCTGTTTCCACATGAGTTGGATGGGCCTCTCCGAAGCTGACAATAGCTTTACACATGCTGACGTCTATGCTTCAGGCAAGAAAGCTTACAACCTCATTTTCCCGATCATCACAGTCGACGGAACCAAGCCAGAGCTCGATGTTATCAGTGATGACGCAAACATTGAAATATCAGTCAAATACCAGCATGATGTCGCGTACGTTCTTGGAGACTGGGGCTACCACAAGACCAGCGCGAACGACAACGAGGGAGGCCAGCTTCGGTTGGTTGCGGGTACGTACTGCGGTCAAATAGACGAGACCAATGCTGAAATGCTGGCAAACATCTATGACGGCGAAGACCCGGCACCATTCATGTCCCAGTTTCACCTTCCGATCCAAGAGTTCCATTGGAAAAAACAACCAGATGATGTCCCTGCTTCGGACTAGGCATGCTTTGTCGCGGTGGGTCAAAGATCGATATCGCGCCGCTGTATTTGTACTGTACAATAGAATAAACAATTACTGGATGTCTTTCGTTTATTGAAGTGCCTTTGTGTGCTTGCCGATTGCTACATATTCTACTTGTCCCACTCACATCTTTAAGAGTTGACGAAAGTTGCTTTCAAGATGCCAGATTCCAACACTTGCAAGCCAAGTGTCCTCGACAAAAGGGTCACATCGTAAGTGCTCCCCAGCACTCGCTATGTTTGACAGAGCCAGTAAACAGGTATCAGAACAGAACTAGAAGTATAACAGTGCATTGCACATGAGTCGTCTCTGGTTGCCTAACGAGCCGAAGGAAGTCGGGGCTGTTTCCTTGGCATCAACCTTTCCTAAGGGTCCAGCACCGGAAAATCGGCTAGCTCACGTGCCCTTTGCTCCGCGACTGTGCATGTCACACAATGTTTTGTGCAAGGCTGATCTGGATCATGGAATGCGCAAATGTTTTCGTCTTCCACCGCGTGTGAAAGGCCCAGCAACAATCTTGCCATCGCGAGAGACCCTGAACTGAAGCCGTGTTCCCAGTCACCAACATCAGGGTCTGCAATTCTCATTGCGTCAGCTCGAAACTCTTCAAATAGCTCAGGGCCAAGATCTGACAGTCTCTCACGCCAGAAGTTGGGTCTCCATTTTTTCACCTCTTCCTCGCTTCTCTTTCCAAACCAGGCCAGTTCGGCAAAGTATTTTTCTTTCTCAACAGCAGTGTGTTGCAAGAACAAAAGAGTGTCTTTCAACTTGGCATTCTCATATTCCAATTGTTTCACTCTGTCCGAATCTGTTACCAGCACCATCTCCACTGTGCCATCGTCACTGCTGTCGCCTGTAGTTGTATCTCCGCCCGTCGGAGAGTAGGTCTCTTCTTCTGTGGCCTCGTTAATGTTTTGAACAGTGGTTTCTGGCGAGGCTTCCGCCCTGTTCTCAGTCTCGGTGGCTGGCTCTGAGGGTCTTGTGTTAGTGTCTTGCCCAGGCTCTCCCACAAGTTCCCTTGAAGGGTCTGTGGGCGACTGTGGAGTAGTTTTTGTTGAGATCATTGGTGCTTCTTCTTCTGGCTCTCTTTCCGCGCTGTGAGCCGGCGAAACAACCGTATGAACCATATGCATCACACGCACTTGTGTCTTCACCTCTGATGGGTCTGGTCTGGCATCGGGCGGGGGGCTTCTCGTCCCAGGTGGATCTTCATCATGATGTGATGCAACGGCATTGTTCGAAGCGGAAGAAACCTGCTCCTCTGCATCCCTTCTGCCTTTGGTATCCTCCTCCTCCTCCTCGACACTGGGATCTGGTTTCTTTCCAAACTCCCTCATAAGTTTCCTTCTCTCCTCTTCCAGTTCTGTCAAAGTTGCCAACACGACCTCAATTGGTTCAGATTCGTCTGCCTCATTGAGCTTCTCGATCTTGGGCATGGAATGAACATGTTCATGGATCTTCTCTGTGTCGCTTGCGTCCTTGTCCGAACTCATGGCACTGGTCCCGTCCTTTTCTCCGTTCTCTTTTTTATTATCATCCTTGTCTTTGGATGGATCACTGGTGGCGTCATGTACCGAATCCTTTTCGCTAGATTCGGGCGTACCAGACTTGGTTGCTTCCTTCGATACTGCGGCCTTTGCCACCGCCCCTGCCACGGTTAGCAAAACATTCTTGTCAACGTCTTTTTCCACGCTGCTGTTCAATCCTTCTTTGGTTGAATTCGTGTTGGTTTGGCCGGAGGCTTTCTCTTTGGAGATATCTGCTGCGCTTGTTTGTTCTTTGGGATCAGCTGGTTTGTTCTTGTAGTATCCTTCCTTTGTTGAGAGTTGAATGCTCTGAGGGGATTGCCCATTTTGGGTTCCCTCGGGTTGCTCTCGGACTTCTTCTTCTTTTCCAGATCGGCTGTTGTTAGCTGAAGCCTGTGCTCTCTTCTTTCCCGGAGGAATGGACGTTTGTCTTTTCTTGACCTTTTCTCTCTTGATTTTTCGAAAGAGTTCCTTCCTTGCCTGAGCACTGGCAGAACGAAGATCGACTTCGCCGTATTTTCCAGGTCGAACCAACTTTTCTGCGACCTTGGTTGAAGCGCTTCCGCTTTTGGCATCGTCTTCTCCTGCTTCGCTCTTTGTCTTGGTTTGCTGCGTGGAGTTTCTGATTTTGGCAATCATTTTTCGTACGTCTTCTCGCACTAGCTTGTCGACATCTTCATCGATGGGCTGCATAATCTGAACCTGGACGGTGCCCCGACTGGCTCCTCCGGAAGTGCGCTTACTGTGTTGACTACCGGAAGACGCACGTCGAAGACTCTTGGTCTTGCGAGAAGCGCCGCCACTCTTGGAGGAATGATTCGATCGATGACTCTTGCGACTTCGACTTCCAACACTGGCGGTTTTTCTGGGTGTGGGCGGGGGTCTGCTCAAAATTTCCACACAAGTGTCCACCTCCGAGAACTGTTCGGCATTGAACAGATCTTCAATCATGGACTCCTGAAAAGTCTCGTTGTCGTCCGTCGTTATGGTTCCTTCGTCGACGCTCATCGAAGGAGCCGCCATGTTGCTCTGTCAGTTCGATGAATACAATACAGTAGGACACTAGGAATGGTTGCGATAAGATGCAAGGTGGAACTATAGCGTCGACGGCTGATGGAGTTGGCTGCAGAGGCAGCGGCAACCTGGAGGATGAGAGCGCCGTGGAATTTGGCAGTCTTTTTGTAATTCTCCAACAAAAGGTCAGTTATCTCTTCAGCTAGTAAGCTAGGTGGTATCCTCCTTGGACCACATCCTTCAACGGTTCCGCACTTGGCAGTGGACTTCTAATCATCCTCTCACCAGTCGCTGCTTTGACTTGCAGGCTCAAGAGGTGCTCTATCTGTGCGATGGTACTTCGACAACAGTCCGCTAATCTCCTTGTCTTCTGCGCCAAAAGTATGGCAATTAGGAACTTGGAGATTTTCACAAAGGGTCAGCCCAACCTGCTGGCGTTGAACCCGACGGAAACTTAATTCCATTTAGTCAAAAGAAAGAGCAAGATCGTCACGCGTCGCTAATTACTGACAACATTTAGAGAGCTACTGGAAAGATCCCAAAGGGAGGACCCAGGCTCACATTTTGACTAAAAACATAATTAAAAGTATCGGTACCGGTACGAACAATGGTACGAGACGGCACACCTGAACAGTTGCCAAGCTACCATAGCTTTGGTTGGTTTTATGGATAGACACAAAATCTAAGTATGTACATATGTATGTACCGGTATGACATCTTAACACTCAGCCCCCTTGTCAACACTTCCGCGGACTTTATCCAGCATCGATGAGACGACTTCCCTCCCTTTGACTTCCCACTCGGCTCGATTCTTGAGAGCAAAGTCCAAGTATTCTGTGCTCGAGACCCCAAAGACTCCGCAATCGTTCAGCTTTTTAGCCAACGGGATAATATAGAAATCAAAGAAACCTGCCAGAGCAAGCGGACCGTCCGTTGAGATAACAAAGCAAATGGATAATGGCACAATGATTCAATTATTTCAAGCGAAGAGAACTACCATAAGGTACTTACCAAGCTCACCCTCATACCAGCTCTCCGAGGGATCCTTCTCTGAGCGCCCTTCTTGGTAAGCTTGGTACATTTCTTTGAAGAGACGTTCGTTCCACGCACGGTACACATGCCAATGTTGCATCTGGAATGGTAATTAAAGAGAAACAGCAAGAAGAAAGCAGTCACATGAGTCCCAAGAGTTTCTTCGCAGGCAGGGAGTGCCCTGTCCGGCCCGGGAGGACTCACCGTGTGCGAAACATCGGAGGCTTGAATCAAGTGCTCCAGAACAGAACTAGCCCGGTACATGTCGACATCTTCCGGGGATAGCTCGGACTTGTCATCCTCTGAAAAGGCCAAGTTCCAGCGTTCGTTCCTCAATTTCTTGAGATCTTTGCTCATAATATCGGTGGACAAGATGGAATTCACCAACACAGTTCGGAAGCGCTTTAGTTCTGTTTGAGTGGTATAGATGGTGTTTCGAAGGTCAGCGTATTCGTCTTCCATGAGAAGATCCCAGGCCAATACGATTGCGTGCTGTTCAGCAACGCTCTTGTGGTCATACTTCGAGGCTAGAGCTGGCTCTTCTTTTTCGAGTTGTGAGTTGGGTACACCACGATGGTCCTACGGTACCGTGTCACGTACAGGCAGGGAATGCAATGCACCATTATTAGAGAATACAATGGTTCCAAAAACCAGACATCCACTCCAGGTAGGACAACTTACCACATCGTGCCAAAGCGCGGACATTACAGCTGGGAGACACAGGAAAAGACGATGCTATGTAAGCCACATGCTGCAAATCATGATAGGGGCGCGACACTCAAGTTTTCTGCACGCACCTGCAAAGTGCGTAAGAGGATCACTGGCTATCCTGTACGAGTCTTCGCCGGATTGGATCACACGCAGAAGCAGCTTGTGCACACTCATTGTTACATGCGACGCATGATCAAAGTCTTCGACGACAGAAAAGAACACAAAGTGAGCTCAATTTCGGCCCATCCAAAATCGCCAGGAAAACTTTTCCTCATCAACCATGTCTTACTGTGGAAAGAATTATCCCCATGAAGACAAGCAATTGTCGTCACGAAGGTACGGAGCTGACAAATGACTTCTTCGGGCAATTCCACGTCCTTGTAGTCTCCTCGCCTACTCGTGCGCTGTGTCTTCCCGGGGAGATCAATAGCTTGCGCCCACTCATCAAAAGGCATCTGGCTCTGTCGAATCTCAAGTTTTGGTTCAGAGAAACCTCCTCGCTTCGACTTGCGTCGTGTCTGGCGGGCAGCGACCACAGTCTGGAGCAAAGATGCCAGCAGCTCTACGTTCCAGTCCACTAGACGGCCATGCTTGACTGAGAGTTCTCTCTTGCAAGAATTGAGCGCCGCCTTCGGGAGTGATCCGCATGTCGTGTTACGAGTGCTCGCAAAAGGGTCGTCTGAGGGCTTTTCGCTTGAGTCGCCACTGTGAAATGATTGTGATTCACCTTCGGAAGCTCTCACATGAACCCAGAAGGTAGTCATCTCGCCTTTACCTTTGGCGTGCACCTTGTCTGATCTTTGTCTCACCCAATTGGACTTGCCCGCTTCCAAGAGGAGATCAGCTGTGGCCTGAGACGCCTGCACTTTGCCAGGTCGTGCAGTTGATTCCATACGAGCAGCAGTGTTGACTAAACAAAGAGAGCGAGAAGGCAAATGAGAAGATGCGGGAGATATGCCATACCAACGTCTATATGGTGAACATACCAGTATCTCCAAAAAGCTGTTTAAGTGGACAGATTATATAGCAAAGTGCCACAGAACAAGAACAAGGTTAAACCACTGCATTGGCAAATCACTCTACAACACCACAGGGCACGGATCTCAGTTCACCAATGAAACTGACCTGGAAGCGCCCCTTTTCCCCACGGAGGACTCCAGCCGTGACAGGTCCACTGTTCACCAAAGAAACAGGGTGGTGTTAATGTTGGGCTCCAGGAAATTGGCAGCTCAAAATCTCTTTCTGCATACCTGTGCAACCCCAGCCGCATGTTGAGAGAGCTGGTTCCCGGACCAAGTGTGACCTCCAAAAGATGAAAGACTTCGTTGCTTTTAAACATGAGATCGTTGGCAAATCGCGCCATCGCAAGAGCATGATCACGGCGGGCCATGGGTAGTCCTGCCACGGCAACGTAGCAATCTGAAAGAACGAGATAGATGGAGTTAGGATTCTATTCTGGTCCCACTTTCGCAGTAATTGGATCAGTCACGTGTTTTGCTTACCGCCAATCTAGAATTAGTGTAGCACATGTCATGATGGAACAAATACAAAGAGGAAAATTGAGACAAAGGGACTGCAGACAAAACAAGCACCACTTTTTGAACCGGGAGCTTACAGTTTCCACTACAGTTCCGCAAAGCAAGGATGCAAGGGTTAGAAGGCTGAAAGATAGATAATAGCGCAAGAAAGCAGAAATGGGGCAATCTTACCTTTGAAGACTCTGCGGCGTTTTGCAATGGCGTCGAAAGCACCATAGAGAGTTTCAAGCAGGACAAAGACCTGCGAAGGATCCCGCGTACTGGACCAGGCAGTGAATCCAACAATGTCTGCAAAGAGAACTGTGCAATCTGGATATAGATCTGCAATCGGGGAATCCTGCAGGATGGTAATACCAGGAACAGGATTTCCCCTCATACTGCCACTGATGCTGCCCCGAACGCTCTTTCGGATGACCATTCCTGGGACAAAGGCGGGTTCTTGTAGGAGTGACTTGAGATTGCTATTGGAATCATGTCCTGTCATACTGTCCCCATCCATTTCCCGATTGGCCTGTGCTTCAGCTTGCTGCATGATTCGATCTCTTACATTGTCTGGGAACAGATTGGAAAGAATACTATTGGTCCGAACGGCCACACTCATGACTTTTTGCTGTCTGCGTTGGACGAACCAAACAAAGATAAAGAAGAAGATGGCCAAGGCTGAGAAGACAGCAGCAAGTATGGCCATAAACTTTTGCTTGTCCTCAGAATGAAACTTTGCTTCAAACTCTTCTGTGGGGTAGACAGCCAGCGTGTAAAAGCACTGGCGGTAAGTCCTTGTCTCCTTTCCCAAAAAGGTGGACCCAAAGTCGACCTCTTGTACCAAATTGTCGTACTTTGGGTTGTGGAGATCCCCCTCACCCAGAAAGTTAGCTTGAGGTCCATTGATCTGAAAGGAAAAGGCTTGCCCACAACTGTTCTTGAGTATGCAATGAATGCCCCTTTCCCCGGGCGGAAGTAGTTCAGTGAGGTATTTGTCCCAGGGAAGAATGCCGTGGATAACTCCGGCAAGAGATTGGTTACTGGTGTTGAAGCTGTCATAAACGGGAGCCATGAGGACACTGTGTGGGAAGTCAGCTGCACTAAGAGAGTCAATCATGACATCATCTGCAGAAGAGTCTGAGCTGGAGCTGTCCAGAGTAGCAGATGTGTCATATGAGTGCGCTTCATGAATGGTCTTGTGGCTTTTGTCATGCTGTCCTGGAGCGAAGAGCCTGTTGTACATATACTGGTGGCGATAAACAGCTGATAGGGCTGTATGCTTGGACTCGGTCATGGCATTGAATAGGAAGTAGTACAGACTGTTGGATAGAAGATTGAAGTTGATGAGGGAAGAGTTGTGAGGTTTAGGAGAGGTCTGCCAGATTGGGATCATCAAGATGTTGTCCTCTTGGACCGGGAGGCCCGAGTCTTCATGGAGGCGGTAGATGTCTTGAGGCACAGTGACATTGGCTCCGATCCAGTCACTGTCGTAAGCAGTGAAGATGGACCAACGATCACGGTCTTCGTAGGTGACAAGAGGCGAAAAGGCAATCATTTCGATGAAGGCGTCGACTCTTGCTCGTTGTCCTCGACGGTCGAAATCAGGTACAGTGACAAACGGCCAACGACTGGAAGCAGAAGATCCCGAGTATGAGGTGATGGTATCTGACATTGATTCTAGGGACCCCACGACAGTCTTTGCGTGGAAGCTGGTAGCCTCCGCAATGACGTTAGCTTGTTGCTGGAAGGCGTTGTGGAACTCATTCTCTTCTTCCTTGCTCAGAAAGGACATGGTAATAGACAACACAACTGCCGCCGTGACACCAATCATCCCCAAGGTTACAACCATCCAAAAGAACACCTTCATGGAGTCCCCATTCCAGGTCCAACCAAACAGCCAACTCTTCTTCTTGCCCTCATCCCCGCTTTCGTCACCAGAACATTGGCTCATCTCACTCTTAGCATCGTCCACGAACTCAGCAGCTCCACCCGAAAGGGAATCATCAGAGTAGCTTTCGAGCGATTCATCCGTCCTCTTGCTGTTGCTCATCCTTGCAGTTTTTTGAGTAGAGAAGGATGTACCACTACCTGTGCGCGAAAATAAATAATGATGAACATGCATTCGCAGCGTCAACGATCTTGGATCGATGTATGTGGGACTGTTGGCCGTACAGTACTAGCTAGCGCACAGCACCGCGGTTCCACGTAACTTGCCTACCGGTACTACTCAAGCGCTGAGTACCTTTACAGTACAGTAATTAGTAGCCTGCCTCCACTGTACCGGTAGTGTACACGCAGTAGTGGTCAGCGGGAGTGCCAAAGCGGTAATAACAGACTTCATTCCGGTTCCCAGCTGTTCCGTGGTTTTTTGGGGGCAGTGGGGCAGTTACGTAACAGCCAGAGAGTCAGTCACAAGTAATTCACAAACTAACAGTACTAGCTAGGCCTGCTATTAATACGCTCATGTGCTCAGTGGCTCAGTGGTGAAGTGGTTAACCAATGAATAACTGGATCTAACATGTATTCATCGAACTACAAGTTCCAAGGACTTCCCGTAGGGGAACTTTGGGGAGCTTTGGGGAAGTTCCGTTATAGCCAAAGCGATGGTTATAAGTCACAATTTAACAGAAAAGGTTTAACGTTTTCGACCAGTTTTGGAAGTTAGAATGCCCGGTGATTGTTGGGAGATAAAGGAAAGACTCTTTGGTTATTGGATGCCTGATCTTTAAATCCTCTACAAACAATTGAATCTGGGCTTTACCTCTCCGAAAAGAAACACTTACTTGTCTGAGTGCTGAGTGACACTATTAATAATTTGATTACCGGTACCAGTACGTAGCCTAATTGTCATCCCTCCCATTATTCATTATTTCTTAAAACTAGAATAGCTCTCATGTTTTATAGTTTCTCAAAGAGCACACCTATGTCTTCTTTCCAGTCACACTTGGAATTAACGCTGGATCGGGACAAGGGCATCAGGTACACGTGTACTGTACAATATCCGTACTCAGAGGCTCAGATGACTCGACTTCCGGAACATGGTAATACATGTCACGAACATCCGATTTCACCACTGGCAAATGGCCACCGACAGCTCCCCCAACCAACCCAGAAAAAGTGGTTTGTTTGTTTACCGGTAGGGTCCAACTTGGACATCGAAAGCTCTGACGAAGTTCCAAGAGTCTACGCGTACTAGTAGCATTGCAAGATTGCAAGAGCCCACGCTTGGCAATTGGCAACCTTCAACACATACATTAAATTTTCTTTTAACGAATCCTTCTTGGCTTCAATCATCCATTCGAGATGGGTGTCCTTCAGATATCCTTGAATCTTTTGTCGTTTTCCCTGTCCCTCCTTCTGCTTGTTGACCACCATGACATTGTGATCAACGGAGAAGTGATTGCTGGATACAAGCCAGCTTATCAAGTGACGGACCATGCGGCCCTCGACCTGGATCAGCAACTGATGACATGGTTGTTGGAGGCGCAAAACCTCACACAAGCCTCTTTGGTCTACCAAAAGGGAGCTCACTCCAAGTCGTATGCTGCCATCACACTGCAGCAGACGACTGGCAAAATCAACAAGAACACTGCCTTTGTGGGGACCAGCATTGGCGGAGAACCCGTCACGCTCTACGCCTATTCAGATTTTGAAGCTGGAGCAACTGAATTGAAACTGCGTTACGCTACCAGTGATATCCAATCCGAGTACTCCTTTTGCCAGGTGGGCAAAAACCCGGAACCGGTCCTGCATGGGTGTCTGACGGCCTTGGGGACTGTTAGTTTGGAGGGTATCCAGAGTGCAGCTCTACCTTATACCTACAACCCTGAAACTGATAATAAGAATGGTCGTACATTGGCCGGGTTCAGCACAGGCGCAGAAAAGAAAATGGGTAAATGTGGACCTCAATGTCCCTACGTGGATTATGCAAAGTACCTCAACTACTTTGGAGAGTTTGATTATGGGAATCAATGGATCATGGCAGCCTTTGAAAAACGGGAAACGAAGTTTTCAATGGGCAATGTGGACTTTCGTCCATATTCCCAGCCAGCACTGCACAAGGCCATTCAAGTGGCTACTCTCAATATGAATGTATGGATGTACGTGATACGGGAATTTGAAGATGCTCTGGATGATTGCAACAAGGGATGTGCTTCGGATCAATGCAATGCTGATAAAGTTAATGCTTGGGACGAAGGCATCGCCTTCTACACGGGATCTCTAGAAGGTGATGATGGTTTGGGTGATGGAGTGTTGGCGTATGCCTTGGCGGACGATCTCTGTAAAGACTTCAAGACATGTGGCGCTAGCGGTGATGTCACGACGGGGCTATCCTATGTGAACCAAGAAGTTTTCTCCCTATCAGATTCCGCCGTAGAACTTTTAATGGCGGAAAAGTGTGCTGAGACACGTTTCTACGTCCAAGAGATTGTGGGTCTCATTACGGTACCTCTGGTTCAAGGCTTGTTGCGGGCAACCTATCAGAGCATGTATGCAGAGGACGAGGAATCCAGGGATATGGCCAAGGGTGAAGCAGCCGCCTTTGCGGCATCCGTAGTTCCCATTCTTCACAATTGCAGCGAGAGTGACGCTGCTATGGTCCAGGAACAGTTGGCTTACACCTCGGATCAGCGAGACTACGTCGCTATCAAGCAAGCTCTGGAGCGTCATTATGAGTGCATGGGTATCACCTGCACGCAAGTTGGTGGCCTCTGGGATCCCAACATCAATGAGTACCGAAAGGATGCGGCTGCTTGCGTTACCCTCGACGAGGAAACTAGCAGTACCAGTTGGCAATGGGCGGCTTTGGGCGTTGGAGTGGGCAGTGCAGCCATGATTTTGCTGCTTGCAGTCTTGCTGATGCGAGAAGAACAAAAAAGTTTGAGACTAAGCAGAAAGTAGATCGCCTATTTAAGAATACAATGATCCTTCATTGAATAAAACACAACAGCGCATTACGACCCAATGTGCTAAACCTTTGCGAGAAGGCTCAAAAGATGAACCTGATAGATCCGGCTGCAATCATAATAGTATCTCCGGATCGAATCATTCAAGCCAGCACCTTTCGAGGTCAGCACCACGCTTCCGAGTGACAGTCTGGGGGACAAGGGAATCGAAGCGCCCTTCGAGACAGCTCAGGTGCAGACGGCCAAGCAAATCAGAAAGGGTGCTCGACCAAGGCAGCAAGCCAGGGCACACCGTATGTATGCATGTAATGGAGCCTCTCAATCTGTTCGAGACGTTCTTATCGACCAAGGAAGATCCGCTCCCGGAAAGCTTGCTGGAGTTGGTGACCTCTTTGCTTGTACGATATTAGTGCTACAAGTTGGCTATAGATACCACCAGTACATGCCGCGTTGTTGTAGTTGCCGGCGGCCGGTTGGTACCGGTACCACACCTTGCGAGAGGACAAGTAGCAGCACCAGTCCACTAACCAGTTCCGTTTGCTTTCACATTTTCTACAGCAACCAAGGCCACATCTTGATGAACAAAAACTGCAACGGGCAGGAGGCTCCAAGATCTTGGATTTGCTCAGGCCTCTGATTTGCCCAGTGCAATTGGAATCTTCACAATTGGAGCATCCAGTCCGAGTGATACTCCGTAGTCCGTAGGCCCAAACTACAGCATCCAGCTGCATCCTCCGAAAGCAAACGACGATCAGCCAATGTACTCGGTAATTCAATGACCAGTACATGTACTCGTACACAATGTCATGTACATGAAGTTGCTGTTTCGTTCATCCCACACAATTGCCTTGGTCAAACGTCAACCAGTGGTCGATGGTCACCTTGTTGTAGATTTCACTGGTCATGTAAATTACTCTTCTACTCAAGCGAAAATGAATACGAACGTCGTTTTCCGTTCTGGCTTCTTTGGAGTCGAGTCAAGTCTTCTTGGCTGGCCCGCTGGCACCGCTGTGTGCTGTGTGCTGGTGTACACTAAGAACAGCATCAGTTCGTTGGGGACTGCGTCAGCTATTAATACCAGGTACAGTTCAAAAATGAGATTTAACAACCATGAGAGCTCCAGAACTTCCCCTTCCCACAATTTTAATACATGTACTAAAGTATGTATCTCCTCTACTACCGTAGCTACTCTTAAACTCGGAGTATAATAGTAGAGTAGGTAAGCTATTACTAGTAGGTACTAGTATTAAGTATTAATACAGGACTTGGTATGCATACCGGTACTCGAGTACTAGTAGTACATTGTACTATGTACTGAGTAGTGAGTATCACAGTACCGAATTTGGTACCAGTTCAATACTCCTACAGTAAAGGTCATAATGTCGTAATACGATGCACCGATGCACCAGTAACATTGGTACTCTGGACTCTGGAGTTCTGGAGTTCGGTACGAAATGTACTCTACTAGCTAGCTACCAGTAGTACTCGTAACCAAATAAATGTACACTTACGTGTAATATTCGTGAATATTGAACAGCTATTGAACTCCCATCTACTGCCATTCAATCGAAAGTCCAATGACGACGAAGAGTGATCCCAGCCAACTGATGTGGCACACCTGAGCAGTTCGTACCCCCATTCTGGATTCGATTCCTGGCGAGTCTCCGAAGCTATCTCCATGGATTGCCTGCAACCAACAACACTTTCGTCTCACAATTCTTGTAAGCACTTTTTTTCTTAACCAAACCCCAAGAAGCCACCTTATTACCAACAGACGACAATGGCCACCACCACTGCCCAAACTCTCGTTTGCTGTGAGCCCAAAGATCGCACTAGCATCTCCACAGCTGCCACCGACAACACATCGTTGCCTGACGTAGAGGATTACAGCGAGGCATCTGAAATCATTGAGGAAGATCTGGTCGAGTTTGATGAGCTCGAGAAGGACTTGCTTCTCTGTTATGATGAAAAACGCAAGATAAAGAGGCAGAACAGCCTGCTCTCTGTGTCTACATCCTCTGATTCGTCCACTAAAAGTGGGAGTCTTAGGTCAACCAGAAGTGAAAACCGCCGGTCGAGCAGGAGTAGCAGGAGCCCCAAGCCCAACCGGAGTCCCAAGCCCACTAGGAGCCCCAGAGTGCAACGCTCTGCAACTGCAACTAGTGTCCTTTCCCGAGAACAAGACAGGCGGGTCAAACTTCGCATGCGACGAGCTTTGACCCTGGAATCGGCACCTGTTCCGAAGCAAAGTACGGAGGCGGAGAGTGTCGAAGCTAGCCATCAAACCCCAGCAGAGTGCCTCCGCGAAGTCCTACATGGTGTCTGTGATTCGGCCCTCAAGAGCGAGACATGGGAGAAGAAGTTTACTGCCATTACCCCGGACCGGCTCGCTGGGTACACGGAGAAGGCTACCCACGCTATTCGCAGTGACCAACTTTCAGCAGTGAAGCAACTGCACGGACAGGGTATTTCCTTCGATACTTGCAATCAGCATGGCGAAAGCATGATCCATTTCGCCTGCAGGTCAGGGCAGCTCGAGATCATCAAGTTTCTGGTTGACGACGCGAAAGTACCTCTTCGAGTTCGAGATGACGCTGGTCGAACTCCCCTGCATGATTTATGTTGGACTAATAAGCCAGACTTTGGGCTTATGAAGTACATCCTGAGTCAGGCACCAGAATTGCTTTTCATCAAGGACAAAAGGGGATTTACCGCTTTTCAGTATATCCCCCAAGGCATTTGTGAACAGTGGTGCCAGTTCCTTCGAGACGAACAAGCCTTCTTGCTTCACCAAGTCAAAGAAAGCGCCTACCACAATGCACGGCACCAGTTGGATGATGCACAAGAACGACTTCAAGCCCTGATGAAAAGAGCAGCCAGCTTTGATTAGACTACATTCATAACATATTACTCTAGCCTCTGAACTCCCTCGTCTACCGATATCATACTACCGGTACAGTAGCACCTGATACGAACCAATCTAAGGTGCCAAGTTTGGCTCTCCAAAGTTCTGAGCTAGCTAGCCAGTCTTCACCGAGCCTGAGAAGCTCGAGTTCTCAAGATCTCTCCCTCTCTTTCATCCCTTGAAGCTTGGCCCGGAGCCGCTTTACAAAAATTTGTCCTGTCAAAGTGCATTCCCGCACTTTTTCGTTTGGTACCGCTCCTTTGATTCTTTAATCTCCACCCGTGGATCCAAGACTTATTATTAGACTAGCTACCGGTAGTGTTCTCATCACTTTTGCTGCATTTTATAATGTACATGAACTGGTAGTACATGTACTCAGCCGGTCTCTACCAAAATTATTGAAGATGGTAGATATTGTTGAAGAGACTAAAGGTAGCGATAGATGTATTACGAATGATGTTATAAGATTATGAGGAAAAGCTACTTTGTTGTCTCTGGATCTGTAGATGAGTGGAGGCTAGATTCCGGAACCGGACGGTGGAGGAGCATACCGTCAGACGGCCGAATCACCAAGCACGCCTACAGCCTCTAACTGCAGTAAGGGCGGAAGATAGCGTGACCGCGTTTGACTAAGTGTGAGTCTATCCGAGATATGCTGCTGGCTGGACATGCTATTCAGCATCATTCTCTTTTCCAGGGCGCCAATATACTTGGAATTGGCCCTGTTGTAAGCGATCTCTGATCCAATATAAGCGCATGATCGATTGCTTTGGATCGTCTGTTGTTTGACTGTGTTAAGGGCGAGTCCAACGGCCAACCTCGTTGTCGGTTTTGGAACGGGGGTGGCTGGTTGTGGATGGGCCCATGTCGTCCAAGTTGTGCGAGTGCAAACTCCCGGCATTGTAGTAAGACTGCCATTCTGCTTCCGTACTGAGGAACACCATGGTAGCAATGGAGCTGATATTAGGGATGGCTCCGTTGTGGGATGAGCTGTCCGCTGGTTGGACTGGTTTGGTTTTTATGTTAGTCAATAGGATGAATGGCCTCCACTGCTATACGTGGCTCGTTCAGAGGTAGATCATCACTGGGGTGAATGATAGGACAGCCGCGTTGCAGTACTACTGGGCGTCTGTGGGAACAGCAATAGCAGAATTTACGCAGGCCTCATGGCCAGTTCCTTGTCTGGCATGCTATGCCCAAGCTACTAACACAGTTAGTCCAGCTGCCTCCATAAATATGAGGTCCTATGATTCTTGAGCTGTTGGTGGTCTTTTTTTGTGGAGAGATGGGGTAGTGCAGCTGGTTTGAGCTGGGGTCGGCTCCAAATTGGCGTAGTGCATGTATGAAGTAGGGGCTCTGTTTGGTTGGATGTTCGAGAACGGCTAGCTCTTGGTGATGTACCCGGCAATGAAGGTCACGTTCTGTGGTAGCCCAGTAGGTAGACCACAAAAGCTTCCGCCAGTCCCTCATTTGTATTGGGCTGGAGTGTCGATGATTGGGCATTCCGGCACTTGTACGGATCGAAATCACTACACCGAGGAACATGAAGGCCTGGGGAGTGTGAAGAGCGTGGTGTTGGTTGTGACCATTTTGATCTAGAATAGCTATCACTTGCCATAGGTGCGTCCGCTGGGTACATCCATACATGCCTTTTTCTATTCATACAATGTATCCTTATGATTGGAGTCAGTCGATCGCCATAGGTCACTGGGAATGTCATCTACACGAATACCGCATGTATTCCTATCGTCAGGGTGTTAGATAAAAATCTTTTATTTCAGACAGAAATTGGCAATCGGGAGTGATAGACCGTTAGTAACATTTTACGGGATGAATCCGGATTTGGGTAAACTTCACCGTCTTATTCAATGCGGTTGCCCTCGACGGTCCATTGGACTCGTTTCTTTACCAATTTGTGTGGGCGGTCTTCGGTTACAAGTCGAGCATATGTGGTTTTTTTATTGTGTTGCACCTGGTCTTTGGTGATGATGTAGCATGTGTTGGTTCCTCTGTCGGGGTGGGCGTCGGTGCCTTGGCAACATCGACCAATCGTCAAAACATGTTCCCATATTCCCTCAAATCGTCTAAGTCTGGGACGCTCCGGACCGGAGGTCATTGACGCGTTGCAGGACTGCGGATCGGAAAGGGGACGCTGGGAAACTTCAACTGTTAAAATTAGCATGGTCTCGTGCTTTTACTCTTTTGGGATCGGGGGAGCCTAGAAGATCGTTGATTGGTGTTGGCCTAGATGCGATCGATCTTCATGCACCGGAGTCATGCGCTTGCTTGGGGGTCTTGGTAGCGGGATGGCAATCGTCTCCACTGGACCCCGGGTGGTTATGGTCCCTAACCATCCTTGCACCCCTAAGCCCCCTGGGGACGGGGGACTCTTGGATAGTGGATTGTTCTAGATGAACCACTCTAACGAGCTAAATTGGGCGTGCCAATCCTTGTAAACAGCTGCTTGGATACCTGCTGTGGTGGCAAGTACATTCGGAAACCATTCAACGATTCATATCGGGCCGTAATCACCATCTTGAAGCACCGGGATACGAGTCCAGCAGCCACTACCAGCCTCTTCGCATGGGGGCCCATGATCCTCGATTCCCTGGTGCGTGGCATATACAAATTCGGGTGAGCCATGGTCGGTAATCGAAATACCGGGACTGGGCAACCCAATTTGGTTACTCTGGACCCCGAAGAATGAGTCGGATTTGGCTGCGATAAGGCTGGGCACCTATAGTCATTTGGAATTGGGGCACAGCCGCAAAATCGCAAATGAATGGTTTTGCGTCGGATGCTCGTTCGGCTGGCGTGGCGGTCTACATGCCGGTGGGCTAAAGTTGAATCATTTCGGATGATAAGGTCTTAAATATTGAGCATTCGTGACTACGATTAGTGCTGGTAAAATCCAGCTGACAATAAACGCTGCTTCGTTGAAGCTGAAAAAACTCCGCGTTCGTTTTCATTTTGGTCCATAATGAATGGGATAGCTGTAAAAGACAAATAATATGCATGCCTTGTCTGAGTAAGGAATGTCGGCCGTTTGGTCGTTAAATGCCGGTTGGTTCACGTCAATCATGTGGCGAACACTCTGTCGTTGCCTTGGTAGGCTGGCGGAATAACATTTGAATCGGTCATTTGTTTGGCAGTAGGTTTTGGTTTGGTTCCCCGCGTTGTGGTCCCATGTCCTTAGTATTCCTTGATTGGGTGGTATCGGAGGCCCTTTTGTGTTGAGCCTGGTAAACCTGTATATAGTGCCTCGACTGCATTTGAGCGTTGAGGATGCGGGTTGCCCAAGTAGCTTGACTGAAGGCTACCTTTTGGGCTTTGGTGGGATCGAAGTGTGCTGCGTTGGCGAGGTTGTGGGTCGGTTTGATTGTGACCGAAGCTGCTTGTTTAATTGGATCTATCGGTGGTAAACCGGGTGGGTTGTCTTTAGGGATGTGCCATAGGCCTGTCTGGGGTGTTCGGTAGTCCGTGATAATGCATTGTGTGTTGTAATGGACCTTGACCGTGGTGTTGTTAAAGGTGGCTGTGCATCCGCTATCGCAGAGTTGTCCTAGCGAGATGAGATATCCTGAGCCATGTTTGATTTCTTTGAATAGATGAGCTTTACATGCTGCATGTGGTATGTGTGGTATGGTGATGTCTCCTTCATTGGTGGATGTCATGGTGGCTCCTTGTGCTACTACGGCTGTGATTGGGTTGGTAGTGGTGCGTTTGTTTTGACAACTATCATTCCACATTAGAAAATTAGACGTGGCTGCACTATCTAATGCACCGTAATTGGTGTTTTTAATTGGTGGTGGGAGACCTAACGATCGTAGTGTCTTGTGAACGTGGTCTAATATTTTAATACTGTTAGGTTAGCTTCCCTGAAATCATTTCCGGCGGCTGTATCGTTCGTTCGCCTCCATTTGTTTTGTGCGGTGGCCTTGATGTTGTGGCCCTCCTTGGGGAAGTTGCACGTATCACTGTTGTGGCTTGGGTGTTGGCAGTAACCGAGCCAGCACCAAATCCCATGCATCGAGTCGGCTCCGTGAACAGCTCTGGTACGAGCGTGCGGTTGGCGCAATCGGTGGTGGTGGGGGTTGCGTTTGCTGCTTGGGATTCTCGAAGTGACTCTTGGACGATCCCGGTGATCGTGGCTATGTCGATCATTTGTGGATGGGTGAGCGTAGGAGTCCCGGTGGTAACGGTTTGGGTGTCCGGGATAGTTGCGTTGGCTCGTTGGTGGTAGCCTGCGGCGGTGACAGTGGTTTCGGTCTGGCGGACATTTTCAGCATCACGAAAGAATTCTTTGAAGTGGGTGAGGTTGCGGTTTTCCTGGTGTAAACGCTTTTTCCATTCTCGGATGGGATGAATGAATAGGCCCGTGGCTTGTAGAGTGGCTATTCCGGCGCTGACAGTGTTGCGGTCACTAATGACATCTCCGCCTTCTACTGAGAAAGCGATGCAGGTGTCAATATTATCGAAGAGTTCCTCAATGTCTGTGGGTGGAGTCCAAGTCTGGGTGAGGAGTTCACGATTTGGCAAGGAGATCAGTATCTGTGATTTTTCCGTATGTGGTTACTAGATGGTAATGATGTCAAATGGCTGGTGTTGCCGTATCCCACATGCGATCTTTGAGGGCCTTGTGTAAGTATCGTTAACGGCGTCCAAAACTTGCTGGAGGATCTGGGCCTCTGTTTTGTGGTATAATCCATCGCATCATCATTTTGTGTTTGGTCGTGGCGGTCATGATGTTGGTGGCGTTGGCAGCATTTACGGGTTTGTCTGGTTTGTTCGGGACGACGAATGCAACGTTGCCTTGGGATGCTGCAGTGTAGGCTGCTTGGCCAAGATGATGTAGGCGTGGCCTATCTGCCATCACCGTCCTACTGGAGATAGCTCTGGTTTTTGCAAGAACCTGAGAGATGAGGAGGGATAGCTTCCTCTGTCAGGTTTGCCAATGATTGTGTGAGGATGGGGTGTGGATTGCCTCAGTTGGTGTATGTGGTGGTCATTGTAGGAGTAGGGTAGAATTGGATTTGAGTTGGGCGACACGGGTATTTTTAGTTCCCTTTGTCGGACGTTAAAGCCTGTGTGTCTAGGTGTTAGTGGGATTGATTGAGGTTGTGTGGTGTTGTTGGCTATAGCGTATCAGCTGGTAGCATCAGTTCGGTATCAGTGTCGTTCCGTCGTCGTTCGTCGATAGAGGTGCGTTCGTCGATAGAGGTGCCGTTCGTCGATAGAGGTGCGTTCGTTCGAGGATAGAGGTGTGGTGTTCCGTTCGTCAAGCGATAGAGGTTCGAGGATAGAGGTTCGTTCGAGGATAGAGGTTCGTTTCGTCGAGCGATAGAGGTGCGTCGTGCCGTTCGTTCGATAGAGGTGCTTCGTGCTGTTCGATCGATAGAGGTGCGTCGTGCCGGTCGATCAGTGTAGCGGATCGGTGGTGGTATCGGTTGTATAGAAGGATCTTATAACATCTGTTGAAGAGACTAAAGGTAGCGATAGATGTATTACGAATGATGTTATAAGATTATGAGGAGAAGCTACTTTGTTGTCTCTGGATCTGTAGATGAGTGGAGGCTAGCTAGATTCCGGTTGACGGTGGACGGTCAGACGGCCAGAATCAGCAGATATTATTTATTTCACCATTTAAACGGTAATATTCTGGAACGTTCTTCGAAAAACAAAGTTTCCGGAAGCAGGACCCACATGAAATTGCAATTTGATTTGTGGCTTCCCATTGGCCATGGCAACGATGATGGCTGAGTTCGGCACATAAACTCTGGCGGCAAGCAAATTCGCAACACATAGATCGGGCTCATCACTCTTGATCCAAACATCCAAACCAAAAGCAGATACTTTCAATAACCAAGCAAGAAAGTCGTCACATACCAGATACCCTGGAACTTCAACGTTGCTCTTTCGTCTCATTTATTTTCCAGTTTCTTATTCCAAGCAACCCATCCGGCAATCCACGTATTTGCTTTCTCCCAATCAATAATACAATATACAGTACTGTACCAAGCAAGCAAGATGTTTTCTGTTCGCGCCCTTTCGTTGAAGCCAACCAACTCTGGTCTGAGGAACCGTGCTGTTTCCTTGATGAGCCGTCGTAAAAAGTCGGCCTTGACGACCAAGGACACGGAAGTTGTGAGCTCCAATACCAGCAGCAGCGGTGTTCCCGTTGCCAAGTGTTTGCTGGCGGCAGCTGCTGGAGTGGGAACTGTCTCGGCGGTGGCTGCCTTGGTGGAGAATTCCACGGCTTCGTCAGTCCCAGCATTTGATCCCAAGGGCCAACGTTACGATGCTGAAAGCTTTGGAGGACGATTCTCTCGTATGCTCTTGGCGTGTGACCCCAGTCTCTTGATGTACACGGAAGAACAGGTTCGCGAGAGCCAACAGATGGTTCTGGACTACCAGCAGTTCTTGGCCAAAAACAACAATGATCCTGCCGCACACCGTCAATTGTGGGAAGCAAAGCGTGTTTCGGAGTCTGCCGTGCATCCTGATACAGGAGATGTCATCCCACGCCCCTTCCGAATGTCAGGCTATGTCTTTTACAATGGACCCGTCTGTGTCGCCATGGTCGCTTCCCAATCCACCTTGCCTCTCCTCTTTTGGTCATGGATCAATCAGTCGCAGAATGCACTAGTCAATTACTACAATCGCAATGCTGCATCCACCATGACCAACGAAACACTCGCCAAGAGTTACGCCGCTGCCGTGGGATCGGCTCTCTGTGTCGCATTTGGATTGGCAACAGTCATTCAAAAGCGATTCGATGCACAAAAGGCAAAATCAATGCTGCGATGGGTCGCATTCCCCAGTGCCGTCGTCGCATCGTCGCTCAATTGCTACATTGTACGATCGCCGGAAATGGATTCCGGTATTCCTCTCTTGGATCAACATGGCAATGATGTATTGCCAGGAGAAACCAGTCAAGAGGCTGCCACACGAGGTGTTCATTCCACGACACTGTCTCGTGCTCTGTTGCAGGCACCTGTCTACTTTTTGCCACCTCTTCTCGTGTCCAGTGGACCGCTGAAGCAAGTCGTCACCAAGAATCCTGCCTTGACCGTTCCTGTCACGACCTTTTTGCTATTGGCGTCCTTTGGAGTGGGACTACCCGCCACGGTCGCAATCTTCCCACAGATCGCCGAGATCCCCTCGGAGCAAGTGGAAGACAAGTTCAAGCATTTGCGAAACCCCAAGACACAACAACCCTACCAGGCATTCTATTACAACAAGGGATTGTAAAAGCCGAATGTCGTCGTTTGTTTTTCACTCCTTGCATGCAAGGTTTTTGTTCATGGTACAGCCGCGAACCAAAAAGAAGTGGATGTGCCTTGAGACCAAAAGAAGATTGATCGAATGTGTAACTTTAATAGCTAGTACTTTATTGCAACGTTTGTTTTATTGCTGTAGCTATGCCAAAAGATGAAGCACCTTCGCCCTCTGTGGGCTTTGCTGCCTTTACGGTACCCCTACTGGCTTTGATAGCTGGTATGGCTGGGCTCATGGCAACACAGTTCAGGAGCAGTCAGTCATCCACTTTGTAAAGATCCCAACCAAACAATCATCATAGTCTTCGAAATCCTGCCCTCCCAGATCCATCGGCCCCATCGGGCTGCTCTCTCGGTGCCAAGTCCGCTTGTTGACTCAACTCCGTCAAACACTGTTCCAGTCTGTGCAGCACCAACGAAATATCTTGTACTAACCCACTGGACAGTGGCTTGGCAGTGCCCAACTCGGCAAATGCCTGTTGCTCCACAAATCCTGCCGCCAATAGTAGCCCACGTGCCGGGGTGAGCCAAATACCCTGGGCAAATTTCTTGTTGGAAATACGAATACGTCGGTAGCTTGAATTGTCTGGATCCATGGCAATGTTTTTCAAGTATTTCATCAACATGGTGGCTCCCGGATTGTAATCAAAGTACGATAGTCTTTTCATTTGCAGCAAGGTCCACGTATGCGCCTGGTTGGGATTGTGGAAGTGATGCTTGGCCGGATGTGGTATGACGGCATCGTCAATGCTACAAATGTAGGAATCTCGAAGAGCTTCCGGAGTAGGACCAGTAATGTTGAATCGCTGGACACCCACCATGGGATGTTCGTCTTCAATAGTTGGCACTTCGTCCAAATGAGGAATGACACGCTCTGGAATGTAATGCACCAGGAGTGGCTCTTCTGGCTCCCCCGAATCTGCCAATCGAAATACCCAGGGATGTTCGACGTAGGTTGTTTGATACCATGTTTCTCCTCTGGAAATGGATCCTTTGAAATCTTCACGTCCCTGGTAGTTGATCCAGTATACATTGATTTTCATGGAGTAATGATTCGTGACTCTCAGGGCCACTTTTACTTGTCCATTGCGACTCTTGGGAACGTACGGAGGAATTACGTCCACGCCGTCGGTCCTTCCAACATTGTATTGTCGAAATAAACTGGTTTCAACGTCATACCAGCGATGGAAACCTTCCATTCCAGGATGATAAATGGATTTGTTTCGGAATTGGATGGGTTTGGGAGCCTCTTCCACAACCGGGGTGGCACTACCGGTACCGGTACTAGTATTCCCATTGTTTGTTTCTGTTTCGTTGGCTGCGCTGCTAACGCCATTGGAATCTGTTTCTTCGTTCGTAAGGTCTCCATTTTCGTCTGGATCCTCGCTTTCTTCCTGTTCATCTTGTGTGGAGTCCTCTTGTGTTCTGTCTTCCTTTTCTAAGGCTGTGTCATTTATTTTGTCATCACGATTGTCGTCTATTTGTTCATTTTCATCCGTTTGGTCAGCATCATCAGCATCAACAATGTCATTTTCTGGTTCCTCTTCTACAAGGCTTGGCCCTTTTAACTCTGTGTATTGCATGGTCATGACCTCTTCTTCTTCTTCTTTTTGGTATGGTGCCTCTTGAGCTGGACCTTTCGCCGTTCCCATCAGGTACTCCAACACCATGGCAATCGCTGCCGTCACGACAATTCGTGTCAACCAAATCTTGAGGAATGATTCTTCATGGCTACTGGTACCATCTTGGGTCAAGAAGGATTCTGTCATCTTGTTTGTCTCTTGTATCCTTGGTCTACTAGCTACGGTAGTACAGTCGACAGAAGCTCTCTTCTCGAACAGTTGCTTGCCAGTTGCAGCAGTTGTGGGATTTGTTGCTCGTCATCGCTTTTCAGACAGTAGATCTTTATAATGAGCCATCCAAGCTGTTATTGAAAAGAGTTTCTCCGAGAAAATTAAGTCAGCAAAGGGTGACCACCGAAGAATCTCCGTCCCGAGCCGGTGACCACGAAGTGCCAAATCGCATTCTTTTCAAGCTTGCGAGCCACAATCACAAGGCACAAGCCACAACCCGATTGATACTTTAAAAAAAAAAAAAAAAAAAAAAAAAAAAAAAACAAATGGAAGGTGTCGCACGTTATTGTTGCATGAGATAGCAGTTGTAGTACTGGTACTGGCTTGCTAGTATGACATGACATTGTATGAGCAGAGCACCGCGAACAGCAGGACATCATCAGTTTCGTTGTCAGGCAGTGACGATGACGAGGGGAACGATCAAGTCGCCATAGAAGAAGACTGGAGCCATCAACGGAACAGGCTCTATGATCGAGAGGATCAACGGCAGCTGTTGCTGGACCGCTATTACCGCGTAAGAGATTGTTTTCGAACAGACAAAGGAGAGCCTTCGCAACTTGTTTTGATAAATGGAAAGTCAGGTATTGGGAAGTCTGCTTTGGCAATCAGCATTCGGGAAGACATTCTTTCCGATGGAGGGTTCTACATTTCAGGAAAGTTTGTGCCAGAATCAGACAACCAGCAGTCTCATCAGCGACAACCATTCGCTCCCTATGTCAGCGCTCTCAACGAATTGGCACTGCAGATTTCAGATCGAGAAAGTCTACTTCAAAAGATTCGAGAAAGACTTGCTGGCGATGAACGAGACTTTCGGGCAGAGGAACTGCACTTGTTACTTCGAGATTTGGTCCCTTCCATGTCGTCACTCCTGCTGCCTTCAGATGATGCTGACAAGGCCGTCATCACAAAATCTACACGACAAAAAGCAAATGCAAAGACACATGCGTTCACAGTCTTCTTCCGTCGCTTTCTAAATCTATTCCTGAGCTGTGCAGATGCTCCTCTCGTGATCCTTCTAGATGATATCCAAAGAGCTGATCCCGATGCTTTGCTTCTCTTGGAGTCTCTGCTACTGCCGACACCTCCAAACTCCAGTGAAACTGAAGACAGCAACCGCAACGAGTACCCTGGTCTCGTGCTCATGGCAACTTGCCGGTCCAACGAGGTGGCATTTCGAGATCCTCTTTCGGAGATGCTGCGACGAGTCGAAGACAACGGAACTCAAATTGTCGATATCAGACCAGCAAAACTGGGAATGGACGCCATCTCTCAAATGATTGCCGATTCCACTGGACTGCCGTCACATGATTGTCATCCAATGGCATTGCTTGTCATGCAGGAAACAAAGGGAAATGCCTTGTTTGCACATCAGTTTATTCAATCGCTCAACTGTCGTTTGGAAACAATGGAAGGAGATGACCTTGACGACAACCTTAGCAGTGGAGGATCCGAGTCGGAAGAAGAATCCAAACAGAGCGGTTTGTCCAATTCAACAATCTCAGATCAACGAATAGCCCGCTGGATAGCTCGGCAAATGAAACGATTGCCGGAAGTGGCACAGTATCTGCTCAAAGTGATATCATGCCTCGGAGGACAATTCGATCTACTGCTCCTAGAACGAACTTGTAGCCTGTCTGCGAGTGAAGTGCAGCGGGCCCTAACGATTTGTGTTGCTCAAACGTTCATCCACTACGATTCTGACCAGCAAAGAGGAGAAATGACACACGACAAGTTCCTCGAAGCCGCTGCTGCCCTCTTGTCAGCAAACACTTCAGAACGGGCACTCTTTCATCTGCAGTTGGGACGCAATCTACAGGAGAGCTGCGCTTCAGACAACAGCATCATGCAGACATATCAAATTCGAATCGTGGACTTGATGTTGGTGGGAAAAGAGGAGCTACACAATTCACGGGAAAGAGAAAACTTGGCACTCTGGTGCTTGCAAATAGGAAGAGAAGTTGCAATGAATTCTTCCTTTGCCGCATCTTGTGCCATTGACTACTTTGAGCGTGGTCTTGAGTTGCTCAGTCGACGACGCTGGAGGGATCAATACGACCTCAGCTTGGCTCTCACGAATGCAACCGCTGAACTAGCCTATTGTCAAGGGAATCACAGTCGTGTCCAAACGTTAGTAGACGAAGTACAAGCCAACGCCAAATCTTTCATGGATCAAGTCCAAGCATGCATGACTTCTATTCTGTCTCTCGGCGCACAAAGTGAATTTGACAAGGCCATTGCTCTAGGGCAGAATGTACTCGAGCAACTAGGACATCCGTTGCCTCGGAGGATTGGATTGTTTGGTGGTATTCACCGAGAGCTGTCCAAGACCAGGAAGATGTTGAATGGGTTTGAAGAAAGCGACATTTTGAACCTTAAACCTATCAAGAATCCAAAAGCCAAGGCCGCCATGACTGTTATACAAATATTGCATCCCGTATTTGCGTCAAGCTATCCGCCATACACGGTGTTTACCGGATCGCGTCTAGTACGTTTGACTCTCCAATTTGGGTTCTCACCAACGAGTAAGTGTGTCTTCTCGAGCTGCTTGATATCAAAGAAGGCCAACTAACTTTTGTTGTTCTCTTGCTGGCTCGTACGTCCAGGCGCCATTGGTTTTGCACTATACAGTCTAACATTAACACGCTTGGGGAATTACGGGGAAGGCAAAATCTATGGAGAATTGGCGGAGAGGCAAACTGAGATGCACAACTGTCGAGATTGTGAAGCCAAAATTTTCTTGACCTTGGGGATGGGGCCAACGTTTGCGAATAGACCGTTCCCTGGTGTCTTGAGCCATTTGCAACGATCCCACGTGAAAGGCCTACAGACGGGTGACATCGAGGTAAGCTGCTGGGATTCGGCATCACTGTTTCTAAATCACTGATGTTTGGATGTTTTGTTCCCTTTCTGCTGCAGACGTCTATGAGGGCGGCGGCTTGCTATGTCTGGATCCGATTCATGAGCGGCGCCCCGTTGCTTGACGTGAAGCGGGCATTGATTGAAAGCATGAGTATGTGTGATGACCACGGCAGTTCGACATCCAAAGGTTTTGTGTCACCCTGTGATATGATTTGCACGGCCCTGATGGGGAAAACGCAGGAATCGTTGAGTATGGATCGAGTTGGAAGCCTTTGTCGAATGGAACCCAATGGACCGAAACTTTTCTGCACTCTATGTGGCTTCTTGGTCGCTGGAATGTACTTGAACAAGCGTGACTTTGCACATCAAGTGACCATCGAGCTCTACAAGCGGAGAAAAGCGTTTCGAGATGTGGGTCCGTTTTTAAGGTCACACTGCACATTTTGGCAAGCCGTTGTCTTCGCTTCGCTGGGAAGCAGCAGGAAGTGCACTCGAAGGGCCAGAAGACTGCTGGCCAAGTTGCTAAGATGGGAGGCGTGCAATCCTCCTATCTTTACTGGAAAGGTTTGTTTGGTCGAGGCGCTGCTCGATGCAAATGCTGGTCGGAAGGATCGCGCCCTCTCACTTTTCGAGGAGGCTGTCCGTCATTCTGAAAAGCATGGATACATTGGTGAACAAGCGCTTGCCCTCGAAAAGGCTGGGATGATGTTGGTTGACATTGCGTCTGCAGCCGATGCGATAACGTACTTGGCGAAGTCGCGTGAGATTTACCGGATATACGGAGCGGCGGCCAATGTGCCGCGGCTTGACGAAGCGATATTATTAGTAGAGCGATCAATCCCCCAATAATATTATCGACGAAAGACTCTCTCTTCGTCTACTAGCCAGTTGCATTGCATCGGTTTTAAAATCGAGTTGGGTATGTTCGTATGCCCTGATCGCCGTCCAGGAGTGGGAAGACTCGAAGGGCTTAGACGTGGAGTACGGCAACTTGCAGAAAAGGTCCAGAAGTGGCCTGGTGGCCCTGAAGTTGGTCGGGTTGTGAAGTGCAATCAGGAGTCGGACCTAGCAAGCTAGCGAGGAGTGGGGCCTGAAGAAGAACCAAGGGTAGGCTCTGGTGTGGGACCTGGATTAGGTCTAGGGTAAAAGGCCCTGGAGTCGGTCCAGTTGCCCCGTAGCAAGAATAGGCACAAGATTGGTGCTGGGTTTGGGTCTTCGAGTTGGGAATGGAACTGTTTGGTTGGGGGGGGTCCAGCTACCGGTTGGATGTTGCGGTACCGGCACGGTACGGATTGGGGGGCGCTCCAGCTAGCTTGTTAAGGACCTAACTAGCTAGCTGTAGCTTTCCACAATAAAACCTTCTCTGTTATTTTTGCGGTTCCTCGTTGGAGCCTCAAAAGATTTTGGACGGCCACGACGCACGACGGCTCTGGGAATCTGCTGTCAATTGCTGGCTATACTAGCTACCGGTAGCCTTCTAGAGATTGTGGATTGTGGTACAGTACTTGATGGGTGGTTTGCCGTGGATCTTCTGGTAGAACTGGCTTTCTGTTGTTTGGAGCCTACGAGACAACGATTGATTATTAATAGCGCCTTCTCAGAACAAGCCTACGCTGTACCGGAAAAGAAAGAATTGACAGTGACCATGATTGTGGTATTCGTAGTGGACACGTCTCCTTCAATGGGGCAACCCATTGCTCCGTCCAGGGGCAAGGGAAATCATTCCATGCTATCTCGCCTTGACCTCGCGAAGATGGCAGTCGAAGACCTGGTTAAAGGGATGAACCGCCGAGTACAAGAACACAACGTCTTTTTACAGCACCAACCACCCGCCGTGCAAAAGAGCATGGTTCAGATTGGCCTGGGCTACTGCCCTGCCAACCAGTACCTCTTGCTCAGTACCAGTCGTCAGCATACAGATCAACCTGCCACTGCTGCTTGTGGAGCAGGCGGTCGTTTGTTGGTTGGATTCGGCCCTGATAACATTTATGGCAGCAATCACCATCAGCATGGAATGGACAGCAGCCAAGCCATGGGACACGATCCCATGCACTCGGGAGATGGATCTATGCACGGTGCGTCGAGCAACGCTGCAAGTTTTCAGAGAGAACTGAAACAATTGCAGGCAGCCTCATGGGATCCCTCCAAAGCAACCGGTAAAAATAAAGGCTTTCCCGACGATGCAGGAGGGGCGGGAGGATTGAATACTGCCTTGTCAGCAGGATTGCAGCTCTTGTCACGATATCGATTGCAGGTTCGAGAAACAGAAAATTGGGCTATGGGTCGCTTGCCGAATCCTGCCATGGTTCTTCCCAATGGAGCCTTTGCCTCTCATGCGTTACAGTCGGGCTGTTTGGTATTGCTCACTGATGGAGCCTGTCTGAGGAAGCCACCGGCTGAAGGAGGTGGCTCTCTACAACTACAACCTGGAAACATGCCCTTGCGTGAATGGTATAAGGAACCATTTCGTTGGGACCAAAGAATTGTGTGCTTGGGTGTCGGTGGTGCAAGTCAAAATAATGTCTCCTCAAGTCAATTTCTACATCCTAGGCTGAGAGCCCTCTGTGAGGTAACAGGAGGATGCCTCACCTTGTTGCAATCGACAATATCACTGCCGACCATGACAGAGCGTTTGCTCCGTACGCTGGCGCCGCCTTTGCCTAGAGAGCTCCCCATGGCCGATCCACTCAAAAGTCCTGTAACTGCCGGCCACTCAGCCACCATTTCAACGAATCCTCCCAATGGAACTTCCTCATTTATCAATGGTGGTCCTGTTTGTTGCTTTCAAGCCATTGAGGGTGACATGGATGGAAGTGGTGGTGCAAACCTGTACCGTGCCATGCTACTCTATGTACCCTGTCCATCTCCTCAGATGACTCCTACAGACGTACCAGACACGATCATATTTCATCCACCAATGTGGTGCATTCCGGAAAATTATTTCCCAAACAGAAAGTTGGATACACTGCCTCCACGATCCGCCCAACCGTTGCTAATGATATCGCGCTTTCCTTCCAAAATGGGTAACAAGTCCTTTGAACCAACCATACTCATGAAACAGCTGAATCGGCTAGACCAGCTCATTCTGAGCACGCGACAATTACAACAATCTGCACAGCCTGGGAATCAGGCTCCCGCCGTCACCGTAAAGATGCTCCATCGAGATGTATACATTTGTGAGTGGGTATCGGTCGATGATAGACCTCCCAAAGCACCCCAACCTAATGTGTATGGCGGCAGTGAATACTATCCAGTCATTGTGCAAGACGCAGGTCGTCCTACCAATGATGACACCAACTATCTTCATATTGGTATTCTACATGCGCCATCGTCAACGTCTACGTTGGCAACGTCGACGCAGTCCGCTTCGTCGCGGCCATTCAGTACTCTGACAATGCTTCCGCCAGAGCCTCAGATATTAGTGCCACTTTTGCTCAAAGCAGCCGATGCAGAGCATCGAGCCTTCAAGAAAGCAACACAAGGAAACAGCAACATGACTGCAGAAAACATGGCAGCGGTCAGTCGATCTGTACAGGTCGACGAAACCTGGAAACAAGACTTGCGCAACTATATTTCGCGCCTTCCGCCCTATTATCAGGTTGCACTGAAGCGAGGCTTGCGATCGGTGCTGCCAACAAGTCTGCACCAGATCCTCGCGACAGCTTTGGCAAACGAAGCACCATCAGGGGGCGGAGGTGCAGATGGTTCAATGTCCTCGTCATCCTTGTCTATGCACTGCTACTCAAAGGCATGTTTTCAGAAGATTCGTGGCGCCGAGCAAGTGTCACGGGACAACAACGAACGATTGGAACGACAAGAAGTAGAGCTTCGAGGAGTGTCAAAGCTAATGGATTCTCCACATCAGCAGCAGCAACCTCAGCCACAGCAGACTTCATCGCGGCCACAATTGCAGCGTAGCAACAGCCAAAATAACTTGGAGGTTGGGTATGGACAGTACGATCCGAGGTCGAGCACAGAAAGTTTCTTGTCAGCGCTTCGATCATTGCCAGCGCCTTGGCTGGTTGGTGTCGATTCCAAGAAGCGCAAGCGTGACGGTGAGACTGCGAAAAATGATACACCGACAGGAAAGGGCAAACTAAAGAGCGACACAGCAAAGTCTTCGAACGCGGCGAAAAATGATGTGGCACCCGCCAAAAGCGACAACGAGGACATTCACGCATACCATACGAGAAAGCCCAATGCCATGGAAATTCTCGGTGATTTACCCGCAGACTGTTTGATGGCCTACTACGAGTCGCGGCGACGATGGATCTTTGGCGGGTCCGGTCTCACAACAAGAGGCTTAATAGTCGAGGGAGTGAGCAATGACGGTGGCAACGTACAACGTTGTGGCGCAAATCCGAATGATTTCCAGGATCAATCACTGTTGTCTTTTGCTGGAGTGGGAGTATCGACTTTGAATGAAACAACTGTTGCGAAGATGGGAGACTACCGCGAGCGTTTACTGTGGTCTCGTGCACCAGTAGTTGGCTACGGTTCTAACGACTCCTGTGGGGTGGCATCTACAACTGCAGCGGATGGGTCGCCGAAATGGTCTGTAGACGACGATGCACTACCCTTGACTTTCTTTGATCCGAAGACAGGAGCATTTGTTGACTCGGTGCAGACCAGAGTGCGCGCTCGATTGATGGTCAATTTCGGAAACGCCTACAAAGACAAGAGAGCTGATAGTCTCGTCCCTGAGAAGTACCAGAATCAGCGCCCGTCGAACCACCACCATGACACAACTGGCGAAATTGCCACGCCACCAGGATCCCCTCCACACGATTCATACTCCTCCAGTGTCGAAGAAGGAGAAGCAATTTTCACCAAATCGCCGCCACCGAAGTCGCCTCCGCATTCCAGCAATCTTTCGTTGTCTCCGCGACCACCACCGGCAAAGCCGCCGAAAGAGGACAACAAAGACAGCAATAGCGTTGGAAGTACAGCAACTAGCGAACCGGACGATTCGTCTACCGGCAGTTCTGGGCTGCCACCACCTCCCCCAACCAAACGAGCAAAACTAGAAGGAGAATTCAAGGCTTCATTGAAGCCAACTCCAAAGCAACCACCTAAGAAGCAACGACCCAAGCCAGGAATCTCCAGCGACAAGACTCCCCTAGTATCCACACCAATGACACCGCCAACAGCCCCTCCCAAGCTTAAATCAAGCCCAGGAAGTGCACCTAGCAGTAGTTCTTCTCCAAGACCGCCTCCTCCACCAGTAAAGTCACCCAAGCCAACGCCGGGACCTCCACCCAAGGGCACAACTGCCAAGAGACCTCCTCCTCCACCAGGGACAAAACGCCAGCCTCCGCCCCCTTCGTTAAACAAGAAACCTTCTTTTAGTCTGGCCCCATCCAAGCCACTACCGTCGTTTCCACTGAGGCGACCCTCGAGCCTTCTCTCTGGTGCGAGTATAGGCCAATCGTCATCCACGGACAGCGCCGATGGCGGCGGCGGCAAGTCGTTGCCAGCCCCGCCTCTTCCTAAACCAACCAAGCTCGAAGCTACGACATCAGGTGGCAGTGTGGGTAGTGCATCGTCAGCGGCGGGCGGTGGACCCATCAAGCCTCCACCTCCCAAACCGAAGGCTTCGAGTGCCCCTCCTCCACCGAAGCGGTCAAACCCTGCCAAACCCCCACCGCCCAAGCCTCCTCCACAACAGCAACCGCCGCAACCGCAACCAACGTCGGAGCCCACCAAGACTTTGGTGTACACGGAGAGGGACAAGAAACCGGATGTGGAACTTCCTGCCGGATGGATGTGTGTATGGTCAAAGAGCCAAAAACGTTGGTACTTTTTTGACACCAGAAGCAACCGCAGTGTTTGGCAATGGCCTCCGCCAGCTGGTAGTATGTAGCATGGGCAAAATATTGATGCAAGAAGTTAGTAGAGTTACAATGTTGGTTATAGATAGACATTCTAGTAGTAGAGTCAAAGAAAGGTGATCTCGCGCAGATACTTTCGTTTGTGAAGGCTTGTCCCAATAAAACCAGACCAAAAGTGAATGGCGCGGCTACACAGAACTGGACACCACTTGAGGCGATTCGTCATCCCCATCTCCGTCGTCCTGGTTGGCGGCGGTCAATTCATCGTCGTCGACATCGTCATCATCTTCCCGTATTTGTTCCGTTTTGAATGTCTTGAGTAGTTCTAGGTTGGCGCGATTGAACGCATTCTGAAAGTCCGCATCCTTTCGAGCATCCTTGGTCAATTCCTTGACTCGGTGCGTGATATCTCTGTAGCTACTTCGATTCATGATTTGGTCCACTTCATCGTCCAACATGCTCTGTTTGACCTTTCGACTGAGCTTCTTGGCTTTGGTGCTAGATCGGTATTTGCTGTGCAGCATGTCACTATCAAGCATCCAAGCGAAAGGGAGAGTGAGTGAACCTTGCATTCACAGAAGCTATTGAATTGAATCGAATCGAATCAACGACAAGACTTACCGCAAACATTGCCCCACTTGTGAGTTGAGACGGATGAAGAATGCAAGAAGTGAGTGCATACCAGATACCAGGTTCCAGTACGGTGCTGTTTGCTAGCTAGAATCTGACCATCCATCAGGGCACACTCACCTTTTTCACGAGCCTGAAAACGACACACAAACAAAATCAGAAAGAACGGATGGGTGGGTGTGTGAGTGAGTAGGCACGAGCAGCAAACCAACCCAACCTAACCTAACGTGACCATCCATGTCCACACAGAACCTGTACTCACCAAATGATCTCCAGCCTCGTACCACATGTTGCCTTCTCTCTTGACGAATCCACCTCCAGGACTGGATGCCCGGATCGTCTCGACTATATCTGAAACTATAGCTGACTTGGCAAGTTTGCTGGGGGCATTGGAGTAACGCTGTAACGACGACTCGACTATCAACTTGAAGCGTTTGTTGCCTGTATGGTTCACAGCAATCCGCCCTCGAGCACAAATCACATCAAAGGAGGTCGGTTCATAGGTCTCTCCCAACGGAGTCATGTCGAACTTGCTGGCCGCGTCTTTGGACTTGGACATGGTTGTGGGTGTTCTTGGAAAGATTACTAGTAGAAGAAAGGAAGGAGTCCTCAGTCCAATCAGGTAGAATGGTTTCTGTGCTGTCCGATTTGATTTTCCGGCAAACTTGTTGCTTGATGTGTCAAGGATCTCCAAGCGCAGGCCACTAGCCTTGTCAACTGTCTGGAGTACGAGTACTATACTGAGAGCTGCGACAAACACAATACCAACAAAGTCAAAGCAGTCTGGATGGCAACTACGAGTATGCTACTGGATGGTCGGTTGCTGATGAATGATGCGGATGTCCGGTCTCGATGTTGTGTGGGAACTGCTTGTTATTACAACATGTACCAGGCGTGCCGTTGCTTTTTGTGTCGTCAATCATGTCGCTTGTTTTTGCTTTTCCTTCTCCCGTTTCGCTAAGAATGACCGCGTTGAAGGAAAGAACTCCATTGTCTTATTTCTTCAAATGACGCTCCTTAGCAGGAGAGCACAGAAAAATGTTAAACAAAAATGCATGAAAAGCTAAGGAGACATAACCAAGAGTGAAGCGAATTATTTAGCCGAATTAGGGTTACGTTTTAGTGCGAAGAAAAGCTTTCTTCCACGGTTGAGCTCCACGATGTGGCCGCATGGTCTTCGAGGCACCGCACCCACGCCCATGATACATCGTCTACATGGAAGCAAAGTAACAGGACAAACGGCGAGCTGCTAGATTGAACATTCCACCAGACGAGGAATGTCAACCTGAGCTTCATTTCAATCAATGGCTGTTATTGAAATAGTAGCAATGATTCCAGGTTTGTATGGTTCGATTCCAGGTTTCATTAGATGAAAAAAACTAAACCCACAGGCCCTCGAGCTTTGGCTGAATAGCTCCTATTCCATGAATCTAGCTAGGATCCGTGAGTTTGGGGCACTACCAGATCTCATGCAGCAATGTATCGCCCCACGAGACAGAAATGAGGAATATACTGTAACAAGGTCCTCTCCTTTCTCAGCCAATCCTGGACCCTCTGGGACCAGCGATGAAAGGGACTACAAGAGTGAGAGAGCCCAACCTAGCTAGCTACTACATGTTGTAGGCAGAATGGTGTTATGGGTGGTTCTTCACACTTCACACGATCATATGAGAATAGAATAAATTCTGGCAGGAGCACCACCGGTGCCGGCGCCGCAAGCAAACTGGCCAGCCACGGCGGTGGGACCAATGCTGTGGGGCGGGGCAGAAGGATCAACCGGGCCAAAAGCTCAATGGGTAAATGCGATCTTGGTGTGGTGGTGTTATTCGCTTTTTAAAAGAGGCGCGATGTCACATGTACCAACCTCATCACATCATAGATGATGCAATCGGGGGTGAGGGACAGCCAAGAATGCGAAGGACTCGACCGTGAAGTTGGATCTTTCGATACAATCAATCCATCGTCGTGGCCGAAGACGCTGTGCCCGACTGGGAACTTCCCGACTGGCGGATTTCCGACTGGAGTAGCATTGGACAGAGCCTGTTGCCATCCACTCTTCAACAAACCACAACAAGAGAGGAAAAGGTCTCCAAAGCAGGAAGCAAAGTTGGTGGGGGCGAGGATCTGTGCAGGAAGAAGATGAAGAGCGCCTTTGTGCTTACCGGTGATCGAAGTAAGTGCTCACCAGTAAAAATAATTATTTGGTGATTTCGAAGACACGTTCGAAGGAACATAAGAGCGCGGTTCCGCATGCGACCCTTGAAGACTGGCGAACGCATCCCGTTTTCTGTGCGGGCAGCTGCAATTTGCACGTTCCTGCTGTTGCCAGGTCAGTATACTGCTACCTTGTTATTAAGATATCTATGAGTTTGCTGCGACACTGTGGGAATCTTAGCAGTAGCAGTACCACAAATATCCATACTGAACTTCTAAAGCTCAGGATCCATCGCTAGCTAGTGTAATGCAGTACCAAAAGACCAAAGAGTCGAGCTACCTGGTATAGAGTAGTCACAGAGCTCAGGGAGTAAATTTTCTTAAATCAGTCACTCACTCTTTGCTGAAATCGTATAATGTAGTACCGGTAGACTGCTATGGATCAATTCTACTCTACTTCCCGCCTTACTAAGCATACCCTTTAGAAGGTAAATAGAGGAAAGACAGATAGATTATCACCAACCGGAAGCAAATGTTTTGCCATTTGGCACCTTTTTAAAGGCATTTTGTTGTACAGTAGAAAGTGCCATTGTATCATCGCTCAAACTATTGTGTGCCCAAGGGAGAGTAATCAGTGAGCATCTTGGCTCTAGCTAGCTAGTCCAGATCTGAATGTCTCCAGTGTCTAACAATTCCAGCAAATCTCAGTACGGTTTTTGACATCCTATCTCTGACTTTCTTAACAAAAAGGTAAGAGTATACCAGAAGGCACGCACCACACTCAGCAAGGAGAACAAAAGAATGAGTGCAGTGTGTCCAGAGTTGTCCAGGCAATTTGTTTTGTTTAACACGATGATGACGAAGCTCGACGATCATGCTTGCAGACTGCAGACTTGACTTGTCTTCAAGCTTCAAGAAGAAGGGTTTAGAGGAGCTGTAGAAAATAGCTTTAAAATCTGGAACCCCCAACTCGACGAGCTTCTACTTACTTATCGCTTGTTCTCATCTTTTTGCGTAGCGTGGCAACCGATGTTTACGGTACATGTTTACCTACTCGAGTAGATACAAGAAGCTTTTTCAATAGTACCACTATCTACAATATTTTTATAGATTGATTTCCTCCTAGAAGATGCGCGTGTAGTTGTGTAGACGAGACAATTCTTCAATTGTTTTTAAGAAATAACACTATCCACTCTGTCAACCAACTTACACTGGTATTCACAAACTCAGTAGAGTTGAGAGTTGAGGAATAGTAAGTGCTCTTGCATTGTGAGGCAAGTTTTACAGACTGTGCAAAACAGCGACGACACTTCCTTGTGGAGTCTGGGAGGCGAATCATTGAATCATTCAGTCGGAAATCGGATCGGATCGAATCTGGTCCACACAGCTATTTACCGTACTTTATTACTGCGGAGATTCTTGGAGCGAAAGCAATGTTGTGATGTTGTGTGCTTGGCCTCGTTTACTGCTACCGCATGCGCTGTGCGGGTTTGGATGATGTACCGTACATGTACAAAAAGCAGCGTAAAGCTGCAGAGTAGCTACCATGTAGTAATGTAGAAAAAGCCAACACTGCACACTGCAGACTGCACAAAACATCCAAAGGCTACGTACTGTATCAAACATCAAAAGAGCCAAAACAACATTGTTGTCATAAAACAGAACAACCTTCCAAAAGACAGGAAGAAAAGAAAACTTCAACCGCTCCCTTCCAGTCAACTCTTCAGCAAACAACACATCAAGATGGTCAAGAAAATGATTGCAGCCGACCGCATCTTGGAGCCCTTGCCTCTAGACTTTGCACCTGGACCCAACGATGTGGTAAGTTCCTGTTAGCTTGCTTCACAGGCAGGTTGCATTAGCTGCCGATCTTCTTTCCTGGATGGCCTTGACTAACAACACTACTTTTATAACTTGATGAACAGATCTGCGCTCGCGGCAAGGTGGCAGTGAAGCACAGTGGCAACAAAAAGTTCATGGAGATTGCCAAGCTCTTCCTGAATCGATACAAAGAATGCACTACCAAAGTAGACAAGACAGGCATTGTGTCAGAGATTATTGCCAAGGTGGAAGAAAGCAGCCCAGACGGGGGCTTTGTCAAGAAAGTTGGGGATAAGTGGTTCTTGGCGGACCTGCAGCTCAAGAGGGAAAAGATCTCACAGGCTCTGCGCAATCAGCTAAGCACAAAGTACAAGTCCAGTACCAAAGCCAAGAGAATCCAGCGACAAGTTAAGGAGTCCATGTTTGACGACGAGGTGGACTACGCCTTGAGCCAAATCAACTGTGGGGATATGATGGACCAAGTGGAGAAACTCACCTCCGAAGCAAAGGACGAGAAGGACTTCCAGAATGCTTTCAACATGGTCAACATGGAACTTCTGCAGAGGCTGAAGTCCCTGCCACCTGTTGCGCCGTTCGAGAATGCGGACGACGACGACGAAGTAAGCCTTGCTGAAAGTGCTTCGTTGTCACCCGACGTTGCGGGTAGCATTCCAGACATGGGATCTGCTGGCAACCTCTTGGCCCCTCCCACGACAATGTCTCGAGCCATTAGTGCGTCTTCCGCTGGAGCAGCTGCCCCACCCGCCACTTCTATGGCCATCAGTGCATCATCGGTTGCATGCATGCCCCCTGCCATGTCGCGGGCTATCAGCACCTCTTCGGCTTCTTCTTCCAATGCTCCCCCGGCCATGGCTCGGTCCAACAGCTTGTCTGGAGGGTCCCTTGCCCCCCCGACAATGGGACAATTCACCAATGGCACGAATGCCTCCTTCGTGCCATTTAGTACTCCGATGATGGCAAGGGTTGTCAGTGGGGCACCTATCCCCGTGTCTTTCGCGGCTCAGAAACCCCCATGCCTGGCCCGAACCGTCACAGCCCCAACCGATAACTCATCATGGATCGCTCCCACTGCCATGATGACGATGGCAAAGCTGAGTGGTACAAACATGAGCACACCGCCGTTTCCGTCCACCATGCTTGGTCGTGCCACCAGCAGGCCCTTGGATTTGGACGACGATTCAGACGATGATGCCTTTTCTCCTTTACCATTTGATCACGGTAACGGTTCTCCTGATCTCTCTCTCTTCTTCGATCTTGCACCATTCGCTGCCGATTCTGGCTTCTAGACAAGCGTGGGGTGAGAAGTGCATTCGATCTTGCACCATTCGCTACCAACATAGATAAACATGGGATAAGAAGTGCATTCTGCATGTCATACAAACATACATACATACATAGGCATTCTGGCTTCTAGACAAGCGAGGGGTGAGAAGTGCATTCGATCTTGCACCATTCGCTACCAACTTAGACAACCATGGGATAAGAAGTGCATTCTGCATGCCATACATACATACATACATACATAGCTACATGTGACATCCGGTGATTGCCTGCCGGCAGACTGCCTTTTAACTCCTTTCAGTCAAATATCCCTATGGTAGCAATAGATTGAAATTGTGTAAATTATGTCGTTTTGTGTTGTGTAAGGTTGGCAGACCGTCGCCTAATAGCATGAAGTGTCAAACGTGGGAGACGTTTTGAAACGTGGTCGCAGGACCGGACCTCCATACTTCATCAAACAGCCAGACACAACGTCCAAGCTACCATGAACTGATTCCAGAGATTCGATCCAGACTTACATATCGTTGTCTGGAAGATACAAACCTGCATATACTTGACTGAGCGAGCCCGCAGGATCTCCGGCACCAGTACATCCGCTTCGACAAGGGTAATGAGATGCATTCAAACGTCTCCCTTTGGATCTTGTGTGGAGCATAAGTCTTCAGACGTGTGGTACGGATCCAATCAACCAAGATGGACAGTATCTTGAACTGCTCCACGCTGGATCTTCGGGCTACCAACTACCAACTCTGGCTTCTAAGCGTGGGATGAGAAGTGCGTCCTACATGTCATCATAACGGTACAGCTCATCATTCCTTTAACATCCGGTGATTGCTTCCCAACAGACTGCCTTTTAACTACCTTTCAGTTAAGTGTGATCTGTCTTCTCTTTTTCTCTGCTTCGACCTTCTACCAACTCTGGCTTCTAAAAGCGTGGGGTGAGAAGTGCATTCTACATGTCAGCCATCATACGTGTAACATCCAGAGATTACTGGCCGGCAGGCTGCCTTTTCGCTACCTTTCAGTTTTAAAGTGTTGTAATGGATTCCATTGCATTCAGGTCTTTCCCACCAGCCACGATGTAGCCTTCCCTTGGAAACTTCGGGAGGGAAGAAGGAAGCTTCAGAACAAATGCATTTCTTGAGTTGCTCTGTCTCTTTTTTTCAAATGTCAAAGTTTGAGGAGAGAGGAGGCTGAGACACCTTGCAATCAACACCACGAGTGCCCCTTGACCGCGACTAAGGAAGCTTCAGGTTGCGCTGGGGGAAACTCTCTGGGTGCGTACCGTACTAGTAGAGCACGTACTAGCTAGTAGTGGAGAGCTTTGTGGAGTGTGGTGGTCAATTTTCGAGTCTTGCTTCCGAAAAAACACAAAAACACTGAATCAGACAAGAAGTGCATGAGGACCACCCATAACCAAGGCCCGCGGGTTTCCCACAGTCAAGTCTGCTCACAGGCCACACTAGCCTCCTGAGAGCCTGCCACACCTATTAGCTATCTAAAGGTTTGCACACTGAGGTCCGAGCAATGATTCACCACAAATCATGTGCTCTTGTTGAAGAGAGTGGGAGTGAAGTCCAGCTTCCGGTGACAGCGAGAAGACTACTGCACTGAAGGGACCACTCAATAGAACCAACACCTGGTAGTAACAGTAAACCACAGGTACTAGTAGCTACTGAGTAGAACAAGCAAACCACTATTTTTCTAGCTGGTGGCTTGTACCGTTTCTCTTGCTAATGTGCTCTCTTGTTCTAGCTAAAGGGGGGCTTCTTTGTCAGCAAGCAGGCCCTCGATGGCTCGGCTCTATCTTTTTTCTCCTAATAATAGTACCATCGAGTCGAGTGAACAGTCTACTACACAAACGGCTACACAAACTCGGTTGTAAAAATGAGCCCCCCGAAACCAAATTAGTGACAGACGACTCCAAAAGACACAACACGGCCTGTAGAATGGGTGGGTGGTATTAGCATCATGGCACCCAAAGGCAAGGTCCGGAAGGGGGACTCCATTTGATTTTGAAGGTGTCATAGCGTGAAATTAGTTTCACAACTTCGAAATGGAACCTAATTTCACGTTTTTTCGTTTCTAGTGAGAACAAAAACTGTAGTTTAACGAAAAGGTTAAAACTTAAATCGTAAAATTGAATCTTTACTTTCACGACTGGGAAACCAGCCTGTTGCGGACAGCAATTCAGGATTCAGGTGACTTAATACAGGCATACCACGAGCATAACCCAGCTTACCAACGTATCATCATCATAAGGACTTAATATAAGTTCTCCATTCGCGTTGATTTTTCTCTGCTAGTACCGGTAGTACCATTTCCAATTCCCACAGCTATTCAGCTCTATTCCCACATTTTCCATCAACCATCAACTCGGAGGCGTGACGAGACCCCGATTGCAAACACCACCTCCAAAGAGATAGCCAATGATTCTACCCAGCGTAGTCATATCCATAAAGATGAAGATGGCAGCGTCAAAGAGTCGATCAGCAGAGAATCTGGAGGCTCTGCCACCAGACTATAAACCGGGGGAAAACGAAGTGATTTGCGTTCGTGGAAGGTAAGGATCCTATGCTACCGGCGATTCGATTCAATCCTATGGCTTTCCTCACTGACAACCGTCATTGTTTGGAACAGAGTGTCACAAAAGCATCCTGGGAATATTAAGCTTCGCGAGATTGTTGTTGGACAATACTTGAAACGATACACCGAGTGTGCATCCAAATTCGAGAAGTCGTTGATGGTGACTGAAATCGTTCAGCATATGAAAGACAGAAGCACGGTTGGTGCCTTTGTAAGGAAGATTGGAGATCGATGGTACAAAGCCCCAGAACAGCTTGCCCGCGAAAAAGGTCCGTGATCTTTTGACCGTGCGTTGAAGCGGTGCGCTTGCCGAACCGTACATGTACACGGCTGACGCTAATCTCGTCCCGATGCTTTGTCAACAGTTGGTCAGCTATTGCGGAACCTTAACCCAGAAAAGTACAAGTCGAGCAATAAGGCAAAGAAAGCAAAACGTCAAGCGGATGAGTATCTATATGACGAGGGGGTTGACCATATGATGGGCCAGCTAGGGTACACCGACATCTCGAAACGGGTCGGTGAACTCACTGCCAACGCAAAGACGGACGACGACTTTCAAGCCGCCTTCAATGCAGCAAATTCAGAGCTTCTCAACCAGCTCAAGAAGAATACACCGAAGAATGACGACGAGACCAATGACAAAAAGCCTCCGCCAAACCCCGACTTCCCGCCAGGACGATAGCAACTCCTTGAATCGAATCGAATCGAATCAAACGCATCTCAAAGTCCTGAGGTCATGCCTTATCATTAGCAGGGACCATAGCTGGAACCAGCATGTTCCTGGAATAATGCGCGAAACTTTTCACATGTCGTGCAAACAGTAACATCTACCGCAAGAGTCACACCTAGGTCGTGCATGCAGGGTGCAAGCAGTATCATCTACCGCAAGACACATCCTCTTTCCTCCTTCAAGATAACGACACGGCAGACGATGCTCTCAGGCTGAACCAACATGTTCAAGGCAGCAACCCGTCATACGGACAAAGCAGCAACTAAACACAATGCTGAATGGCAAGTGCTATGCAACGCCACCGACACTCAGATTCAAGTATTCAAGTGATTGTATTGGTCTTTCTGGTTTCTTTAAATGTAATGCGTAAATCAACGGATTTCCTCGACCGCCGTGGCAACTAGGGCAACTGAGGGAGATACTGTGTCTCTGTTGGGCGGGCGAACGTCATGACACAACCTGGGGAGCTCGGAATCTGATGATCAAAGTCTCGGAGGACAACCTTTCGGGCTGCTGTGGGGCTTGAAACCTTCACCTCGGAAATCTCGTCATGGTGGGCCTTGTTCTTGTCAAAGTCCACATGATGAAGATGTATTTGATCGTCCATGTCGAAATGTGCATGATGACAATGCAGATCGTGCTGCAACTCTTCACCAGCGGGATCTCTTGGTCGGACATGATCTCTCTCATCAACCAACTGCTTGTTACGGCTCTCTGCGATAAGTGCGAGTTCCTCCTCCTCGTCATCCTCTGCGCTTGCTTGTGGGGGGGCCGATGCACGGTTGAAGTAATTGCGTCCAAATACATTTGGATCAGAAGCAACTACAGGAATCTCCGGGGGCTGGCAGTCAATGGCCAGTTTGGAAAGTGCTCTGGCATCCTTCAAAATACGGCCACTCTCCTCAGTCGTCTCCACAGACAACTGCTCAAATGCAGATGGGCGACTGAAGTAGTTCCTTCCAAACAAAGCAGGATCTGTTGTCACTAGAGGTAGCTCTGGATGAAGATAGTCCACAGCAGACTTCTTCAGCTGTTTCATCTCCTCCAAGATAAGGGCCCTCTCAGTGTCTTCCTCCAGGTCCTGCATGGGTGCCGAAGGCCTGTCAAAGAAGCAACGAGCACAAGCACTGGCATCTGCAGTTTGCACTGGTAGCTCTGGATGCCTGTAGTCAACGGCCAGCTTTGAGAGTGCCTTGGCATCTGTCAGAGCTGCAATCCTCTCCTCTTCTGCTTCCAAATCAAGTTGTTCCGGAGCTGATGGACGAGAGAAGTAGTTCCTACCAAACACTGCTGGGTCGGTGGTTGCAACTGGTAGCTCTGGATGCCTGTAGTCAATGGCCAACTTTGAGAGTGCCTTTGCTTCTGCCAGAACTACCATCCTTTCCTCATCTTCCTCCAAAGAAAGCTGCTCTGGAGCCGAAGGACGAGAGAAGTAGTTCCTTCCAAACACTGTTGGGTCGATTTGCAATGCCACCCCAGAATGGTGGGCACGAGCAAGCTTGGCTAGCTCCTGGGCATCACTGAGAATCATTTGATGCTCTTCGTCCTCCTGTTTTGAAATCTCAACAGGGGCAGATGGGCGTGTGAAGTAGTTTCGGCCGAACACTGTTGGGTCAGACGTCTCCACAGGCAACTCGGGATGAAGATAGTCCTTGGCGGCATTTTTCAGTTGTTTCAGTTCTTTGAGAATCATTTCTCTTTCAGCATCTGCTTCCTCAGTCTCCTGCACAGGGGCTGAAGCCCTGTCAAAGAAGCAGCGTGCACAAGCAGTGGCATCTGATGTTTCCACTGGCAACTCAGGATGGAGATAGTCCCTGGCGGCCTTCTTCAGTTGTTTCAGTTCTTTGAGAATCTCTTCTCTTTCAGCATCGTCTCCTTCATTCTCCTGCTCTGGCGCTGGATCCCTGTCAAAGAAGCAGCGTGCACAAGCCGTGGCATCCGTTTCCACTGGCAACTCTGGATGCAAAAAGAACTTGGCCATCGTCCTCATTTTGTGGGTATCACGGAGAATTTCGAGTCTCTCCGACAAATCAGTTTCCTCTGCAGTTTCAATAGATATTTTAAGAAACGTATAAAATATGAGCGACGAGGGCATTCCTTGCGTACGGTTTGCGTAGCCGCATTGCAGTCGCTCAGTCTCTCACCTTCGTCCGAGTCCTCCTCCTCTTCGGTCGCTTCATCGCTACCGGTACTGGCCTCGATGATAGGCGTCCAGTTTTCGTTATCGTCGTTGCTAGAAGAAGAGGTTAGCGCAAGTTCTGCAGCTTCCTTCCTCTTCATGTCAGTTGACTGTGCCGATCCCATTGTTACGGTTCGTTTGGTTGTTTGTTGTTGTTTGTTTCTTGTTTGTTGGATTTGTGAGCGAGGAGCGAGGGTTTCCAGCAAAAAGGAAACGCGAACCATGGCTCTTCTCATTTCGCTTCCTTCTCAGCTTCTCCTCGCAGAATCGTGTTGTCACCGAAGGCTTCAATACCAGCATTACAGTCGTACTTCTAAAGGACTTGTTGCTGGTTCAAAGAGCGAAGACAGTTTTAGATTGGTAGTTGAGGTAAGTGTAGAGTTAAAGTTAATGTTTACTTCTAATTTTTGCATAGAAAACTTTATTTACCGCAGCTACCTGATTTCCAAAGTTGTCTTCCCGTTGTTGACACGTTTTCTTCACTGTTCGCTTTGCACGTGCTTCCACTTCTCGTTGAGCATGGCTCTACTAGTTTAAAAAACGGCTATCAACAACCGTTACTTGACCACACTAAACAAACACGATTCAACAGAACTGCGAACCCCCAAAGAACCTGTGCGTACTAGTATGCATACTAGAACGCGTACTACATGCACATGTATGTGGCTTCGCGGCTTTTCTTTCAACCTGCCTATTTTTTAAAAAATAGCTAGCGTTACAGTACCGGTACCGTACAAAAACGTATCATGTATCATCTACATTATTGGGAAAAAATGGGCTAGCTGGAAGATTCCAGTGTCTTTGCTGTGCCACAGGGAGATGCTTCTTCTGTCTTGGAATAAATTACTTCCAGGTTTCTTCCCCTGTCGTCGTTGTCAATGATGTTTGCCGCTGTCGAATCCGTCCCTTTCACTTCCTCCAAGATTTCCTGCCAAGGCCCCGACATGGACATTGCAAAAATGGCGATCAAGAAAAAAGCGGAAATGCAAATGACACCAATGCCTTGGTCCACGTCTGCCTCCACAAGAAGGGAGAACACCAGGGGAGGCAGCCACCCCAAAATTTGCGTGCAGTAGATAAAAAACCCACTCACTTCAGCCTCCCTGCCCTGTGGCACTATCATAGAGAGAATCGTTCTCTCAGAAGGATAATACCAGCCCAACGAAACTCCAATAATGAAACCCCAAACAAAGGCAAAAGGGACGGCATTGTCCTTATCCAGAAGCAGAGCGCCAACGGCAGAAACCACGAACAACACGACCATGGATATGATCCACGAAACCTTGGGATTGGTTCTCGAGGCCACAAGTTGTGCCAGCTTTCCACCAGGAATCATTCCAATCAACGCCAGGAAGAAGAAGATACCCACTTCATTCCCAGCCAGCCCCAATCGTTCATCCAAGAAGACGACTGACACGATGGTAAATGCATTGGCAGCTGCATCCCCAAAAGTGACACTCAACAGGAACCAGCGCAGGCCTATCCTATAATGCTGGTTGATTTCTTTGGCTGTTGTGAAGTTTTGCCTGAACCCTTGCAGGAGCATGCTCCTTCCCTCTGGTAGAATGTGTCTGGCAGGGATAGGTGGCATGAGCCTCCAACCACAAAAGAACGTCAATGAGACTGTACATGCATTGAAGACTTGGCTGAGGCGTGCAGTTTGGACATCTCCAAAACCAAGAGAGAGCGAAACCGCAATGACAAGGAGCAAAAATAGCGCTTGGCTAAGGAACTGCACAATCGTAAAGGTGGGCATGTCTGTAACGACAAAAAAAAACATGAAGAGGGCGACGTGAGGTCGATTCGATTCGAAAAGTTCCATCCATTGAGCGTATGCATACATACACTTTGTAATTTTCTCTTCTCCAACGATTCGAGCAATTTCTGGAAGGTAAGCATATGCAGTTAGATTTTGTACTTGATAAAGGAACCCCGACAATGCCTGAAGCATGGCCATGTAGAACCACGTGGAACTAGCAACACCAATTTGCACCAGTTGTATCATTATCAAAAAAGCGGCAGACCCAGCGCCAATCCTCCATCTATGTGGTGTGTAATCAATACAAGCTCCAATCACAGGCATGAACAAAGCCGCAAGGACTCCCCATATCACAGCAATGTTTGTAATCAAAGAGGCCGGACGAAAAAGGCCAAAAACCTTTTCGTCGCAGTTGTCCGCGACGATCATCGCTCCATTGTCGTCTTCCTTGACACAACCTACTTCTTCGGCCGCCAGATACGTCAAGGCAGTGGCCAGGAAAATATTAGACATGACAAGGCAACCCCTTCCAGATCCAATCTAAGCAGGAAAGCAACAGAATCAAGAAGAAGAAGAAGAAGGAAACTTCAGATTGAGTGGTCATCCAAAACAAAAAGGGAAATTCGAGCAGCGCAAAAAACAAACCTACCAGATTGAACCCTTGAGCCACCTCGACACCACCAAATCGCAGGCATTGGCATCGCAGATCAGTACTACCATTCTTGGACTCCCCTTTCTCCAACAGTAGTTCTTCTTTGGACCCTTCCTCCAACAACACATTCGGTGGTGAATTTTCGTCGATGGCCGCGTCAACAACATCCACGGTGGCTGTGCCTTTGACAAGATCCTCATGATCCTTCATGATGCTCTTGGGCGTGCCGACAACAACGGTGCCCTCAGCTTCAAAGGGAATGATCACCGAAACGTTGGCCATTGTTGATGTTGCTGGCACTAACAACACAATATTGATGCTCTTCTTTGGGGAGCGGGAAGTGATCTGTTCCGCATCCATTACCACTACAGTACATGTGCTGGTATCCATGCAACGCTGCATTGCCCCTTTTCATGCAGGATCCCGGGCAATTTAAAATCAAGCGATTAAATCTCCTTCTTTAGAAACGATAAATCTTTTGAAAACAGATTAAGAAACAAAACCTAAAAACCGCGCAGATTGCGTTTGCGCGACCTTTAAGTACGGTAGCTACAGTACTACAGTCGTACTAGTACGTAGTAGCTGGCAGCTCAGACGGAGACGAGTCGAGTCGAGTCAGAGACGGGATCCCAGTCGCAGCATCGTTGCGGCACCGCACCACATGCACCAGCTGGTGTTTGGAAACCTTGGAAATGAATCGAATCGAATCGAACCGAATCTTCAATCTGGGTACTGTACTAGCTAGCTAGTAGTAGCCAGACTACTAGTCTAGCTAGCTGGGGCAAGTAGGTTTCTCTCCACAGACATCCCCATTATTTGTGGTGGCTATGCCATGGTACCCTTGCCCCCATCAAAGGATGCCGCCTTTGGAGACTGTGCTTTTAGACTTTTCCAAGACTCAAGCTTGTCCTTGTTGTGTATTTCATCCAACAACTCAGGGAAAGGGGCTGCCATTTGGAAGAAGAAAATGGAGACCAAACCAAACAAGCCAACTGCCAGCACACCAAACTTTTGGTCCACATGAGCCTCTACCAAGAGTGAAAAAACCAGTGGAGGAAGCCACACCAAAAGCTGCGAAGAGTACACATAAAAACCAGTCACTTCAGCCTCCTGTCCATGTGGAACCACCAAACTCAAGAACAGTTTGGCGCTTGGATAGTAACAGCCCAACATCCTGATGATGGCAGATACGGTACAAAGAAGAGCAAAGTATGAGTGTCAATATTGATGAGCCGGGCAACAAGATAGCAAAGATCTGTTTCTGGCACTCCCATTGTCCCATACTTACAGACCAATTGACGCACCCCAAATATAAGCCCAAGGAAATGCATTCTCTGGTGTGAGAGTAAATGCACCACCCACGGCAATGATAAAAAGCATTATCATGGAAAAGCATAGAGATGTGTTGGGGTTGGTACTATGTGCAACACAATAAAACACGAGGCTTCCAGGGATCATGGCAATGAGACACATCAAGAGCATCAGCCCAATTTCATTTCCTGCCATCTTGAGCTGGTCATTCAAGAATACCACTGAAACAACGGTGAATGCATTGGTTGCAGGCTCCGAAAACATAATCCCCAGCAGAAACCACTTTAAGCTGCGCTTGTAATGCAAATTGATCTGCTTCCATGTCCTCCAGTTTTGGGCAAAACCCTCCCAAACGAGGCTTTTGCCATCTTCCAAGACATTCCTGGCTTCCACCTTGGGCATATAGCACCATCCTAATGTGAATGTGACCACAATGAACGATCCACTGACAGCCTGGGCAACGTGGGCAGTTTCTACATCATCCATGTTCAATCCCAGGGATATGCCAACCACAACGACCAGCAACAGTGTCTCGGCGCTGAACTGAACCATTGTAAAGCTAGTAGTGAACCTTGTCCATGTTTGATCATCAACGACTCTAGACATATCCGAAAGATAGGAGAACGCAGCGAGGACTGAAAGCAAAAGATGAGAAATCACAAAGGCATACAATACCAATAGAAAGGCAAAGCCGTGAAACCCTTTCTTACCTTGAACGTGGTACAGCGGTCCCATGACGGCTTGCAAAATTGCCATGGTGAACCAATTGGAAGTGTTTGTGGTTATTTGGATGAGCTGAATGACTGTCAAAAGGAAAGCAGAGACAACTCCTGTGCTCCATCGATGGGGCGTGAAATCAATGACGGCGCCGATCACAGGCATGAGCAACGCGGAGACGAATCCAGAGATTGCGGCAATGTTGGTGATAAGGACTGCTGGCTGGAAGAGACCAAACACTCTTTGGTTGCAGGTATCCGTTGCTTTGGCCTTTCCATCGACAACCTCAACGCAACCTACTTCGGCGCTAGCAAGGAATATAAGTGCTGTTCCCAGGAAGATATTGGACATTACTATAGCGCTCCTCGCTGTTCCGAGAAAGCAATACCCTTTGGCGGTAGTGACATTTCCAAAGGAACATCCACAAAACCCTCCATCCACTGCGATTCGTTCCTTGCCAACCTTCCCGTCAGACTTGTACCGAAGTGCTTCTTCTTCCATCATGTTGATGCCCACTGTCTTCTTCAAATGGTCAATGCTAGCTAGCAGCAAAAACCCTCTCTCTTGTGGTCATGGTGTTGCTGATGGCTCTGTCGTTGTGACATGCGGTGCACCCGGTGAATCCTTGGGCAGGGAGGATGAATCTTTGAGTGTTTCACCAGATGGTTGCCCGGAGTTTGCTTTCTTCGACGAAAACAATGAGGGTGATGGTTTTGGACAAGTTTATTGCACGCTATACCATGCACGGGCTCTAACCTCCTGAACTTCATTCCACTTCTGGACCTCTGTGGAAACGTCATTCGTGGCAAATTACTTAGGAGACGATACACCAAGGCTTAGGAGACGATCGAAATGATTTAGAAGACGAAAGCAATCGTCTCCTATATTTAAGAGACGATTCATTGGGAGACAATCCATTTAGGAGACGATCGTTTCGAAATAGGAGACGATCCGAAAGATTTAGGAGACGATACCATACAGTTTACATGGTGCACTTAGGAGACGATCCGTTGAAAATATGAGATGATCCGTTGAAAATTGGAGACGATTTAAGAGGAGACGAAAGATTTAAGAGACGATCCGTTTCGTCTCCTATTTTTAGGAGACGAAATCCATTAAATAGGAGACGATCAAAAGGATTTAGGAGACGATCGGTTGCACGACTCGAGTTTCCACAGAGGTCCTGTACCGTTACATGAGCCAGTGCTACTAGTACTAGCTAGTGCTACCTGTAGCTCCCAGGACCTCTATGGAAAGGTCATTCGTGGCAAAATACTTAAGAGACGATTCACCGAGGCATAGGAGACGATTGAAAGGATTTAGGAGACGAAAGCAATCGTCTCCTATATTTAAGAGACGATTCAGTAGGAGACATTCCAATTAGTAGACGATCGTTTCGAAATAGGAGACAATCCGAAAGATTTAGGAGACGATACCATACAGTTTACATGGTACACTTAGGAGACGATCCGTTGAGAATAGGAGACGATCCGTTGAAAATAGGAGACGATTCAAGAGGAGACGAAAAATTTAAGAGACGATCCGTTTCGTCTCCTATTTTTAGGAGACGAAATCCATTAAATAGGAGACGATCAAAAGGATTTAGGAGACGATCGGTTGCACGACTCGAGTTTCCACAGAGGTCCAGCTCTCCTGGACCGTTCGACGGTTTTCACTCAGGCTTTAAAAACGGACACGACTGACTCAGAATTGTAAGGGATTGTTTAAGGGATTGTTTGTTAAGGGAATGTTTAAAAGGGATTGTTGCAGATTTAAGGGATTGTTGGTTAAGGGATTGTTTGATAAGGGATTGTTTTGGGGATAGTTGAAGCAATAAGGGATAGTTGTATGGTGTTTCCATTTGGCGTTAAGGGATTTTTTAAGGGATAGTCCAATATTCAAGGGATTGATGTTAATGGATTGTTTATTTAAGGTATTGTTTAAGGGATAGTTGATGAGTTAAGGGATTGTTTAAGGGATTGTTTAAAAACGGTTATCAGTGGAGGCAATTTCAAGTTTTTTAAATCCTGAGTGAAAACCGTCGGACGGTCCAGCCAGCAAGTGGGCAATCAATAAAGATGGAAGCTATATAGCTCCAATCAATGCTGTCTACGTACTGTACTTGGATTGACTGACTCAGTCGAGAGAGGACCCCATTGGACTTATACCGGTACTGGTTAGCTAGCTACAGTCCTACTTGGCTGGTTCAGTCGTTGCTTTTGCTTTGACTGTCATCATGTTTCCCCTCTCCACGTCCTGGAGGAGGGCCCTCATGTGATCCACGTGCCCGTAAAAGATCTTCATAGGATCTCGCAAGGCGATGTTGCTGTCGGAGTTGTTCCAGTCTAGATATTGTGAGGGCGTCAACGTGCATGGGTGCTCCCTGATGTTGCAACTGCCGCTGTTGCTGATGATGTAGCTGTCCCAGCATCTGAGGTCGATGCACGCGCTGCTGTAGCTGTTGATGCTGTAGCTGTTGTTGAGATGACAGCTGGGATTGAAGCAACCTTAGCCTTTGTTCCACGACTGTTGGAGTGCTTCGATTACCCAGATCTGCGGTGGCTGCGAGTTGCTGCTGAGCCAAGAACTCGGACCGAAGGTTTGCCTGGGTTTGCTGTTGCTGGCGCTGAGCAAGTCGCAGAGGAAGCGAAAGATCTCCAAACTGCCCTTGTAGTCCAGAGCTGCTGCCCATTGTTGGATTCATCATCTGCTCCAGCAAGCTACGACGCGATACTAGGAGCGCTTCGTCAGTTCGCGCCGCAGCAAAGGGAGGCACCGAAGACAGCAAGTTTGCCCTGGCATTGGCACCGAGCCCCAGAGCCGCCGCGGGTGCTGCACCAGTGGTATCAGCTGCTGCCAATGACGCAATAGCGGTGGCGGTCGGGCCTTGTGCCGTCAGGCTAACTGCAGCATCCACGGGAGGTTCTGTGCGGGTTCTTGGAGTGCCACGTTCTTTGCTTGCCCCGCTGATAAGGGGTATGATGTTCTTTGCTTGCTCTTCTTCTCTGTTTGCCTTTCGTTTTCGGTTCGAAGGTCGGCTATGATTGATAATCTGTGTGACCAACTCGGGCGAGCTCTTTTGGAAGTGCGGGTTGTAGTAGGCTACAACCTTGGCAGGCAGATCCACTCCTAATGCCTTACGAAATCCCCTGAAGCAAGCGAAACGAAGAACCAACCCAAATATCACACAGCAGTGTCAGTTTTGCACCTTGCCCATTCGTAGCAAGAGTCTTGGACTCGACAGCCTAAGATGGACTTACCATTTGTTCAATGTGCGGGTAAAGGATAGCCACTTCGCACCCTGGAAATAGGCAACCAGTACCCCTTCGATCTTTTCAGTGTTGACAGCAAACCGTTTTCCATCGGGCAGCCAATAGATCCCTTCGGGTGGTTCGTCCAGCTGAAGCACTTGCATGAGGCGTGCTGGAAAGTTGAGAGGAGGTGTATCCCAGGCTTTCTTGGTCGACTCATTCATCAGCTCCTCCTCTCCGCGGGTAGCAGTGGCAGCAAAGGCAGCAGCAGCAGCATGTTGGCCGGGGCTAGCTGCACCCTCAGACCGTGATGCTTGTTCTCCTTGGGACTGGCTTTCACCCGTTTTCCTGTTTGTCCTCTGCATCTCTAGCTAGCTAGCCTTGGAACCGGAGGGATGATTGCGCGGACCACGGATATACCGATACTAGTACCTTGGCGGGAGCTTGGACTTGGTACCGCGCTGGCTAGTTTTGGCAAATTGTGAAACCAAAGCAGCTCCAGTGGTCAAAACAATGGCTTAGAGTGGAGTCTATTGCTGTCCCCAACTATGAGAAGAGAATCTGATGTGGTGTCCTTTCTGGAGGTTGGTTCATGGGAGCATGGGAGCAAAAAAAAATTGGATGGTCTGTCAGGAAATGGTTACAACAGCAAGACCAACGACTTAGTTAGGCAACAGAGAGGAGGAACCGAAAATGGGGCAGACGGTCAACCTCACCCAAAGATCCCACACTACTAGTATTGCTTCCTACGTCGCATATTGCGCATCGGTTGCAGGTAGATAGAGAGAGGTTTAGACTGACAAGACAAATCGATTTATGAGTGAAAGATTGCGAAAATGTCTGGCATCCGAAGTTGTTCTTCCAAGTGAATCGAAAAACGACCCAGTAAGAAGAGAAGATAACCGCCTTTAAGTCCAATTATAGGTGGATTAGAAGACAATCCTTGTTGAACCCCGGCGGTCATCCGGTTTTGAAGTTGAATAGCTGGATGTCCTACTGCAGTTTGACACTAAAGTCTCGTTCTTATTGCACCTGTGTCTTTTGTAGCAACAGAACAAGAAACATAATGTAAGTACTTTGTGTTAATTGGAAAAGATTCGATCGGTCGAATCGGAGCATTTGTTCTCTAAAGAGATAGAGGAAGGAGAATGTATGGTAGAATCTAACAGTGGTACATACAGTACCGTACAGCCAGTCTACGGTCTAAATAAATGAGCTACTAGTATTGGTAAGTAAGTGTAACCGCTAGTGTAAACCAAGGAGCATGACATTGTATGATACTGGTACTGTACTCCGAATAAGAGTACCAGAAACCACTTCTGGCCATTTGGTGACTGGTTGAGAAGAAGATTTAGGCGATCGCCATTTTGCGGACCCCTCGTACAACACCTCTTCCCTCCAGCTTTCATCATGGTTTCCTTGTTCCTTGTTTCCTTTGGATTTTGGATGCTGTACCCTGCATAAGACTGGATGTACTAGCTAGCTAGTCTGTCTTTCAATAGCCCCGAACCCCGAAGGTATCCAATAAGTTTCTGAACTAATTGTTCCAGTGTAGCTGCCCCTCATTCTCTTTTTGACAGACTGGGCTGGGGGCTGCGGTCTGCGGTCTGCGGTCTGTTCCTACCCTACGTTCCTACAACAGGCGCAGCTTGAAGCTGGCGTGTACCATACCATGTATGGATGTATGGTACTCGAGTAGCGAGAAGCTAGAAGCTCGGTCAGTATTTACTGCTTCTCGTCGCACGGGCATGTTGTGGTGGAAATCCTACTGAACATACTTCCCCATACCCCCTACCGGTACACCCTACAGGTATCCTGCTATCCTGCTAGTATGACTGCAATGACATATATGAGCTTTCATATGCATGGCCTCTAGCTAGCTAGCTATCAGGTACGAGTAGGCGTAACAGTAACATTCAAACTTGTGGCCTATTCGGTAGCTATTCGGTACGGTGGTACACGGTTGACAGTTGACAGTGACAGAAAGCAGAAATAATAGGTTCTCCCGTAGCTCTCCTAATGTACCTCCTACCGTACCGCTCCAACCGGTACCTCATACTGTACAGGCCTCTACCCAGCCGCAGAAGACAATGACAGTCTAGACAATTTTGGTAAGAACTGTAGATGCCCAGCCCAGCCCTCACAATTATTTCATCCAATACAGCACAAAGCGCTTAACGCAGCTCAGCACGCATTAGTCCGAGCCTTTCTGTCCTCAGATTCTGATATGTCTGAAGGCGTAGAACACAATGGTAAAATTTAATTTCAAAGATTTTTGAAAAACTACATGTACAATACATGTAACTACGATTGTAGTCTACAAGTTACTGAGTACTGAGTACATAATATTTATTTCATCCGTTACTAATTTTCAGCCACAAGTGAGTGTTCAAGGTTTTGAAGACTTAGTTTCAACAGGAAGGGCAAAAACCTAAAAAACGATGAAGGTTCAATCAACAAAGTTTTTACAAAACGGACAAGAATGTCTCAAAAAGAGTGATCTCCCGAATATTAAATAATTTTCTCTCTACTAGTAGCTAGCTAGCTCTTTGTCCAGGACCGTCCGACGGTTTTCACACAGGATTTAAAAAATCTTGAAATTGCCACGACTGAATGACCGTTTAAAACAATCCCTTAAACAATCCCTTAACTCATCAACTATCCCTTAAACAATCCCTTAAGGAAACAATCCCTTAAAACAATCCCTTAAATCTTGGACTATCCCCTAAACAATCCCTTAACGCCAAATGGACATACCATACAACTATCCCCTATTTCTTCAACTATCCCCTAAACAATCCCTTAAATAAACAATCCCTTAACAACAATCCCTTAAATCTTTGACTATCCCTTAAACAATCCCTTAAAAGAAACAATCCCTTAATTGTGCTGGTCAAGTTTTTGTCAGTCGTGGAAGCTTTTTAAATCCTGAGTGAAAACCGTCGGACGGTCCAGGACCCACGAAGAAGAAGAAAGAAGAGTGAGGATGTGAGGGTTGGTCTTAACGAGTCTTTCCAAGCGTACCCGGTACCTAAAAAAGCTAATAATGAACATTGACACTTTCGCACAGCTCCAAACACTCACAGAAATGGTACCCCACTGTGCACTTCCACCAGGATTTCCAACGGGGTACCATTTCTTACTTCGTTTTGAGCTGCGCGAATCTTCCAATCACAATTTAGTGCGCCAGCCGAAGGCGCAGCTCAACACAAACCTAAACTCTAATCCATCATAGATAGCTCTCGATCTCTCAATTTCATCGAACAACACAACAAACACAACACATCTAGCTATTAGACACAAGATGGCAGACTATTTGGATGATGACGCCTCAGCAGAAATGGCGGTATTGATTCACTTGCTGTTATTTACAGTGGGGCTATTGTTGTTTTACCCCACATCAAGGAATCCTTCTACATTTGACCAAAGGTTGGCATGGCATGATTACGTGCAGAGGCACAATTGCCGAGGAACTTTGAAAAGACGCCTTCGCATGTCTCTGCAATCCTTCAACAAGCTTTTGGGGCTTTTGAGAGAAAATCTGGAAGTGTCCGAGCTACAGGCAGAGTGTAGGGGTGGCTCTATCATCCCTGAATTATGCCTCTATTGCAGTCTACGCTGGTTGGCAGGTGGTTCGTACTTAGATATCTGCGATGTTGCTGGTATTTCCAAAGCATCCTTCTACAGAGTGGTATGGAAAACTATAACTGCTGTTGCGAAGTGCTCAGCATTGAAGTTGCGCTTTCCGAAAACGGCTGAAGAAATCAGAGCTGCTGCAGCTGGATTTGCCAGTATCAGCGATCAACAAACAATAATCAACTGTGCTACTGTATGCGATGGATATCTTATGAGAATCAGGGTTCCAAGCAAGAGAGAGGTGGGAAACGTCCGGTCCTACTTCTCTGGCCACTACCAATGCTACGGAGTCAATATTCAAGCTGCTGTTGACCATCACTGTCGATTCACTTTCTTCGCTTTTGCTGCACCTGGCGTCAGTGGAGACCGAGACGCTATCAAGCAGTATTCTTTGCATGACCTGGTTGAAAACCTGCCTACAGGAGTGTGCTGTATTGGTGATGCCGCGTATGTTCCTACTGAACATATGGTTCCCATCTATCAAGGGGGAGACAAGTTTCAGAGAAGATACGACAATTTCAACTTCTTTGCCAGCCAGCTGCGCATCAGAGTGGAGATGGCCTTTGGCATCATGCAAATGAAGTGGGGTATTCTGCAAAGACCAGTGTCATGCACAATGGCAAACATGCGCTATCTCACTGCAGCAATCTCTCGCCTGCACAACTTTTGCATCAATGAGAGACTTGCAGCTCAGGAAGACATCTCTGAAGGAACGTTCCCAAGATTCCTCCCCACTGTTCCGCACGATGAAGAAGGAGATCCTGTCGCCTTGGATGGAGCAGCTTTCATTGGTTCTGTTGATGGCCATTCCTATTTGCGCGAACGTATGGTGGAAAGAGTGGAAAGGATGCAGATGTCGCGGCCTGGCAATGAAAAGCCCTCTAAGCGTAGAAGGTTCAATGAGGATTAACAAACACACTTTACCAGTTACAATTAGCTAGTTCGTCTGATGAGTTGGTTCGCTGGCCACACTTGTCTCTACTACTGTAACCTCCAATTCGGCAGGATTTAATGCAATGCCATACTCGCGAAGCTTCTTATTGAGTTCTTTGGTGACACTGAAAGGGCCATCCAAACCAAGCGTCTTTTCCAGTTTCCGAATACGCACTGCCATGTTACGTGCAAGAGAAATCTTGCTTGGATCCTCCAACAGAGTCAAGAACCTGTCGGATATGGATGTGTACTGATTCCATGTTCTCTCTTCTGTGTCCAACCTAGCCTTCTCTGCTTCCATCTCCGCCCTCTCTTCACTTGCCTCCCTTTTGGCTGCACTGGTGTCGCTCATGTTTGTTGTTGCCTGGACAATTGCACTGCACAAGGTGTCCAGTTGTTTGTTCTTCCTGTTTCCAGTAGCAGCGCTGTCCTCTGCACCGGCACTTCCTGTCAATGCAACTTCAGAATCGGATTGTTGGGTGGCAGTCATGAATGCTGCAAACTTGCCATCAATGTCAGGGTACGCCTTGCAAAGAACATCGCAATAATACACTGCCTTCGCTGGAACTGTACAGCTCTTCCTCAACTTGCAGAACTTGGTTGTTGTACAGTAGGTCCACATATCGGCACTTCCCTGTCCAGACTTTCTCATCTCCCCAAGACAGTTCTCTCTGGCTTTCATAGCATCACTGGCAAGCTGCTGGCATGACTCCCATGTCTGTGGGTGGTTAAATTCGTTGAGGTTGAACTCGCCATCTTGGTTGAATTTGTACAGTCTTTCGTCTTCCTCTTCTTGTCCAAAGAGTACAATGCCAACCTCTCCATTGTTGCTTGGGTCGTTCACCATCTCTGATACACTATGCCAGAAGTCTTTACTGGGTTTCCTCCATGCGCGGATTCATATTCTTTCCTCTTCTTGGTGTCATTAATCGTGATGAAGGTGGCAATCATGGTCTTGTGAAAAACTGCGTTGAGAACTCTCATGTAAGTAAAAATGCGTCTGTCAATTGGCAACCAATTGCTGGATGGATTACCAGTGAGTGAGTTGTCGTTGTACACAGTCCCAGTGTCAATCCATAAAGCGATGTGTCTCCTTGCATCGAAAAGGTTCATTTGACCTCCTCTGCGAATACCACAATTGCCAGCAAGTCTCCTTATCTGTGCACACTTCAACTCTGCAAGATCAATCTTGGTTTCGTTCTCCTTTCCCCTGTTGACAGTGATCCATTTTGCGACTCTGTGAAACTCTCGGTCGTCTGCTTTCTTTCCATCTTGTTCCTCCAGACAGGTGATCAGATCCTTTTTGTCTTTGGTAAAGCGTTTCACGACAGTGTCTACTAGACTCTGGAACTTGTCTTCTTCTTCCTTGGTTCGCCCATGCCTGTTGACGTTCTTTTTCTTCTTCTTTGCCGAAGATGCAGCTGGCGATGGAGCCCTACTGACGGGTGCACTTGCAGATCTCTTGTTGTGGGGAAGTGGGGGTCTCCCTTTTCCATTATCATAGTAGTATGGCTGGCCTTGACCAGCACACATATAAGGGGGCCATGGGTCCACCTGATAGGACTCGAGCGGTGTCAGTGTCCGGTGAACTGCCTGTTGCATGGGAATGGGAATAAGTCCAACATTAATTGGAGCTCGAGAGACACTTGCAAAGGCAGGGGGAGCTTGGGATAATTGCGAAGGCTGGGCCAAATGGTAGGGAAACCCCTGGCTTTGAGAAAGATCTTGGGTTCCCACTAGTGGCGAAGAAGTTTTACCAGAAAGTGCCGGTAGCTTCTTGGCGAGTGGATCATCTTCCTCATCATCGTCGGAGGATGATGTAGAGGAGGGCACGGCTTCCTTCTCCTTTCGAATCCTCTCCTTTTGAATCTTTTCCATTTCTTCTTGGATAGTTGGGCTTGCATCACTGTCCTCATCACCATCCGACATGGTGGCTACTTTGTGCGAGAATACTAACTGATGAAAAGATACGATTTTTTGTGGCTTTGTGGGGACGAGTGTCAATCCCACGCAGCTTGCTTTAAGACTACTAATCATTTATTCATTACTGTATATCCTTGCTTCTCTCTTTGTCTCTCCATTAGGGCATTTCAGCGACCACGTTCGTCTCTCTTTAGCTTGGTCTCGCCCTATCTTTCCCTCTTACATCAATAGGAATACAATCATGATCATTCTGGGCGGTTGTTTACGGTGTTGGCGAAGATGATTGTGATTGTGAAGAAGTTGGAATTCGGCTTGCGATTGGGTACCACGAATGAGAGAAGATTTCGAGTAACTTGGAATTGTGATAAGACTGGATGACGTACTCAGTTTTGAGTACCGGTTGGAGTCAGGTAACCATCACCCAGGAGGTGCGTTACACGTACCCATAAGACCTACCCTGAGGATCTGCCCTCTGGACCGTCCGACGGTTTTCGCTCAGGCTTTAAAAAAGCTGCCACGACTGGTTCGATAGAGGGCATGTTTTAAGGGCATGTTTATTTAAGGACATGTTTAAGGGCATGTTGCCGATTTTTAAAAGGGCATGTTTTAAGGGCATGTTTTAAACGGTCCACAGTCGTGGGAATTTCAAGTTTTTTTTAAATCCTGAGTGAAAACCGTCGGACGGTCCTGATGAGAGCACCGGTACCGGTACGAGCTCCGGTGCTCCGGTACGTACCATACTGTTGCTACATGTAGCTAGCCACCGTGCGATGCCCTGCTACTACTAGCTAGCTAGCAGCTCTACTAGCTAGCTAGACCTAACGGAACTAACGGAACTAGTAGCTGGCTCAAAATGACATACTAGTAGATGTTGCACCAAATCAATCCATCGAATTGACCACACATGCTTTTAGTCAAGTCCCCGAGTGGATAGCATCAGGAGAAAGCTCTAGCTAGCTATAACGAAACAAATGCAATCCCCACTGTCCGAAGTAGAGGGCACCAGAAGAAACGAAACAGTTGATGAGATGTCCCAAAAGGCAACCTTCTTCAGAGAAGCCTGGCCTGTCGTGATAAGGCAATCAAGAAATCAAAGACTATCAAAACACACCAAACTCTTTCACTTCGCAATTCCTAAGTTAACTACACCAAACTCTTTTACTTCCAGAACCTCCTTCTCTCAGCCCTTCTCCAAGCGGCATTGTATGGCATTGCAGTCGCATCATCATAATCGAATCCATTGACTATGATAGAGATTGCTTGCAGACATTGCCAATGCACAGGTATATTCCGAGCGACCATTTGACATTTGACCACAGAAGGAAGTATATGATATGAATGATCCTGGCTGGATCTTGCTGTTGTTACCCTTCTCTTCAGCATTCCTATCTGGCCGCACCACCTCCCACTGCAGATGAGTAAGAGTAGCAGCTAAGCTCCTGTAAGTACAGTAAGAAGACCGGCTCTGGACCTGTCCGAAGCAACCGGGGTTCAAAGCTTCCTTCTGGCTGAGACACAGTGTTCTTGCTTGGATCCGCGGCCTCCTCGATATCCACCTGCAAGCAACCATTGAGTTGGGGCGCAGACCCCAAACTTAGTACTGCTACTGAGTAAAGGAGTATTCATTTGGCAAGCTTGGGTTCTTTGAACGACGCCTTTGTGTTTTCGTTGTGTTGAGCAGCTACCAGCTACTCGGAGTGGTGGCGTGGTGTGTTCGCACTCTTACCTTGTGTGAGAGGATGCTCAGTCCTGCATTGAGTATCCGCGACTGTACTCCTCAGCAGAACCATCTTACTCCTTGGTCACTTTGGTTTTAGGCTTCCGAGCGAACGCAGAAGCAACCCAAGCTGAAAGTTGCCGTACATGGTAGCTGCTCTCACATCACAAAACGTTCAAGCAAGTTTTGATGCCTCATATTGAAGGAGCCCCTCTCAGCAAATTCGTACTGATACAGTATTAATAGTAGACTAACCAAGCAATCAAGCGAAACAAGCCGTTCGAATGCATCGTTCTAGCATGACAGAGCAACAAGGCATTGCCTCGCCACCATCGGGAGAAGGGATGCGAGGCTTTCCCGTTGTCACCGTGGTTGTTTCTCCTCACAGTTTGGGTCGTCGCGGTGATTTGGATCGCGAGAGGAGCCGAAAGGTTCCTTACTTTCCCCGCAATCCCAGTCGTCAGCGTCGATCCGTGAAGAAACAGCAACAGAAGAAACAGCGCAGCAACAGCAATGACCAATGCCAACGTTCTCGTGATACTCGTACAACGTTGTCCTCCTCTGTATCCTCCTTGGATGACGTATCGATGGCTTCATCCTCTTCCAACCCTCGACAGTCACGATGGGAGTCCAACATCAGTGCGACCAAGCAATCGGCCATGGCCATGCCCACGCGACGACGAGGTGTTTCCCCGGAGAACGACAGTCACTGTGATTGTGACGCGACAAAGACGAAGAAGGGCCACAATGACACTGCTGTTGTCCCGCCATCGACCCAAGAATTGAAACAATTGCGTCGCAAATTCTCAGGGGATGATCTCTCCAGTCTTCTACTAGCCAACCACAAGGCGGAGATCACAGCAAATAGTAATGCCATGAAGAAGAAGAATCAACATCATGGCTTGAGCAAACCCCGTCGACAGACTTCCCCAGCACGACTGACTATCAATACCTCGCCTTTGGCAGCACTGCATCAGAGTGATGGGGAAGAAGACGATCACGTCTTTGTACGACGATCTGGATCCAATAAGGGCATCTTTCTATACCAACGAGATGACAGTCAAAAGGACCTACTAGTTTACAACCGCAGCAAGGCACGACGACCCACCAAAGACGATGTGTATTCGTCGTCATCCAACCAATGCCGTCGACGACCAGCGGGGGACGCACCCTCGGGACTGCTGTGCAAGTTGAAACTGAGCAGCAACCACAGTGATCATGACCACAGCCAAAAAGAGGATTTGGAGGGTCTCGTCCGGGCCATAGAACAATCCGAAGATCACGGACACATTTTTTGTTCGGCTCGTAATCTATTGGCATTTGCAATGGAATCTGATGAAGAATGAATGAATGACAACAGACACTTTCATAGACTAGATTAGATTGACATACAATCTAACTAACCTACTCTGTTTTTGGAGGGGAACGCAATACCAAAGTTACTAGCTCTAATGTCAACGCATATTACATGTACGGTTCCAGAGATGCGCGCCATTGGCAAGCCCACCTAAGCCTGCTGATACCTGCCCTCTACTTCACGTAGACCGTACTGGTAACTAACTGGAAGCAGATCTTAGCTACCGGTAGCCCCACGCCAATCGATCAGGCGGGGTCCTAACCATCGATTGTGACCTCTTTAGTAGCGCAACCAGTCAGAAACCAAACACATTCATACTTGCCAAAGCAGACATCACCTACATCACCTACTAGCTAGCTACCGGTAGTACCTCCTGTGGGCAGGAGATACTCGCTACTGGTAGCAACTGCAGTAGTCCAGTTTTGCTTCTAGTCTACTAGCTAGCTACCGAAAGCCTGGTTGGTGAGAGGTGGTGACACAAAAGATACCGCGACCAAAAAGTCTTTAGAGAACTCGGGCAGTCTTTGACGATTAGGTATTTATGGGAAAAGAGCACCATGACCATTCAATCTTGCCGTCTTTAAGTCAACTGGGAATCCATTTAATAGGATGTAAAAGATGTGGAATAGCATCTTGAAATGGAGTGACGAGTCACTCCTCCCACTTCCGAGTTTCGTAACTTGACAAGAACAAAAGAGAGCGGACATGCGGACATACTGTATCATAGCTCGGACATGCGGACGACCAAAAGACATCCAAAGCCCAGTGCCACTGAGGTACCAGTTTTTTGCTCTGTTGTACATGTTTGTGGAATGCATAATAGTAGGTACAGGATGAATAGCTGCCGGGGTAAACAGCAAGCATCGCCCTTGTTTGGCATTGACCGCTTGGTGCGACCAAACAATCAAAGAATCAAAGAACCATTCAATTTTGATGTGAAGCCCCAATTCAATTCACTCATTTCTGTCAAGCATTGTTTTTTGTTCTGCGCTACATGATGTTGTAGTGGTATCCGACTTTCTAGCTCGCTGAAATTGCGATTGAGATTCGATTCTGTAATCGTCTTCGTTCATTGCCAAGAGCTATCTACCGGTAGCTATTGGCAGCTGGCTCTAGCTAGGAAAGTTATGGGGGTACTGGTAATAGGTATGAAACTGTGGGTAACAGGCACCGTTGCCCAAATAGAGTCGGCACGTTGTTTTCAGCCTGATTCAAGGGCATGAGTGTGGGTAGAAACAGTTCCAAGCGGATCCTGGGATCTACCAGCTGTGACTGGTGATATTGTCCCAAAACAATCCCCGGGGTTCCATGCCATGCAGTGTGGAGCGACAAAGAAAGCTGGGAAAGTCAAAGGAATCACATTCATCAAGCGATGGATGTACAATCCATCCGAGGCAAAGATGAAACAGTTGCCACTGAAGCTAGGAGCGAGCTTGGCATTGGTATTGGCGAACCACCTATTTTACCAGCAGGTCCAGTATGGGTTAGGGTGAGATTGTACAAGAGGCCTCCACAAAACATGTTTGTCAACGGAAACAGAACCAGACCCAAGGGAAAGCTATTACAAGCATCACAATCTAATAGCACAGAGTACACTATAAGTATGAAACCAGACACAGATAACTGCCTCAAATTTGTGCTAGACGCATTGACTGGGGTTGGATGGATGGATGATTTCCAAGTTTGCAAGCTTGATGCAATGAAGTGCTACGACAGTGTTGCACCCTTCACAGGAAGGACACTAATCGAATTTGGATCTCTAGATGAGTTGGTTCACTTTTAAAATTCACTTTTAACATATTAGGTTTCCAAGTTGTCCTTGTGGTTCGCTACACATGCTACACATACTGGGCCCTTGAACTGGGTGTTAAACTTTCTTTGCTTTGGACATTTCCAAAGCCTCCCGCCTTTCCATACGGGCGGCACGTTTCCTTGCAATTTCCATTTCCTCCTCCTCAGCTCTCTTTTTTGTAGCCTCTGCTGCATTGGCCTGTTCCTCTTCCTCCTGGGCTTCCTCTTCCTCTTGGGCCCTGGCCCTAGCAGCATGTTCCTCTTCCTCTGTGGCCCTGGCCCTGCTGCGGGCTTCCTCCGTGGCTCTAGCAGCGGCAGCTTTCATGCCTGCTTTCCTTGCAGCCTTTGCAGCTTTCTCAGCTGCAACCCTAGCATTCCTACTGCTTGCATCGTTTAGTACCTTCTTGAGGTTGGATGTCCACTTGGCCCAATCACCGCGGATCTGTAGTGTTAGCCTCAAGTCAGAGGTAAAAATTGTAACTCTCTTTGCGTGCAAAGCACAGAGGTTGCAATCTTCAAACAAGCCAACCATGTAATCTTCGGCAGCACACTGGAGTGCTAGAAGTGCACTACCCTGAAACCGGAAGTCTGGTTCAATTTGAAGAGCAATTGTACGACACTCTACTTGGAATTGGACCTGGAATCCCCAGCATTCCAGGTTTCTCCCAGGGAGTTGGCGGCAGTTGGGTGTCAGTTACCCGAGATCCGATCACTGTTACCAGTAGGGGGTTGGTGTGTTTCCGATGGGTGTGGGGGTGTTACCAGTCGAATATGACTGGCTAGCTAGCTAGTAGCTTGGAACAAACTGCTGCAGGTTGAGGGGGCTTGGGTGGGACATCAAAGACAATTATCTGGTAGCACATTTGATCTAGCAATCCTGCAAAGTTGAAGGCGGATCCAACATTGAGTCGTGCACCTGCCCACGTCATAACCGCGTCTCCGGTTCTTGATGCCAAAGTTCTTCGTTGGCTGCGAGTCGAGTCGAGTCTGGCAGTCGGTTCAAGAAAGGTAGATGCGGTACAAAAAGGGTTAACGTTACTATTTACTCTCAAAATTTTATTGATTACTAATGATTCCCACATCTACCTGAATTCCAAAACGGTCTTCCTGCATCCAAGGCGTTCTTTCCGTGGGCTGCCATCCCGCGACGGGAGGCACGGTGAAGCTACTAGCTAGAGAGCTATCTAGACGTTTAGAATTTTGCTACCTTCGTGAGGAGCAGTTGTAGAGCACATACGGACTAGCTACTCATTCGAGTGATTGATTGATGGAATCAAGATGAGGAGCTCTGCTGCTGTAGTGTTTGTGAGTCTGCTCCCCACGCTGTTGTGGGATCCTAATGGAGTGTCTGCCTTTTCAGCGGTTGTGAACAACGATGGCGGTGGCCGTATGACGAGTAAAAGTCGACGGGGCCGTATCCGACGTTCTGCAGTGGCGACAAGGGATCTTCGGACCATGCCTAGTAGGACATTGAAAGAGTCGTCGTCATCGCCCAAACCATCACTGAAGGGTTTGGGGATTGACTTGCCCCGTGGCTTGGCAGAATCTTTAGAAAAGAATGCCGAAGTATTCCGCAAACACATTTGGATTTGTGATAACAGCGGAAGTATGAACATGGGAGATGGCCATCAACAGAACTTGCTGCGCATCGACTGTGGTGGATCTAACAACACTAACAGCAACGGTGTCACGACCACCAAGGACTGCACTCGATGGGGAGAAGTTCAAGAGACTGTCAATATCCATGCTCAGTTGGCCGCCACCCTGGGAGCTCCTACGGATTTCAAACTGTTGAATCCTCCCAAGAGCGGGGGACAACAGACCTTTCGAGTGGGATACTGCGGCAAGAGAAGACTGCCATTTGCTAATCCCTTTGCCAGGCGAAGAAACGGAGGAGATCCAACCGAGCAAATGAAAAATGTCTTAGCCAAAACCAAACCGGCGGGCATGACACCCCTCCCCGTGTGCATCGAGCAAGTCCGCAATGAAGTCATCAGTATGTTACCCCAGCTACAAGCCGAGGGAAGTAAGGTATCCATCATTATCGCCACGGACGGATGCAACCACAACTTGGACAACGTGGGATCGTCCATGACAGAAGAAGAACGGAATCAAGAAATCATTCAAGCACTCGAATCGCTGCAAGATTTACCTGTCTCTGTCGTCATTCGATTGTGCACGGACTATAAACCGCTCGTAGACTTTTACAACTCTCTCGACGAACGATTCGACTGGGACTTGACAGTCGATGTGCTGGATGATCATAAAGCGGAAGCAGTGGAAGTCAACGGGCACAATCCATGGATCAATTATGCACTCTTGCTTCATCGCATCAGGGAGATGGGACACTACCACCCAGTCCTTGACCTCCTGGATGAACGGCCTCTGACTCCCAGAGAAGTACGAGACTTTGCAAGACTCTTGTACGGTACCTACCGTTTCAGTAGTACCAGTCTGGATGACGGCGAGGAGGACGGAGACTTTGCTTGGTCCATTCGTCTCCTGGAGGAAATTAGTGATATCCAACAGCATGTCGAAACCAGAAAGCATTGGAATCCTCGAACCAACGACAAGGAACCTTTGATCGATATCAAGCAGCTGGCACACTACTTGCTCGATGATAAAACACCGCAATTGCTGCCATAAGAGTGCACAGGATAAGATACATTCACACATACATGTACAGCATCGGCATAACCACAAACATACCGTGATCCGGACGTTTCGTGAGGGATTTGATTCAAGTTGATTCATTCGATGCGATGCAGCGGGCAAAACAGCAAAACACCAAGAGAAACCAAGCGCTGTAGTTCTAGCTAGGATGTAATTCATGAATATCATATCACCTCGATCATACACTGAATCAGACGTTTAGAAAAGCCCGCTACTATTCCGGCCGTTAGCGTATCTAACTGATCTCGTTGGTCCGACTGCAAGCTTCCGGTAGCTACGAGAGACCACTCTAGCTAGCCAGACCGGGCTACCTTGTCTTACGTCTATTGCTTCCAGAGGAGCTTGGCGCTGGTTTGTCCCGTCATGAGAGCACCGTGCGTGGTGGCAAAGTACTTGACGTGACATGCCTCCCCCCTGCAAAGAACAGTCGATTGTTTTCATCCGGCTTGGATAGTTCACGGCGATCATCCGGTGTCGATCCTACTAGATAATACGAGTAGGATCCTCTGGCGAGCGGGTCTTGGTGCCAACGCGTCAATATCATGTGTTGGGGCTCGGGAATGTCTGGACTATCCAACTCATCCTCATTTTGAATTCGTTAATTAAGTGATTGCTTCCTTATCCACAAAGACAGCAGCTCTGTCTCATCCTCTGTCATAGTGGATCATGAGCTCATGCTTCAGAGCCAACTGGTAGATTTTGTTGCGACGATGAACGCCATGCACCCATTGACTTCCCAGTTCAATATCTGCTTCTCCCAAGGCGCCCGAACCGTGTGGCTGCGACCTCCGATGTGGGAAGCACGGAAGCACCCTCTAAGACGCAATACTGGAATCCTCTCGGGAGGATTTCTGCCGTTGCTTTTGTTCATGGAGATGTATCAGCTCCCAATCCAGCCCATCCTGCCCCAATGATCACCACGTCCAACACCGCAGTCTCTGGATCGCTTGCACTTTCTCGCTTTGGTAAACTGCTCTCGGAGTCGCACAGTCGCCGAAGTGGATTCTTCATTGGTCACTGCTGCTGTCGTGTCTATTCCCAGCGACGACTGCCTCTGTTCGTAATGAAGAGTCCAGTCCTCTACTAGCTAGTACCGATGATCACCCATCAACACAGAAGACTCGACTCTGACTCGATGAACCATACAACTTCACCAAGTCTTTATTAGAGAAAGCTGCAAGCACTCTAAAACCGGGTTGGGGTGTTGGCATGCAATCTTTCTTTCCCGCTTGGGACTGTCATTTATTAGGGCAAATGTGAGTCCTCAAAACGGTCTGTCTAAATGTAACGGAAGGCAGCTAGTTTCACTTTTTTACTAATCCTCATACAAATTTTGGCCAGATTCACCAAATTGGCCTTTTTTGAAAATGACGTCATTGGTGAAATTTTCTTGACCGCCTCCAAACTTTTTTTTCTTTGTTGGCATTTATTTGTTTACTCGCAGCTGTCCGTAAAGGTTGTGGTTGTCTAATAATAACACAACCATGCCACTATCAGAGGAGGAGTTTGCCGACAAAGATGACAATGCTCTCTTTCGATCGATCAAAGTCAAGGACTGGGACAAGGTCAGAGACTTGATCAGCAAAAGTACTCAACAACAAGAAAATATGACGCGAACGGACAACGCCAGCAGCATCGCCAATGACGCCCCTTTGCTCCGACAACTCGATGTCCACGAGAACAGCGCCTTGCATGCAGCCATTGGATATCAAGCCCCTGATGATATTGTTCTGGCATTGATTAACGCTTATCCCGAAGCCACGGCCATTCATGGTGCCAACGAGTGGTTACCACTGCACGTGGCTGCCATGTGGGGATCCTCTCCATCCATCATGACAGCACTCATTCAACAGCATCCAGAAGGATTAGACGACAGGGGAGAAGGTGGAATCAAAGGACGGACGCCACGACACTTCAAGGACAGGTTTCCACACAATAAGGAACTGTTGGAGCGATCGACAGCAGAATGGAGGGCAGAAGCCAAAAGTACCTAGCAGGTACCATAGCCAACAGCAAGCAAGAAGAGCAAACTTGGCTCATGAGAGTGACAGTCCTTCCTTCACCACAGACACCAACTTTCTTGTTGTTATGTGGCAGCTTACCATCAATCTCGTACAAATGATCGTAAATCGTAATTATTCGACCTGCTTGCTCTTCTGTTAGCTAATCTTCAAGGTACAAGTACAAGACAGGCACAAGTGCATGTATCAATACTTGGCTGATGCTGGGGCATTCCAACTGACTGTATCAGGCTAATCGTCGCTGCCGGCGAGAGTAACCCGGCAGCCGAAGGCACGTACCACGGAACAAGCAAGGACCGAGAGGCGGGTGCTAAGTGATACATAATCCGTTTTCGCAGCCCTCGGTAAACTGGCATTGGACGAGCAAGTTCAACACCGAAACATGGTTTTGCTTCAGGCCAAGCCAATGGTTTGCGCGGTAGGGCACCACAGGACAGAGAGGTCAATGCAGCCCTCCTCGATGGCACTACTCACCCGAGCAACAGTCTAACATGTACCGGTACCGGCCGGTAGTAGTGAACAGACAAACAAACAGAAAGTTCAACACTGAAACATGGTTTTGCTTCAGGCAAATGGTTGGCGTGATTGCACCGTACGGTGCCACAGGGAAGAGAGGTCAACGCAGCTTGCCACTGGTATTGATGAAGGACATATCGCATTGTTTGCAACTACAGACCATTCCTTCTCATCATGATAGAAAACAAACACTTACTTGGCTGGCTGCTCAGCATCACTCCTGCCCACTGGTATTCATGAGACAGTTTGGCCTTCCATGGTTGGGGCCATGACATTGTGGCTACTTGGTAGTTTTGGACCTTTTAGGAAGGAAATACTACCCAGTAGCCAGCTACAGCATGTAACACAGGCCCAAAAAACAAAGAGAAGAAAGTTGGTTGATGTGCAGTGTGCAGAAGTGTGAAAACCGTGGCTTTGCCAGGAACGTTGCGGAATGGATATTTGTGAATAGCAAAATCTGATTATTTCAAAAAGAAGACATGATTTGAAACTTTCTGCAAATATCAATTCTGTTAGGTGACAATACTACTATGATAGCTAGCTAGTATTAGCTACACCCCACACAGTGAGAGATTTTAAAAACCGACCACACGCTGAACCGTTACACGTGTAGAGACTTTTAACTAAAGCAACACAATAGGCTTTAAAAATCACAGTACGATAGACTAATCTTTCTTTAGGACAAGATTGTTGAGAATTATGACAAATGTTTCCTTTATCTGTAAATTTGACTAAAATTAGAAGCACGACTTAGTAATTTCCACAGCGCTCCAGCTTAGACACTGGTATAAAGGAGCTTATAAGGAGACATGAGTAACATGGGAGGTGACGGGGTCCGTAGCCGTAACAGGCGTACAGTACCGTACCACACGGGTTGTAGGCGATGCGACACTCTAGCTAGCTACTCCTAGAGCTTCTGTACAGCCTTTATTCACGTCTTTTACAGCGTGCCTTGATTGATTGATTAATTAATTATAATGCCGCCGTGTCCGGCCGCTGGTATTGATGAAAAACCAACTACTCCCCAGTACCAGTACTGGGCTACGTACACTTATATAAGAAGATATTATTGCATTACTGGAAAAATCAAGGCCCTTGGCCAAGAGCACACCTGAACACGAAAAGCTACACTCACACCTGTAAAACTGAACGAGCCCTGAGCTTTTAGAAAATGTTAACAAATCATCCAGCCTGGTTTTTCCTGGCAAAATTTTCTGCCTCAGCACAAAAAGTCTTAGTGATCACTCATCTCTATTTTCTCCAAACCAATTTGCCAGTACTGAGCAAGTTGTACCAAAGGGACCAGGTGCACGTTGAGTGTACAATTACTAACCTGTTTGACCTAGAAGCTTAGTAAGAAAGTGTTCTATGCTGAAATTGGCTTGTTTTTTTAGAAACAATCCATTCAATCTGAGGGTCAAAAGGTACGGCTGGATAAGAAAACCCCAGGGCTGAACCAAATTTACAAACTTTCTTATAAATGAGTTTATAGTGCTCACAAACAAGATTCTGAAAACCTACGACATCTGTACACGTGCTGTACAAGCGTCGCTGCAACTAAACCGGCAGCTACCAACTCATCGCCGAGTTCGGTTTATTTAGCTACTAGCTACTAGCTAGCAAGCCATCTAGCAGTACCAGTAATACTGGTACCGGTACCCATGTAGCTGAGCTGTACTAGTACATACATGTAGCTGTCCGCTATCACTCGAGTACACGAGTACACGAGTTCTACTGCAGCGCCTCGAAGTCTCTCCTGTACTCAATGACACGTGGCTAGGATGTAGGTAGCTACTTTCAAGGAAAGGAGTAGTCTACTCGAGTACAGCAGATGATTGGCAAAAAGCATCGCAGATAATAATAGAAAACAGGCTTTGACCAGCTGTTTTGGAGCTCTATTGACTGGTTACAGTCAGTTCTTGACTATATTTATATGGGGGTAATACGGATTCCTATAAATATACTAGAGAATATAAATATAGGCTCTATTTACTAGTAAAGTACGCGTGGAGAGTGCCGTCACGTTTTTGTTTGGCAGCCTTTGCTCCCCTAGCCATATTCAATGCCCTTGCAAACCTGTCAAGATGAACGGTGGCAGCCGGGTTCACACCCAAACTGGAGGCACTGAGTGAGAGCTTGTTGAGTGCCTCTTCGGCTTCTGCAATGGAGGCAAACAGATCGTCCGGTTGGGGATCTTCATCCGTCGGTTCTGGCTCGTCGTCATCAAGCACAGCCAGTTCTGCTTCAGTTGTTGTCGTCTCTAGCTCTTCAATCTCATCGTCAACGGTTGCACTGATGACCTCAGGCTGGTCTTCAATATCAGCGAAGGGTGCGTACACATGCACTGACGTCAGTCACGGTCACTCGTGACTCAGGGGGGAACATCGAAATTCCATAAATATACTGGAGAATATAAATATACGTTTATAAATATAATCGCGAACACACTGTAGCACAAACGAGTGATTAGGGAGATCCAGCTGAAGTTCGGTACCAGTGAAGCTTGGGGCATTGTCCATCAAATTTTGCTCCTTAAGATGCATTTATTAGTTCCAAACTTATTTCCTCAACCCCCTTCAATTATAGTCTTATTTTGTTGAATATTTCACGAGCTTTTATGGGATTTCACGGGAGGTGGGAAAATATCGAGTCTCTCGTGCTTACCAGCGAAATTCTTCAAAGTATCCTGCGAAAAGATAGCTTGACTCTGAATCTCTGAATCACATTTGGACATGGTACCATTCTTTTACAGAAGCATCCAAGGATGCTGCTGCGCTGCTGCCACAGCTCTGCCACTAAGTCTTGAAGACTTATACTTTTTGCTTTTGCCCTCAACGGACTGAGGGTCTTTCACACTTTTATCGCTGTATGCTGTGTGTGTGTGTGTGTGTGTGTGTGTGTGTGTGTGTGTGTGTTGTGTGTTTGTTGCGCTGTTTTCGTCGCTGCCCTCAACGGACTGAGGGTCTTTCACACTTTTATCGCTGTATGTGTGTGTGTGTGTGTGTGTGTGTGTGTGGGTGTGTGTGTGTTTGTGTGTTTGTTGCAGCTGTTTTCGTCGCTCGTTAAGGATAGGGATTAATCTTGTGTGTTCTGTTGGACACAGTATCTACCATGGGTACCAGTACTGGCTGGCTATGCAGACTCGCTAGTGTGTCCAGATAAACACGGTGGAGGTTTTGCCAAAGACATAAGGACATTTTCCTTGTTAAGATAGGGATCTATATTGTGTGTTCTGTTGGACACAGTACTCTGGACCCATGGGTACCGATACCACTGTGCCTGTACTGGCTGGCTATGGAGACTTGCTATCAATAGTGTGTCCAGTTGAACACGGTAAATGATTTGACCAATCAAATCTCTTTTTGACAAGTTGAGGGCATCAGCCTCCGGGAGGGCCTCCGGTGATCCCTGATGACGTCACGCAAAAACCACAGTTTCTCCATTTTTGGCGAGTCGCGAGAAGTCGCGACTAGTCGTTTTGAACACAGTCGCGCGACTCCACGCGAGTGCCAAAACGACCCGTCACGACTTCTCGCGACTCAACGCGACTCCACGCGACTGCTCATTTTCCATATAATTTGGTCGAAAACAAGCCCACGATGGCCAACCAAGCGGCCCCCTTTGTCCTACACCCGTCGTTTATCCTCCGAGGAGGGTTGTTGATGTGCAATGTGGACTTGCAAGTGCAGCAAAGGCGCTATGAATCGACCAATATTCGTGTTTTCAAGTCTCACTTTGGCCGCCATCCTCGGCATCTTGCGCGAGTGTGGAAAGATTTGCAAGTTAATGAACTGCTTTCGACTGCTGAAGCAAAGCACAGAGACTACTTTCATGGGTTTCTCATGGCCAACAATTTTCTACGATGCTATGAGACCAACGATGTTCGTGGCAGCCGCTTCCTCAATCTCATGGATGAAGACAAAATGATGCGATTTGTCTGGTTTTTTGTTGGTGCTTTGGCAGAGCTCAAAGAATGGAAACTTAAGTGCCCCAATCAATGGCCAGTTCGACTTGGAGCTACTGTTGATGGTACACAAATGGCAACAAACGAGCCAAGAGATGACAATATGCGTCGCAACCCAAAAAACTATTGCTACAAATACAATATTGCTGGCCTCAACTACCAAATTGCCTTGGCAACTTGGACCAACAAAATAATTTATGCCAACAGTGGCGACCCTGGGTCAACCCATGATATCACAGCAGTCCGCAATGGATTCATTGACATGGTGCCACAGGGCTGCAGAGTGATTGCTGATGCTGGCTATACTGGCAAATATGAACATGAGAAGAAGATTTTTGCTGTGCGCAACAATATGGATTGCGACGCTGTGGCAGAGTTCAAAGGGAGGGCACGAGCACGACAAGAGCAAATCAACTCTCGCCTCAAGACCTATGGATGTTTAAATCGCAAGTTTGTTCATGGTGTTGAGAAGCACAAGCTATGCTTTGCTGCTGTGATTGTCATGTTGCAATACGCGATTGAAGACACCTCCAATGCTGGCGAGCCACTCCACACTCTCTAGCAATAGGATAATAAAATGACTAGTCCATAGGTTTGCTTACTTTTGTTACTATAATTGGATCGAGTTGCTTGCTTGATGCTGCAGTGCTCAGCCATGATTAACGCTTGGATGCTGGCTCCATTGTTTCGGCATCATCAAGCTCTTCAGTGTCAACTTCATCACGTGCATCTGTATCCTCCAATGCTCTCTTCTTGTTGCCGTCCACATCCATATTGATCGACTCCTCACCACGTAGGAGTTCATCTAGTTCCTGGCTATATTCCTGAGCATACTTGTCCAAGTTTCTTAAGTGCCCTTCAATGAAAGACGTATCCTCTCCTCGGGCTTGATAGTCTTTAAAGTACTGATTGAGGACTTCTTCTGCCTTTCTCTGACGAGCTGCTGCTTGTGCCTGCAGCACCTCATAATATTCTTTTGACTCATAGTAGAGGAGATCAGTCTTTTCCTCTTCCTCTTGTCCACCCCCGCCTCCTGCAAGCAATCGGTTAAGCAACTTATCATCTTCGTCTTCGTTGTCGACACCACCACTGTACAGGCCTCCGCCAGCACCACCGCCATCAACACCTCCACCTCCACCAGTGCCTCCACCACCAAGATTCACATCGGTGCCTCCTCCACCAAGAGTCACATCGGTGCCTCCACCACCAAGAGTCACATCGGTGCCTCCACCACCGAGAGTAGTCACATTGGTGCCTCCACCACCAACAGCAGTAGTCACATTGGTGCCTCCACCGTCTATTTCCATGTCGGTAAGATCTAGTGTATCTAACAGTACGATGGAGAATGGAGGAACAACAAGATCAAGACAAACAGAATCGTTTAGTTATCATTATCAAACAATGCAACGTCAGTTTAAGAGATGGCCGCACCGTTCATCATTTGCAACATGATCTCGTAATCATCGGCAGTGGCAGCATCTCCCTCAATGTCATCCAAAGAATCAACAATGTAAGCTCTCCAGATGACAAACAATTCGGTGACGGTCCTAGTCTTTTCTCCAACCTTCATGTCATACGTGAAGGGGATGGGAATCATCTTCAGACTGCCAGGAGCCACACCAGGCGAAAAGTACTCATTCGAGAGCTCAAAGCCATGATCCGAAAAGTTAATGATTGTTGTTTTCTTGCGACGAGATCTCTTCAATTTTGTTACCATTGACTGAAGTGTAGGCAACAACTTCTGGGCTTCGAATGTAGTTTTGCTCTTCTTCAGAGTGTCCAACCACTTTTTAGAGTGCTCGACAAAGGGTTTGCTGTGGCTGGGGCCTTCAATCGTCACTGTGTTGCCTTCAACGGTGGCTTTCAAAAGACGAAGGTCATCAGGATGGGTTGCAGGGCGGGCAATAACAACACAGCTAGCATGTTTCTTGCCACCGGCAACAACCTCATCCGTGCAAAGCTGGACAAGAAAGTCTCCGTGCTGATCTTCGTTGTTGAAATCGGCATTGTAATTCTCTACCTGAGGATCCGTCTGTGCCTGATTATTAGCACGCAAGAGACGCAAGGGACTTCCGAGGTTGGCTGCCATTTTGTTGTTGTTTGTTGTTGTTTGCTTCTTCAGCGAAGGCGGAGAAGCAAGGCTGGACAGCGGCTTGATTGGTTTGACAGGAGTAGATGTCTTGATTGGTTTCTTGACAGGAGTAGACGGCACAGGGCTCTTCTTTGCTGCTTTGGTCTTCGACTTTTTTGACTTTGGCTTCTTTGGTGGAGATGGAAGCTCCTCGTCCTCGATTGGCTGCCAAGCAAAGAGGGAGGAAGAAGAAGCAGAGGTAAGATAAGGTTCAGTGTTGGTACTCAAGAGGTCTTCATCAGAGTAAGGATCTGCTCTTTCTTCGGCTAGTGCTTTCATGCTCGATCGAATCTCCATCCAATTCTTGGCTCGCTTCCATCGATCCATTAGAAACCCAACTCTTTTTCGTTTGATCGAGTCTTCACAACCAAGCTCTTCAGGGTGATCGGCACACAGATAGTACAACCAAAGAGTCTTCTTGTTTGAGCACTGCGGTCCTCCAGCTGTTTCGACATGGTCAAAGAGGAATAGTTTGGTGTGTGCCAGAAGCCCCTTCTTGGGAAGATCTGCATCACAATCATATCCACATTCATCGGAGCAGACCATCGTGACCGAACAGAGGATGATGTTGACTTACCAAACACGAAGTTGAAAATAGGTAAGGATCCTCAGTCAGTTCTCCAAACTCGTCGTCGTCAATGTCAAGCTGTGTAGATTCTTCTCGAAGAGATCGAGTTGTAGGCATTATGAGATGATGCTGAGAAGAAAAGTGCGCCGAAATTGAATCAAATTCAAATGAAGACGCGGCAGATTCGGTTACATTTGCATGAAAATCAGAGCCAGCCAATCTCGTTTGTTATTATCTCACCCGTGGAAACATCAACAGCCAAGTAGAAAAGATATAGATAGCAACTCGTGATCATCAAGCAACAGCCATCAACATCTATCAACAGCCGCCCATCAACAACCATCCACCGCCAGCATTGCACCCACGTCACAGGTTGATTGTTGTTCAGTTTGCTCATTTCATTTGACAGCCAGAACCAATGGCTCCAACCCCGAGGCCCCCGAGGCCCCCTGCCACTCTCAATGGGGCGGAATGGGGGAAAAGCGATGCCAAAAAGCTTATAGCTCAAGACATGATTGACGGACTTGTCCCATTGACTAGAATCAACGATATGGAGCACCTTTTCGACACAATGTATGCACACCAACCAGAGTTTGCCGACTTTCCTTGGGATTTGGAGCGCTACCGAACTCGCATTCAACGCATTCAAAAGGGGGTGAAGAGGCTCCTTTGGTCTTCTCAGTATGACAAGGAGTGCTTGGAAGAGTTTCGAGCCAAAATCCCTTTCCCAACTCATGATCCAACCGGCAAGCCTTTGTGGTATCGGTCGGACGCCGATAGACTTTTGCAACAGGACATGGTTGATGGACTGCACGAAGAGATGACACCTGGAGAGCTCTTCGAAACAAGGCCGGAATACAAACCATTTGGAAAGCGTAGGTTTACAAAACGGATTGATCAATTGACCGAAGCAAGCAAACCGTACGGGAAAAACCCGGCTCAAGCAGCAGCCAAAAAAGAGAAGAAAGAGCAAACCAAACTCAAGAACCGCCCAGACATTAGCCGCAAGGGGGCCACTGCGGCCTACAACAACAGTGGTTGACAGTAGTTAATAGCATCGTAGTAGCTCAAAATGACGGCAGCGTCTTCATTGTCGAAACAATGCGATAGTAGAGTAGTGGTATCGTTACTAGTAGTTGACTGGATTGATGCGTCGCGACTCCACGCGACTCCACGCGACTCCACGCGACTGTGAGCACGACTGTGCGCGACTGCACGCGACTGAGCAGTCGCGCGACTGCACGCGACTGCCACGTGGAAGTAGCTCAGTCGTGTTATTAGGGTTCGGATCGCCAAAAGCCTACGTCACCGGAGGCCCTCCGGCTGCTTGTTCTTGTTTTGCAATTAAATTTTTAAGCAAGGTGCGAGCTGGTCCTTGCTCCTTGCGACTCGGGTTCAAGAGCTGATTCAGACGCCGTTCTGTTAACTCTAAAATTTACAGTAGTCACTCACACTTCCCCGAAGCTACGGTACAGTACTGTTTTAGTATAGAGGGACCAAGCCAGGATCTTGATTCGAGTCCCAACTTCAAGCCGAGAAAATATCCCCTTTGGTCATGTCCCTCTTTGCCTGAGCCAGGTCATCCCCCCACAAGCTCTTGGTTGTTCGTTGTTCGTAGCAGGTTGAGTAAACCGACTGGCAAATCTTGCAGAAACCCGGCTCCTCACAAATTGAAACCTTCAAACGCAAAAGGCAAAGAGCAGCGATCAACAACTTCAGCAACTGGCTGGCAAGCATGAACCTCACGTCTTTCAACTTCTTTGAAATCGCAGATAGCATGGCCGATCAGCAATCAATGAGCACCCACAGGGCGTCTCCTTCCAGTGGTACTTCACAACAACCTTCCCACAGTCCTCCAGTAGCACGACGCGGCAGTAAAAGCAGCAGTAAAAAGGAAATGATACTCCTGCCGTCTGACTTCAGACCCTCACCTTACAGTGTTTACTGTGGACGAGGAAAGGGATTCTACAACGCGGTCGGTAATCGCAGACTACGAGTTACGGTCATGTCTTTCATGAAAGAGTACCTGGAAGCCGAGGGAATTCCGACTGAAAGATCGAGAATTATCAGCCGAGTCAAGGACATCCACAAGCAATGCTGCCCAGTTGGAGCCTTCATCAAGTTTGAAGATGGGCGATACTACGAGCTCTCCGACAAAGCAGCCAGAGAAAAATGCTCGGCACTCTTCAGGGATTGCGTACAAGCCCAGACCAAGGGAAAGCACTCCAAAAAGGCAAAGAATCAAAAGAGGGGAAGCACTAAGTCCATTGCAGGGGAAACAGAAGGACCCCAGGACACGAAGGTGGCAGCCATCCGCCGCCCATCACTGGACACAGACTCTGTATCCAGTGCGAGCATGGGGTCCTTTTACGACGTTGATACTGAACAAGCAGTATCAATCGAAGACGTTCAGATGCCACTATCCTTGAATGGTCTAGACGAGTTCCTGAAGCAATCGCCATCGTCATAGAGACTTCTACTGCCATAAACTCTGCTTCCTGCTTCCTTTAGAAACCATTCCTAAACTAATATGCTATAATATCTTTCTTTAATATCTCCATACCTTTCACTCTTTTCACTCGATGTCATTGCGCCGCGCATTAATGTTGCGCCATACTGGGTAGATCACATCGACTCTCCAAACAAAGAGTACGTACAACGAGCGAAAGCCCAAGGGACCCCCAGTTGGACGATCCAGAGAGGATTCGTCGACAAGAGCAATCCCAGGCAGCAGCAAGCCTCTACGACGACGTTCAGCTCGTTTTTTAGGTTGAATTTTCTACTGCTTCTGAAATACCTCTGATTCAATAGTTGTTATACATATTTGCTTTGAACCGAGCTGCGTCTACGTTGAATCCCACTCTCTTGACCACTTACACAGTCTGGGCCTTCCAGTCTCGGCGTCAGCCTAGTCGGTACCTGCATCTCCTCTGGCTATCTCTTGGTCGGTATCAACACCACTAGAATCCTTATTAAATAAATCGCCATTCCATCATCTGCCTATTCCCTTGTTGGCACCTGTTGCTTCCCAAACCTCGCACAGTTGCTTCTTCGCAGATTCACCCCGTTATATCGTTGCCACCAAACCTGAAACCCGATTGAGCCGCAGTTTCTTCAACATTTCCCACTCCTCACTCGGGAGGTCTTGATCCTGCTGCAATCATGTCAATGAAGGACTCCTTCCGAGGTTAATATTTGAATCGAATCACATCCCACTTCCCACAAGGCAACTTGATACCGGTACGTTCCAATTCGCGTCTATGACTGAGCTTCAGTCACTCAGTCAAGTCGAATCCTGGGAGGCATGTGGGAGTTGGTCGAAACGTGCGCCACTCCCGCGATCTTTTTTGGAATTGCTTGCGTCGAGTGCAGTCACATTTGGACAGTATTTTGGTGTGTGCTAGCTACCGGTAGCTACCGGTAGTACCGGTACGGTAGGGCCATTGTAACAACTTTCCTCGAACTGTACCGTGCGAGGGCACGCTGTACCAGTCTACATGACATTGTCGTACGAGGGGCGAGGGGCTGGAAGCATCACGGCGACAGACAATCGAGGCTTGCTGCAGGGATGCTATGCAAGCAAAGCTTCCCTACTAGACTAGTAGTTATGTTCAGGGTATGTTCAGGGTCAACTTTTGAGTGTATGGCAGGGCGTCATGCTTAGATTTCGCCTGTTTATGCAGCAGACGACTGCGCAAACGAGATCCGCCTGTCTTTCTTCGTCTCAATCCTTCCATCTCATCTGCACGTCTTCACAATGCTGGATCTATCTTATCATCAGATTCTTATAGTATTCGCATACATGTACTGGTGCGTCAGCTCATTGGTTTTGCGAACCCTGCCGTTGCTGCTGCCATGTCCCAGCGAAGTTGGAATTTACTATTGGTCCCATCAGTACAATCAAGCCCCAAGATGTGCAGGTGATAGGTGATGATGGCTGTTCTAAACGCCAGAAGTCGTAAAGCGGCGTCTCTTTGACTTCGAAGTAGGGCTGGCTAGCTAGTACTTTCCGTAAAAGAGAATGGAGAATCCTTAGAGCATGATCAACGGTGGCATCAAATATAAGCGCAAATTAGTGGCTTCTTGCACAGGGTGAACATCCATTAATGCTTTGATACATGCACAACAGGTTTCTAAATTTGAGTGCTGCGCACCTCTGTTTGCTGCCAACACCAAATTCAACGAATTTGATGATTCAAGTAAAAATTGATACAGTACCTCACTTAGTATCAAATTCAGATTTTGTAGTGACGTTATTTATGGGGTGTGCACCCGGTATTGAATTTCAATAAAGTGAGGAGAAAATTACGAAAATTGCGAGCAAGCATAGCCAATTTTCAAGGACGCCCTCCTTTTCAGGATCTTCACGGTGTGTTGGCTCCACTTAAGCCCTAATTTGCGCTTAGTTTTGATGTTGATCATGTACTATTTCATTGAAAATACAAGCTCAAAACAAAACCGTAGAGCGGCGTATCTTTGACATCAGATTCTATCATCTGCTCTCTCAGTAGTACCATCGTAATAAGATATTCAAAGACCGTACTTAAAAAGAGTACTCCAGTATCGACAGCCAAGACAGGAGGCTTACTGGAAAATATTATGATAAGTAAATTGATTGTACGACCGTGCGTGGCCCGTATGATACCGATAGCCACTATGATAGCCGCTACTAAAAATACGATAGCTAAGTTAATTAATTGATAGTAGTACCACCGTGGTGCGATGCCTCTTGGCTTCTTTCTTCTTTCTTACTCCTACCTTGTAACTAAAATGTGAACCAGGTGGGTAGCCACTTATTTAGTACTAGTAAATCGACCACAAAAGTGAGATTGAGCTTGGGGTGACATCGTTCAACATAAGATCAAGACTCCTGTGAATGCAGTCCCAGTTAGGACTTGTTAAGCCCCGACAATTAAATTTTTAGAACTATTGATAAAGAAACTGCAAACCGGGGAAGGGGTTCGGGGTGGTATGTCTTTAATAAGTACTGTACACCAACTGGAGTTTTCGGCCATTAGCGCCTACTAGCTACTACTCCTACTAGAGCTATGCATACTAGTATGATGCCGAGAGAAAAGGTTGCTGAGAGGTGAGAGGCCCTGCAGCTGGTGGACTGCGGGGGGTATTTACGGGAAGAGTCAAAAAAGGGTGTAAAAGGTGGTAAACCAGTTGGTAAATCATTCAGTTGAAGTTGGCAGAACTCGATCGATTGGTTTGAAGATAGATGGTGAACCATGCTGCTACAATGTCATGTAGCAGAAGGCTAACGAAAGCGATGCGCGAAATAGTTCAAGTAAGTTATTAATAGTTGATTTGGGATCCTGCACATGGACATGTCCTGGTGGCCACTGAAATCTATTTAAATCATCGAGTATAAATAACTCGTCACCATCTGTCTGTCCATCACTCGGCTTCAGTTTCATCATTTAAGTCTCATTAGAAGTACACGTTCTGTTGACAAACCAGTTTACAGAATTGTGCCCGTGTTAAAGAATGCACTTTCCACCCGCTGCTTGGGCTCTTTGCCTCTTCGTGGCCCAGACGGGCATCACACCTTTCCACGAATTGGGCCGAACAGACAACAGTGAGACGATGTTGCATGCGACAAGGCTCCTCTGAAATGGCAGGATACACTTTGAAACACAGTGAAAACTGCATACCTTTTGAGCACGACGTCTACAGACCTGTATGATACCAGCAGTACTAGCTACTCGTACTCATCAGTAGCTACTAGTAGTACTATTATAGCTAGCTAGAAGATCCCGGGCTCATCTTTGGTACCACCTTGTGTCCGACTGAGTCGGAAATCCGCCCGAAGATCTGATCATCTGATCCGCTCACAATTTAGAAAACCACCAAAAACGAAGCGGTACAAACAAAAACATAAACCCAACAAACATACTGTAAACCACAACAGCTCACAAACACAAACAACAACCACAACAAATATGAACTTTCCACAAGACGAATTCAACCTCCTTTCGGGATTGGGATACGAACCAACCATGGAAGAGCAGATGGCAGAAGTCAAGACACAAGAAGCCACCCCGGAAGTGGCAACAATTAGTGCTGCTGCAACCGCAGCTTCCGCTACCAAACCAAAGAAGGGGCTAACTCAGTTGTCCCCCAACTTTGTCCCAACTAACTACTCTGTTATCTTGGGACGAGGCAAGGGCGCATACAACTACGTAGGCAACAAGCGATGCCGAGTAATCGTCAAGAGCTTCCTTGGTGAATACAACAAATGCAACACCAGACAGGAACGGTCTGTCCAGGTTACAAAAGTCCTTGAAATCATCCGAGAAGCATGCCCCATCGGAGCATTTGTCAAGAACGAAAACGGATCCTGGTATTCGGTTGACGAGAAGATTGCACGAGAGAAGATCTTCACAATGTTCAGGGACTGTCAAAACTCGCAAGCCAGGAGGTCTTCCTCTTCTTCGCTTCGTTCATCACTCCGATCGACTTCCTCATCTCCTCACAAAATGACAGCGAGTCCATCCGTCCAGGTCAGCTTCCCTGAACCACAACCGGTGGTTTCAGAAAACCTCAAAAAGCCTTTGACCAGCATTTCCGCATCTCGAGAAGAACCCGCTGTCGACCACCTTCCGCCTCCTGCAGATATCTTCGAGCCCATCATGTTTGATGACGAGGATAGCCTGGGTGAAAGCCTGGGTTCCAACTGTGGCTCCTTCTATGACATTGACTCCTGCAGCCTCTGCACCATTTGAACCGACCAGAAAGCCATGGCGAACATCGTAACAGTACTGTACATATAAACTGAACTAAGCAAGTTTACGCATAACATGGTCTGATGCCTCCGTTCTTGGATTGAGAGGGTGATAGTAATGCCAAACGCAGCCTTAGACGCATTCCCTGATCATGAAAGGTGCTATTCCGCAGCAAACAAGAGAGCAGCCTTAGACGCATTCCCTGATCATGAAAGGTGCTATTCCGCAGCAAACAAGAGAAGTGCATTGATGTTGAATGAGCCCCACGCAGCCACACAATCACTACCTACCAGGTAGCTACTAGCCAGGGTTCAAGATCCTAACAGTATATTCATTCAAAAGTGTTTTGTTTGCCATGCTGCTAAAACCGAACCGTTTTAGATTAGTTAGATATCTACCCGAAAGGAGTTGACGATATCTTCTACAGTTTGTCGTTCCAGACTGTCGGGTTTTTCAAACTTGACAGCATTGGATGATGTCATGAGCATGTATACGTCTCCTTCTGGGGAAACCTCATAAGCATCTAGCAACCCTCTTCGTTCCACTCGCAGACCATTTCCCGTTACGGTAGCAAACTTGAGCTTGAATCTTCGGTGGGTGGCACACTTGCAATCCTCCTCGTTGGCCAGCAACGTAGCTGAGGCCACTTTGTATTCATCAATTTCCACTCCCTGACTCTTGACAATGACACCTTTGGGATCAAAGACAGATGTTCCTAAGAATGCTTTGGGGATTGTTGCTAGCTTTTCTCCTTCCGGCAGTTTGGTGCGTAGGACATAGAGTTTATCTCCATTGCGTTGATCCACATAGGAAATTCCTCCCAGAAATTTGTCCAATTGTAGCCAATCGGCAGGGAATTCAAAACTGACACCCACAGTCCTTGCTTTGATGGCGGATGGCGCCACTACTTCGTCGCTGTATCGATAGAGGTTCCCCAATGGACCTGCCCTGGAGAGGCGAGGATTGAATCCTGGCGCTGCCCTGTAGAGCCAAGTCGCCGCCGGTCCTACCGCATCCTCTACGACACTTGCTGTTGCGACGGGGCTTGCGGTGGGTCTTGACACTGGTGCAATTTCCTTGATTTGGTTGACTCTGGCTGCCGCGGAGCCATCGTAAGCTTTGAGTTGTTCCTTGAGAATGGGGTTGCTGCCACCGCCATCTGTCCGAAGTCCTGAGACGTCAATTCCCGCATTCGCAGCAGAGGGAGAGACAGTTAACATTCCGATTGCCAATGTGGAAAGAAACGAGCGCCGACTGTCGCTGTCACTGTCACTGTCGCTGGGATCCTCTTGATTGGCAGAAAACAGCCTTGAACAGGATTGTCTTCCTCTGCTCATCTGCTGAGGTTGAAAGGCGTCTGATGCCACAAGGCAGAGTGCAAAGAGGAGAAAGGTTCTTGCTGTTGCGTTCATCTTCATCATCGAAGTCGTATCTATCGTCAATTCCGTTGTTGTGGGAAACTATGAACCTGATCGTAAAATCATACTATGGTTGTGGAACACAGCTGCCATAGTGACTATAGCCATGGCGTGGTGCTTTTACAATCGTTGCCACCTTGTAAAAGTCGACCACCTCTGGCGGCTATCTCATGCATCTTACTCATCTTCCTGAAATAAAGATCGAGATAGACAGGGCCGCGTCATTGCCTTTTATTGGGTCCACCATCCAATCGCCATCAAGATACGGTAGTACCACTGATGACATGACTGGCAATTGTCCACGACGGCACGGACAGCGCAGCAAACGGCATGAACTTTCAAGAGGTTCACGGAATGATCAATCCAATGACGTACTGTACCAGACACTTGAATAGCGTGAATCAAATCCCAAAATGTGACTCGACTCGACTATAGCTACAGTGTACGGTATACTACTAGCCAGCTGCAAGCTGCAAGACCGCTGCAAGACCACCGCAAGACCAAAGGAATATTCGCGCAAAACAACGTTCACTGACTCATTGATGCGGCTGGTGCATTTGGGCCACGATGATGGCCCTCTATCGAACAAATCTGGCTGCTGTCGCTGTCACGGTCAATCAGGTACCGGTACCTATAGCTTGAGAAGACATCCGTAGTTAGACTATCATAGATAGAAGACGACGACAATGAGTGATGAAGAACTGATCCGTCAAGCCAATGTGGAAATCGAGGAGGAGCGTCTCCTTGTGGCAGCCCGACTGTTGCGACAAGTGGAAAAGCAAGAGAGTTTGACTCCCGGGCACTGCCGTGTCATGGAACAAGCTCAAGTCATCCAGAATGTCATTGATGTGCACCTGAAACCGGCCCAAGACGATCCCACTTGGAAGAAACAAACGGAATCGCACGGCCATTGGGACACTCTGATTTACTACAAAGTCGAAGAACACTCCAAACTCACCTGTCGGATTGAAACACCCATTGAAGCTTCCTTGTTGGTGCCCCTGTTGGCCGTCTTTAATGAGTCCGAACTGTACGACCAATGGATGCCAAAATTCCGATTCCCAATCAAAATGGGGGTCCGACAAAGTCTCAAACTCACAGACCGGCCCGGTAGAGGAGCACAAGTCTGTCAAGTCACGGTCGACATGCCCTTTCCCATTAGTGACAGAGAAGTGGTCTATGATGTGTACGCAGTAGATGCTATTGAAGAATTGAGTTTGATCTCCATGAAGGGCACTTCCTTGCAAGTGGGAGATGCGGACGGGGCTGTGGCAGAACCAGAACCTGGCATTAAACGCATTGAGTTTGAGGTGGGGTGGGTGATTCGACAGTGCCCCAAAGACCATCCCTCTCTTCAGAATAGCAAACATGAATATGCAGAAAATGAACCAGTGCTGCTACTGAGTCTGACACAATTCGCGGACGCCCATGTGAACTATGTCCCTGTCTCCATTATAAACTTTGTGACACGAACTGCCTTGGTTGGACAGTGGAATTCTTTGCTTCAAGTGGCTCAAGACGTCAAGGATGGAAAGAGACCTGATCATGACAAGTGCATTCAAGACAAGCAAGAACTATATGGATGGGTCAATCAACGCATCGAAGCCATGTGTGCCAAAATGGATTGAATCGAATCGAATCGAATCATTCAATCATTCGACAGTGAGTGCCAGGCTGTACCAAAAATTTAGTCTTTTTTACCAGTGTACAGAATTCATTATAATATACATGTAGTCCTTGTACCTTTCCTGTCCTGTCCTGGTCTGTCTAGCTAGCTCTCCTGTAGACAATTAATTGATGACCTCGCTCAACCATTGCCATCCAACGAGTTCTACGATGTACCTTTCACCCTGGATACAAAGTAGAAAGATGCCTAGGCCTTTGCGGAACATCCTAGCTTGGTCTGCAGATAACCAGTGGTACCGGTAGAGCAATAGCAAGGACTCGACTCGGCTCGACTCGACTCCAATGACATCAACACAGGTCCTTGGACCGTGCCGAGAAGCCCTGAACTTGCTGGAGGCTTCGAGAATCTTTCTTCGAAAGGGCTTGTGTGCGCTCTTGTTTGACGGGGGTACGAACGCAAACGATCAACGCCAAAATCTGCACAGAGCGAAAGAAAGCAAGCAAGAAAAGGTCGAGAACGATCGAAACGTCGCACAAAGCTTTTGTCTCTTGTGTCCACTCAAGTCCAATACTTGATTCGTTAGTTAGAGCTTGTGTGTATTTCTCCTCTTCTCATCATGGCGGACTCCTTTGGCAATTCCCCACGGTGGAGAGGGCTGAAAGATCGACAAGTGCAGAGAAGAGAAGATGTTGAGAATGAGCTGAATGGATCCTATCATCAACGAAGAAACCGTGGATCCTACATTGCCCCTCAGAATGAAACGGATTATTTGTTGTCCACATTCTCTGATACAGCTCCAGCTACTCCGGCATCGCCACCGCCAGGCATGGCTCCTGGTCACGCTGACGGACGACAGTCGCCCTTTTCTGGGAGCCTTAGAGGCAAGTCTGCTCTGGTATCCATGCTAGATGCTTCACTCCGACGAGGGGCTTCCTCTGTTGTAGATGTTCGAGACCAAGCCGAAAAAATCAAAAACTTCTTGGCGGAACTCCCCAATTTGGATAAAGATGGCGGTGATCACCGTCGTCATTCAGCCACCATCAATGTTGCCAGTAGCAGCGCCTATGGATCCTGTGAAAAAAATGAAGATGTGGAGGGCGAGAAATTGTTCCAGAACCTCAAGGATCAGAAACCTTCCTGCAAAAAGACTCCTGCAGATCAACAAGCTTCACTGATCACACAAATACCGGCCATTGCCATTGCTTCCTTACTGAACTTGATGATGGCTATCCCCTTTGGTGTGTCATACTTCCCCATTGGCTGGAGTGCCGGAGGAGAAAACAATGCTGGTGATGCACAACAAGATGCAGATGGAGTATCGGGGGCTTTCCCTCTTCCAGGAAAGGAAGCTCTAGGAATTCGAATGTGCCTATTCTCCACCCTTGTGGGACAGTTGGTCATGACCTTTGCATCCAAGTTTGACAGCTGTATTTGCTTTCAAATGATTGAAAATGTGCCCTTCTTTCATACATTGGCCAGTAGGTTCATCTATCTTGTCCGTGGATCAGTTGCGCGTTATGGTTTGAATTACTCACTCATTATTGTTGCTTTGCTTTACTGTCGGTAGGAGTTGTAATTGCGTCTCAGGGATATGGTATCGAGAGCTTGAGCACTCTCTTCTTCCTCTTTGGGCTTTCCAGTGCTCTGGTGGGAATTCTCTTCTACCTATTGGGGAGATTCAATCTTGGCTCTGTGGTATACTTCTTTCCTAATCATGTAAGTCGAAAAGGGGGGAAGCAATGGCAATTGCTGATATTTATTGTCTGAGCCAGGGAGCTGCAGCAGCAGAAATTTGTTTTGCAGGAAGCTGTTTCCTCAAAATGATAGCGCATCACAACTAACATTGAACATGGCCCCTTCCTCGCTGTGAAAAGGTGTTGGTTGGCTGCATTGGCGGTATTGGTGTCTTCATTACAATATCGGCTTTGGAAGTCACCAACGATGCCTCCTTCTCGTGGGACATGCAAGGACTGCAGGGGATCATCGACAACTTCCACTTACTTTCAGTTGTTCTGCTATTCGAGGCAACCCTTCGACTGCTGATTTGGAAGACCAAGTCTCGGATACCTCTGCTGTCACCAATCTTCTTTTGCTCCATTCCATTTGCCTTCTATGCTGGTCTCTGGGTATTCAGAGTAGACATGGAAGATGCTATGGAGGCTGGATACTTCTTTCCAGCACCAGCTGGCGAGGACGGCAATCAGAGCTTGTTTGACAGAGCCTTCAGTTCTCATACACTCGATCTGTTACATGTGGTTGATTTCACGACAATATCCTGGGAAGCAGTCTTGAACTCCTCGGGAACCATGGTGGCACTGGCAGCGTTCTCTCTCATTCACGTCCCAATCAACATTCCGTGAGTGTACCAAGGGATAATATCTTTTTCCCCTTCCGGTTCGATCTAACCAATACGAACTCACGCCTTGCTCTGGTTTCTCTAGTGGTGCGTGAACTTTTCCGACTGTCTATCTTGATCATTTGAAGGTAACAGTGCTGACCCTCGTTGCTTCCTTTGGCAGCTTTCTCGATCTCCATGGATATTGGTGCGTACGACAGGCTCTGTTCGAAAACCTCCTCTCAGGAAACGCACACTTACAAATCATTCCTCTCCTCGCAGATACGGATATGAATAATGAGCTCATGGCACATGGATACAGCAACTTTGCGGCTGGAGTGTTTGGTTCCTTACCCAATTACATGACGTACAGCAACAGTTTGCTGTTTGCCAAATCAAAGGTTTGTACAACTGTTGAGAGGAGCATTTGTCGCACTTGCTGGCTGTGCGTAGCGGCTCAATGTTTGCCATTCCTGCAACGCTTCACCAGGGAGGTGGGATGGCCAGCTCCGTAAGTAATGAAGTTTCAATTTCGACGTAACGATGTTTCTGTGCACTGACGATATTTGTGCATGGGTTCCCTTTCCCCTGTCCTCCGATAGCTGATTGGTATGAAGCCCAGATCGTGCGGCCCTTTTCGCTTGTCCGATTGCAAACGAACAACTAACCCCATCATCTTGATGTTCCATAGTCTCGTTCTTCACGTTCGTATTCTTCATTTTTGGCCCCGAGTTGGCAATCTACATTCCACGGTGCATGGCAGGAACACTGCTGTTGCACATTGGGCTGGACTTGTTCATGGAAGGGGTAGTTGATTCGTACTATTATGGATACGACAGATTGGAATACGGAGGGATATGGTTGATAACGATAACGATGACTGCGTTGGGAATGACTGCCGGGCTCTGTGCTGGCGTCCTTGCGGCATTGTCAGTCTACGCAGCTCAGTCCATCACATACATGAACCCAATCAGGGCGCAAATGCCTGCAACTACCCTTTTAAGCTCTGTTTGGACAAGACCAGCCTCGGAACTTGCCATCCTCAACAACGAGCGCACTGGACGCTCCCGTATTCTAGTTGTCCAACTCCAAGGTCATCTATTCTTCGGCAATGCAAACCAGCTGACGGACACGGTCAAAGGGTTGCTCACCGACAGTCAAGGGACCGGTCTTGAGCCTCTTATTGTAAGTTTCTTTCTTGGGTCACGTTTTTTCGCAATGCACCGTGTATGAGCTCTTCCTGACTTCTGGTCAACGAATACGATAGGTCATATTGGACTTCACGCTTGTCTTGGGTTTGGATTCCTCGGCATCCCATGCCGTTGCGAAAATGAACACAGCAATGCATCGTCGTTTCGACATTGCTGCCACTGTCTTCGTTGCAGGTAGAGAAGGGTTTCCTTGCGAGTACGCCCTTTCGGAAGCGCTCTCGAGGCAAGGCGACGAAGAACACCTTGAAGAGCTTGAAGACTTGACGTACTCTTTTTCAGATATGAATAGCCCCAAGTATCGCCGCAATCGAATCTGTGATAATCTTGATGACGCTCTGATCTTCGCTGAAGACGTTCTCATTTTCCGTGTAGACCCATCTCTGCTGCAGCGTGACAGAGCCATCGTCGAACCAACAGGATATCTGGCCCCGGAAGATGAACGAAAGCTCGCTGTTCAACAGCTTGCAAACCTCTTCCCCAAGAGCGACGAGATTACAGCAGCCGTGAAGCTTTTGTTTTCGTTCTTTGAACGGGAGGAGTACACTGTGAATCAAAAGCTGTGGGAACAAGGAGATGCCAGCACGTGCGCCAAACTCCTCGTTAGGGGAGAATTGATTGCCTATTCTGACTGCAACGCACAGACGAGCGTCGCAGCTGAGAGAGTCCCTACTGGAAACATCGTGGGTGAACTGGGCCTTGTACAAGGATTGCCTCGACTCAGCACACTGGAGTGCACATCAGAGAAGGCCATCATGTACAGCTTGAGTCTCGAATCCTGGAAGAAGATCCGGAAAGAGCATTCCTATGCTGCAGTGTACTTTGAAGAGATTGTCATTCGATATCTAGCCAACCGCGCTCAGCACGTTACCAGAATTTTCGATTCGCGGTGCTTACCGGTCTAGATCAGGTACCGGTACAGGGGTTTGTACAGGGAGGATGACGAATGCTTGGCCGTGAACCAGAGAGCAGTGGATTTGAGTAGCAAAAAATTGGAAAACTCACTAAATAGATTCACATGTACAGTTACAGCCGCAAAAATCGCTGGAACAATCAAAAGCAACCGAGCTAAAAAAACACAAGGATTCATCCACCGTTCCAGATAGCGAGTTGTTGGCCAAATTCAAAGTCGTCAAGTTGGAGAGGAGGCCGAACTCGGATGGAATCGCGGATGACAGCAAGTTCTCATGAAGATCAATTAATTCCAGATGAGTCAGAAGACCAATCTGAGATGGTAGAGGCCCGCTTAGGTTGTTCTCGGCCAGTCGCAAACGAACCAACTTTCCTGCCTCTCGTGGGGGGTTGAAATGGTAGGAGTCATAGCTTTTGATTGGAGGCATTGCTGCTAGTTGTCCAAGCTCCACCGGAAGTGTTGAAGACAAATGGTTGCTGGACAGGTCGAGTTGAATGAGGGATGAGAGCAGCCCGAATTCGCTGGGGATGGATGACGATATCTGATTGCCAGCTGTGCTGAAGTAATGAGCCTTCCGCAACAATCCAAGCTCCGAGGAAAGGGTCCCAGTCAGCAGGTTGTTGGAGAGGCCGAATTCCTTGAGTGCAGTCAAGCTCCCAAGTTCGTTTGGAATCTCTCCAGTCAAACCTTGGTCCCCAATGAAAAGCACCTCCAAGTTTTGGTGCAAGAGCCCAAGCTCCGAGGGGATGCTTGAGCTGAGCAGTTGCTCAGCCAAATCCACCTCAATCAACGATGACAACAAGCCAAGTTCACTAGGGATTGAGCCTTCCAATCTACAGTTAAAGAGGTACAAAAATGACACAGCAGTCTGAGATATCTGGGTGGGTATGGTACCAGAGATGGGGCTGGTTGCAAAGGAAAGCACCCTGGAGAATAGAATCACATAGAACGAAACAAAGGAACGAAAGTTTTTAGCATTGTGCGGCCATGTCATGGAACCTGTGTGGTGTATGTATCAGGGGAGTGATTACTTACTGCAAACCGGTAAGCTGTCCCACCCTGGTGGACAACGTTCCTTCCAAGCCATTGTTCAAGCCCATGTTTAGATCCCTCAAGTTGCTCAACAAATACAACTCTTCAGGGAGAGTTCCACGTAACCCGTTTCCTTCCAGATGTAAATATTGATAGACTTCTCCCGGCCCAGAGGCATTTGTACCATCAAGCAGACATGGGCTGTAGAATTGGTATCCAAAGTATCCTTCAAAGGCTGCTGCACTCATGTCCCAGGTGCACTCATGAGAATCGGAGAGCCACCCAGAATTGTACACCCAGCTGGAAGGTCCATTCGTAGCGTAGAATAGAGCTGCTAGCGAATACCTTTGGATGATTCTTTCATCAGTGTAGTTCGACAGGCTTTTCTCACTCAGAATCCAGTCAAGTGCTAATGCTTGGGGTGAATCTGGTTTCTGTTGAATTTCCCTAACGGTATACTCAGGGAGAAGGGACATGATATGTGAATCCTGCGAATACCCAGTCGGACTAATCGTCAATGTGTCGTCTTGGTGCAATGGAACCAGCGTTGTGTCGTCACTGTCCCCGCGCAAGAGGAGGACCACCAGGATAACTATTCCCAATGCTACGGAAACCAGAATCAGCAGGATTGCCCCTTTTTGCAGCACTTCTTTCAGCGGACTATTAGAGGTACCGGTATTCAAATCCTGGAGTCGTACTGGCTGAGCAGTTTCCAAGTCGTCTTCCTGCACCGGTCGTGCTTTTGCGAGTTGGCTATCGTCAACGGAAACACCAGTAGACGTGCCTTCGTCTTCAGTAGCGATTTCAGGGGACGTGACGGATCCATAGTCCAAAGATGTATTTGGAGAATCCAAGCCACCAGGCGAGTAGGCATAGGCACCGGGAGCTACAAGGTTGTTTAGACGAGAACGTCTCGCAAGAATCGTTGTATTTGCTCCTCCTTCTTCTTGGTCTTCGAGATTCTGAATCCATTCTCCATTGGTATGACTCTCTTCGAGAATCCGATGAAGTAAGTTAGAGCTTTGGTCGCTTTTCCTACCGGTACCTCCCTTTGAGTGACAGTCATCCATCTGGGAGGGGAGAGCGTCACTCTTACTATTAATAGCCGCACCGGTAACCAAGACACCAGCACTTACTTTGAGCGGCTCAGTGACATCGCCTTCTGGCTTTTTGTTTGTTGTCTTCTTGCTTACGGGCAAGTCACAATCAGTCCTCTCCTCACCTTGCTTTGGTTGAGTACTCGTACCGGTACTAGTATCAATAGTGGCACGAGCTTCTTCGCTTCGTTTCTGAACAACTTCGATCAAGAAATCCAAATCATCGTCTCCACATGATGCCGTTCCCTTGCTTTCAACCTTTCGCTGTGCTGCCTTCATCATTGTCCTCTTCGTCAAGCTTACTACTGGTACCGGTACTGGTACGACTGTATACTGCATTAGCACTTGAAACCCATTTTTTGGAATTGTGTCCTCATCGATATCATCTACAGTAGCTGCCAGCCACGCAAACATTATAAGTGCGTGGTGCGTGGTAAGGGCATGTCGGTGGTCGCTGAAAAGTCATCCTTTTTTATTTGTCTCGTATCCGAATTCCAATGAACACCTACCTATGCTTACACGGCTCGTAAAGCCTCCAGTCCAGCGACATGATCAAAGAACGAACATACCAACACTTCACCGACGTCATGCGTCTCCTCTACGGAAAACGCAAGTCAGATTCATACGCAAGACACTTCGCCAACGAATTCCAAAACTTCGCATCTCCTTCACCATTCCGACTCAACGGCGATATTCAAAGGAACAGCATCGAAATTAGCATCCTATGGCAAGGCAACCCCATCAGCACTGTCAAGACCTTCGGGACACGACACTGCAGCCTATGCAACAGGGAGCGACTCGAGATACTGAAACGATCCAGAGAATCGCCAGAAAACCTGATCAACTCCTGCAACGAAATATACGGAGCATGCCGACATAAACCTCGATTTCATAAGTACCACAATAGCCCAAGCACTGATGATCCCCAAGGGGGATGAAAAAGTCAAACAACCGAAAAGTTACCACAGAGTAAAGCCTGTGTTTTGGCGATTCGGCAGTTTGTGCTGATCAAGAGTAAAACTACTTAATTCAGTCACTTTTTGCTAAAATCGTATGATGACAGACCCTTATTAAAGACCGTCACTCGAGTAATGTACCCACACACTGCTGCAAATCAGCTAGCGAATCCATAATCCATCCACTCCATCTGCTCCCTCTCTTTTTTTTCTTTTTCTCTTTTTCTGTTCTTCAATACCTGGTAGCTGCTCAATTCCCCAGTACTCACGCCACTGTAGAACAGTACTGGTAAACAGAAAATTTACGCCCAGTGCGTCATTATCGCTGAAAATGACAGAACATTCATTCGCTCGTATTAATGCCTGACTTTAGAAAACGTTAAAAACAAAGAAAGAAACCTTCACACAGGACTTATTAAAGTATATGTCATAACCCTCAACAGGACTTATACAGAGGAAAAACATGCGATTTACCCTAAAAACAAGGTCAAATCACTTAACAGTTGAGGTCATTTGGGTCAGTCAATTTCTTCGAATGGGGTTCCGAAAATATTTTTTAACCTGTAGAATCCTGGTAAAGCTCTACTGCACGCTCGAAACTCTATTTAATCTCGTAGTTTCAAGCTAGTTTCACACAAGCATGCGTGAAACTAGCCCTTAGTTTCACGTGGCACGTGAAACTATGTTCAGCCGTGCGTGAAACTTTCAATCTATCTGTAGTAGTCACTAGTAAATCTTGCGTGAAACTAGCCGTTTGGCTGCGTGAAACTACCTGTTTCTTGCTAGTTTCATGAAGGGTCTACGTGAAACTAGTACTAGTTTCATGTGCGTGAAACAGTACGTGAAATTAATACTAGTTTCATGCAGGTTCTTCACAGAAGATTTAAGTCCCATTTCCGCACCCTGGGAATTGAGCAAAAACATCAGGCTGTTGACCAACACTGATGAGAACTGAGGTACAGTACCGGTACAGCGCACAGTGATACCGTACGGTACTGGATAGTGGCCACCAGCACCTCCAGGTAAACCATGAAAATTGGAAAACAAATAAATATAATTCTAAAAATTAGAAAATTGAGTCTTGAAAGCAAGCATTACCTCATTGCCTCTTCCAAGCAAGACCAAATGAGAGAATTAACGATGGCAGCAATACTCGCCATACATGCAACTATCCCATGAATAATGCTGCTTCCATTCCGGGGCATTCCAATGGCCCCGCTTTACTGCCAACCACTTGGATATTCTGACGCAGTTTTTGAACAGCATAACTGGCACCGTAGTCGTACATAATAACGAAAAATCTCACGGCAGCCCTACCCTTTCCAGCGTCCTCCATCGCCTGCTGTGTTTTCATATATCCTGCTACCGATAACTGCTCGTTAGCTTTGGATACGAAATCAGCATTGGGAGGCGTTTCAGACGCAACTTGCTTCAGTTCCAATATCACCACACTCGTATCGGAACTAAATGTGACATCTGTCCGCTTTCCGGTCGCTGGCAATTGTCCTCTTGGCTTGTCCGTGCAATGTTCTGTAGAATGTCATGAGCCTCCGTGACGACGTGAGACTGGAATTGAAGCTCCAAGACAGGATTATTGGCGTCGGACGAAGCCCAGGCCATGAGTCTTGCCATGTTATTTCGCGAAATGGAAGTCACAAAGTCCACCAATATCTCTTCGCCGTGGGCATACAAATCTTCCGCGGACTCCAGCGCGACCAACTTTTCCAACGAAGCTCGTGGGGTCTTCAGAAGGGGTTTGAGCAGGTTCTCGCAGTAGAATTCAGAGGTAATGGTGAATGTTGGGTGGTCGGTTGATGTCCCCGAGGCCGATATCACACCAATATGAACTAGCAAAGTAAGGTAGTCACTGCACCTCGAGGTAAAGGCCTCAATTGGTTCTTTATTTGTGTAAAATTCTATTTTTGAAACTTTCCGTTTCAAAGGGTTAAGTCATATCAGCCAAACATAAGACAAATGGTTTAATCATCTGACAATTAACTTATAATCATCTGACTACTGTTATAAGTCTTAAGACGATTCTTTCAGACGATTCTTTCAGACGATTTGTCAGACGATTATTGGCGAGTTAGACGATTCTGTCAGACGATTATTGGCGAAGACCCCACCTTGTCAGACAAACCTATTACTATGTTGAACGCAGTACCGTTTATGACTGAGGCGAATTAGCGATTGTCTGACAAATAACAAGCGATTGTCTTAATAGACTTAGTGATCGTCTGAAGAGGATTTAGCGATTGTCTGACAATCGTCTGATACTTATCTACCAATTGTCTGATGCATGGATGATTTCTTATCAGATATTTATAAGACAATTCTCCTTGGAAGACATTTGTGCTCTCACTGAAATCATCAAATGTACTCCCTTTCAATCAAATGGGCTTTTTACCTCGAGGTGCTGATGTGGATCCGATGAGATTATGCCATAGGAGCCATATTATGGGTGCGGCGCAGCTGTGCTGGCTCAGTCTGGTGGAAAGATCGCTGCTGCATCTGTACACTCTTTCAGTACAATGAGCTGTGTCACCATC